ATCTTCATCTATTTGCCAGGATCTGGCAGGCGGCGTTTATTGAGTTTTAATTGGATAAGTTATAGATGCTCATGTTGCATAAATTCCGCAAGCTCCTTTGTTTTGACACCACCAATGCCAATCCAAAGGGTGGTTGGAACAGCTGCAGAACCTTGGGCAAAATTGTGCGGCCGTGCGTCAAGTTCTAGGGAACGTGCAGCTCATTTACCTGACCAGCAGCCGAGAAAGACTCCTTCCACTCTAACTCCCTTAACCCCCTGACGACTACTGTCATCCCCACGTCAGCACAATCATTGAAAGTTCGCCAGGAATCTCGCTTAATTAATGCCAACTATGAAAAGCGTTTGCCGAGCTCATTTTCATTATATAAACGCAGCCACTTTGATTTCCATATAAAGCAAGGCAAAGAGGCACTAAAAAAACACACCAAAAACAAAAGCAATAAATATACAAAAGCTGGGAAAAACAAAAGCGGCGAGAAGGGAAAACAATGGGAAACATTTTACTGGCTTGTCGCTGTCTTTATTGCCGCCTAATCGCAATGGACCGCGCCGAAGTTGTTCTTTTTCCAGGCTGCACTAAGGCGGCATCATCAGTCATGCTACTTCATTATTATCGCTGACACTGCCACCCCATACCATACCATCCTTAAGAGGACCCCACCCACCCACTCTAAACACCCACTTCCTCGCCCGCTTGTCGCTTATAATTCATTTCTATTGTGCCCCGTCTGAAAGTCCTTTTTGATCCAGCAGACTTATTTGTCTTGAGGAAACTCGCAGTAAAATTGCTTTTCCTACTACGCTCTCACTTCCTGTTGCCGCTTGTTGCGCTCCACTCTCGAAAGTCTGGAGCTGACGCAACTTTCCCATTGTCTTGCCGGCTTTGTGAGGACCGGCCAAGTCCAAAGGATCGGTGTTAATAGACGCCTGGTTGCTGGACTCGCCTGCAACACGCAGCATCAGCAACAGAAAACAGCAGCAGAAACAGCGTCAGCATCGTAACACTTTACGAAAAAAATGGAAACTTAAGAAAACTATTAAATAAATGAAATTCAAATATTTACATTTTGTTCATCAAAGACATTAAACAAAGCACTCAAAAATCTTCACTGTTTTTTTCTAGGAAATTACAAATTTGTACATTTCCAGCAGTTGGTTTTCTCAGTGCATCACCCTCAGCAGCGGACGCTTCAAGTTGGCTCTTCATTTGTCGCTTTGTGCTTATTGTCATTGCGCCCGGCTTCATTTTCTTGTGATTAATGTCGTCATTAACTGCAATTAACTTTTTTAGTTGCCAGCCGCGACAAATCTTTGCCGTTTTTGCCTGAACTTTGGTCGCCAACTTGACTGGCATGTTGAGCAATGTCAATTTGAGTCCTCCTCGCCATCCTTCACTGGACGTCATCAGTCATGTATGTGAGTGTGGGCGACTGTACGGGCGACAACTTAATAGTTTTTGCCCTAATTATTTGTCAAGCATTCTGCTAATGGCCTGGGTTGACCTTCCACCACCCAAAGTTCTCAAAGTTCTTCGCAAAAAAAATAGAAAGAGAAAGGGAAGCGCTAACCATTTTCGGATAACGAATCTGACATGCACTCGACAACTCATTGGGGAAATGGTCAGTGAATGGGAAATCGCAAGTGATCCACAAGTTCTTTTTAGTTGCTTTAACTTCTAATCGACACAGGAAAAAGGACTCATTTGCAGCTTATTCCACCTTATGTATATTCTCTTAATATACCTATAACTTTTAATTTTTATTTTAATAATTATTAAGCCATGTTCAGGGATATGTGATAGTTTAAAGTCCTTAAAACTGTATCTTAAAAGGCACTCAAAAAGTAAGTGTCAAAACATTATTCATAACATTAAATACTTTTGAGAAATACAGCAAAAATCTTTCATCACAATTCTGAAATCATATGGCAAAGCTCTATTTGTTCTTTAATTTAAGATAACAGGGTGCCGAATTTTTTAATTTAGATTAATCAAAACAGCGCCTTGTATGATAAAGCCAAGCCAAGGAGTCGTGAGTCTCGGGCGAGAGTAATTCCACTCCGGGCAAGTGCACAAAAATGTCCTGCTAAGTACGAAATAAAAGCGTTACGTGTGTGTCCTGACGTGCACTTGCCGGAGCCATAAACTGGCCGACATCAAGGGAGTCGCGGAATGGTACGTATATAGCCATATAGCGCAACTACAACTGCGACTCCGGCGAACTTATGTATTTACAACGTGGACGCACGCGTGCTCCTCTTGTTCGCCGGCCTAGAATTATGCTACAAATTTTATAATTTCACACCTAAAAGGAAGCGGAAGGAAGAGCAGCCTCCCAAAAACGGAAATGGCTCGTAAAACAGCGGCAAACGGCATTGAGAAGTTTTACGCCGAGGCCGTGGCTTTGTTGTTGTGGCTTCCCAGCCAAAAATTGCGCCATAGGTACTTTTTGGATATTTTTTTAGTGCCCCTCCTCGAACACCCCACACATACTCATACACACTTGCCAGCTGGGACTGGCTTGCATTTTCTTACAATAAAGTGATGTTATCTTGGTGCCTGCCAGCTACTTTGCGGCTTAGGCAACAGGCATGTGGGCGTGGGTTGGTTGGTTGTGGTGGCTGGTGGGTGGTGGTTGACAGGATCTAGGGGAAATTACTCTGTGCTTTATCGTGCATATAAATCTATTTGCTCAGGTGTTTTTAGCTGCTAATATGTTTGTGATGACTTTATTTTGCGTTTACCGCCAGCTTTACCTTCATCTGGCTCTTGGCTCCCGGCATTGCTTTTGCCAGCTTTCTTTTTCTTTATTTTCCCATCGGTCCGCCCACGGTCGCATTTTTCCTTTGCCACTGCCTTTAGCTTACCTTATTTAGATTGGGCTGGGCGGCGGCAGCTTAGCAGTTTTCTTCTTTTTTTGTTATTATTTTATTTGGTTCCAGAAAAGTTGTAAAAAGGTTTTTAGAACAGGGCCAGATGCGCTGCAGGCTTAGGGATCGCACTCTCTCGAAATGCGAAAATAGAATATATATTCCAAGACCCGCCTTTAATAATTCTGCAAGCGGACGATGCGGCGTATGCGCAATTTGGTTAAATACGTGACGAACCCGGAGCAAATTAAAAGGGTCGGGGCATTAAGCTAAATGTTTAAAGCACTTAGCCGGGCGCATGCATGTTGTCATCAGGCTGAATGAAATATTCATAGGGAACTGGGGCCAATATACTCGTACATACATATGTGGGCTTTGGGGCTCTGAAAAGGCTCGTCAAGCTTTTAAGCCTTTTTTTAATGCCTTAACTACAACTAGACCAGGTTGTACATTCCATCCTTACGCCCATTTGAACGCACACACTCCCTGCACACCCACACACGCACCACACCGCAGTGATGTCGTCGCGACCACACAGCATTTGCTCAAGGGATTAACTCTAAAGATCTTAATGCCTCTATTTCGACGGTCTTAAGTAAACTTCCGACCAGGCCGTTGTCCCAACAACAATGTGTGACAAGTCAAGCAGCGCCAAACCATCTCCTCTTTTCTACCGCTCCCCTTTCGAGGAGTAAGCCCAACCACCGACTACCCCTTGGTTTTTGGCTTTTTATTTGTGTTTGTATTTGGCCCAGTGTTTGTTTTGCCCACTGGCTCCACTCATGCCTTCTTCTGCTATTGCACAAGGAAAAAATAACTTAAAATATTTTTTTATATTCTATTTTTCGAACAAAAAATAAATCAAAAAAGAATATTATCACTTGACAGCTTGCACTCTGAACTCTCAGCTTTAAAACATATAAATATAGAAAAAATGCAGATTTTCAAGCATAAAATTTGATTTTTTGATAATATAAATTTTGAAATGTGTTCTTAACATTCTTTATTCAATATGAAACGAAGACGAACACAATAAATTTATTCATTATTTATTATTATTTTTATTTAAGAGTTTTCAATTCTAATATTGTTCTAACTTTTAAACTTGTATATTCGTGAACCCACTTTCTGAAGTGTAACTGTGATTCTAGCGCTGCTGCTCTTGTTGCTAAGCCTCAAGCAGCACTTCCGCATCCTGGCTTATGTGTGTTCTTGTGGCCGTTGGGCCTCCTTCTCATACTGGGCCACATATGCACATTGTCATTGCCAAGTACCACTAATATTATTTACTTTTCGTTAGGTTGTGTTGTGCCAGCTCAATAGATAAACACGTGTCGCCATCAGCCATTTTTCGTATGATGGTGAATGGGAATGGGTCTTGGGAAACCCACCTTATGCTTATGACATCCCCTGTCATCCCATAGAACATTGCCGGAGGCAACAATTATGCCGAATTAAGTGCTGGAACTTTGCCTGCATTCTTTTGGCCCCGTTCAATAAGCCAAACTTTTCCCCGAATCGGAAAACAGAAAATTATAAAACGTTAAAATTGAAAAATCGCGGGCACCACCAGCACGACGCAACAAGAAGCCAACATCCAGATGGTGCCCACGGCCAGCAGACGAGGCCGGGTGTAATTGAAAAATATAAAGTATCGCCGCAATCTGATTAAAATTACATTTAAATAATAATAACAAAAACAAGGCAGTCAACTGGAGGCGGGAAAAGGACAGCAGCGAGCCACAAGCGAATATTCTGTGATGTGCGTCAGGCACGAAACTTGCAATTACAGTTTGTAGCGCGGTGTCAGGTAAAAAACTTTACAAAACTTTCCAATTGCTTTTCATTGAATTGTTATCGATAGTAAAGAGAATGAAAAAACCTAGGATAAAATGGCCAAGACAAAACAGAGAAAAATGGGAAAATATACCTGCTGGATAGCCGCAGGTAAGATATTTTCCAAAGGACTCGACAAATTCTTAACATATTTCCTATCGATTTGTACATTTAACCACTTAAATTGAAGTTCCATTTTGAATTTTGCTGATCCAGTTGAAAATATTGAATAAATTTAAACACTTTTAAAACAATATTGAATAGAAATATGAATTATAAAAATAATATTAGTACTTTCCCGTGTCAGCTTAATGATTTATTTATAAATACAGATTGATCTTACAAAATATGGATCGATTAGGGGCTAAGGCTTTGATTTTGATGGGCATGGAATACATATTAACAGATGTATGTATGTTATGCTTTTGAACTGATTGCTGATGGTGGTAAATGAACACAGCTCAACTGATTTTGTTGCGCAGATAGTACTTGATGAGCTGGATACACACCTCAGCATCCTCAGCACTGTCATGACCGGCCTCTGTGGACGAGTAAAAAATATTGAAATTGTAAACTCTGCAACGTGAACTCATTTCCATATTTTAAGCAAACAATACTAATTTGTGGAAATACCCAGAAAGTAGACTGACCATTTTCCTGTATAATCCTTTTGAGGTTTTCTATGCACAGTGTCTTTAAAGCACGCTTTTTGGGTGGTCCCATCTTGTGAGGAAATAGCACCGAAGTGTCCACCACAACGTCATGAATGAGTTTGAGTGCCTTCAGGTCGCTCTCCAAACTGTGACCAACGAGCACAGTTTTGGCATGAAACATGGACATCAGAACGGCCTGAACATCGCGTATGTTACGCGTCTCTTTTGAGAGCATGGCTTCTGTAATGCCCGAGTAGCTGAAATATATGAATTGGTTATTAATAAAGGTATTACAAAAATCGAGGTTCACCTACGTGGTATTATAGTCTACAATCTGGTTGTCCGGCTTCACCAAAGCATCGTAAACACTGCGTCCATTAATGTCTACCACCGTGACACGCGTCAATTCAATTCCGTGCGTGGTGTAGCACATCTCGCAATCCAAGGCGAATATGTCCTTCTTGGTGGGCACCACCTCATCCCCCGCTCGATCGTCTTGACGAAGCAGGTGAGCTTTTCCGGATCGTAATAGTCGCTAACGTGGTAATTCGCATAGGTACATCCCGGCGTTCCCGACGGCTGTTGGCAGCAACGATGGTGGTTGTCGGTGAATCCTCGTCGGTAGCCTGTACTTTTCGGGTGGTAGTTACACATGTCGGAACCCGGGTGCTCATATATGTCCAAGCTAAACACCTTGCCGCAGCGGGAGCAATAGCGTTCATGCTCGTTAGGTCGACGGTTGGGACGGCAAGCGCGAATCACAGCAGATCCGCGTTTCATACCCGGTCGCGGATATCCGTTTTCCACCAGCTGCTCTTCTGTCAAGCGAAGATCGAAGACCATTTCATATGCTTTTTCAGCGTTTAAAGCATCGAAAGGTTCACCATTGCCCATGGAGCCAAGTTTTCTGCAAAAAATAGATTATAGATTATTTTTTAATGTTTTTCTTATTAGTGTAATACATTTATATATTGCTTATATGCAAAATAAATGCCAACATTTTATTACTATCTTCTATACACAAGCAAATGCAAAATCATAAAGAATTGATTCAGTTTACTATGCTCTATTCCCAACGGCATCGCTAATAAAAAATCTTTTAATTGCATATAAACAATATCAAGTTTTTAAAATGTACACCCACTCCTTTTTCTCTACACTCCAGGATGTGGTGAGCGCCCGCTTGCCACCCAACATCATCTCATGTGACACCGTCTTACTGGCCACGCTTGGTCTGTTTCCCGCCTCAATGGCCTCCTTGCGGAGCTTGTTTATAGCCAACATACAGCTGTTCTTGTATATGGCAGGTGTGTTGCACTTCTTGAAGACTGCCAACTCTTCAACCTGTGCCCGCTCCCAGGCATCTGCCAGCTGTGGGTAGATGACGGTGCAATGCTTCACCATCATCTCGTAATACTGCATGCGAACGTTGTACGATATCTTAGAACTGCTGGGATCAAGAACAGGGGGCTTTTCGGCATTGGCCTCACTGGCCGCAGGAGCAGCTTTGTCCAACGCAGCCGTGGGTTTATGGGCCACCCGTCCGGCACCCTTGAAGGATTGCGCAGGCGTAAAAGCGGGTTTTTTTTCAGCTTGAAGCTCCTCAATCTTTTTCTTGGCCCGAGCGATGGCCACTATGTTGGCCACGGGAGCAATGCTGCGAGCTAGAAAAAAAAACAAATGAATAATTATTAAACTTCTTTTAAAAGATTTGCGAATGTGGTGAAAATGCCTTATCTTTTTTTTGGCGTGATGATAACATAATAAACTATTGTAAAATAAAGCAGGTTAGATTATTCAATAAATTTACATTTTCTTGTGAAATTAAAGAAAATATTATATGTACTCACCTGAACGCACTGGTGGAGTCAAAGCACTTCGCGGGATGAGGGGCGTGAGGTTTGAGTTAACCTTGGCCTGACGGAGTTCCTCCTGCGCTTGGCGCACTCGCTCCTGGGCCTGACGTAGCTGCTCGGCAGCGGCCTCGGCTTGAAGTTTCTCCTGGCGACGCAGCTCTGCGCGCCGATCGAAGATCGCCTGCATAGCATTACGGATATGATTTGGCTTACGCACCGATACCGAAGGTGCCAAATGTGGTTTAATTCTGTCCGCATTCTCGTGGGCCACCCTCCGTTTCTGGAGAGCCGCCGTCGCTGCCTCGGTGAAGGTGTCAATGTCCGGCGAAGGAGCCTTGCGCTTGCGAGAGCCTTCTGCGTTGGCTTCTCCTTCTCCGTCTTTGTGCATCTGAGCGAACTTCTTCTCCATCTCGTCAAAGATCATCTCGCATTGACGCACAATCTCCCCCTCGGAGGTATCTACTTCGAAGTCAAAGTCCAGTTCATCGAGATCATCAATGGCATCCGCTTGCGGTACCGCAGCAGCTTCTGCTTTCTTTTCGGCATCTGTATCGCTTTTAGAATTGCTAGTGCTTTTGCTGGACGACGAACTGCTTTTTGACTTTGAGCGCGAGGAACTCGAGGAACTAGAGTTGTGGTGATGACTCTTCGATGCGGATGATGAGGAACTGCTTTTGTGCCTGCTGCTGGAGCTCTTCTCGTCGCGATGCTTGTCGCTGCTGGACGACTTCTTGCTTGAAGAGCTAGAGGAAGACTTGTGCCTTGAGGAACTGGAGCTTGAGGTGTGCCTCTCCTTAGAGCGTTCCTTGTCGCTGTGGGATGACTTTCGCTTGTCCTTATCCTTGTCCTTTATTTCCTTATCTTTGTCCTTGTCTTTGTTTTTTTCCTTATCCTTATCCCTATTCCTGTCTCTGTCCTTCTCCCGGTCCTTGACCTTGTCTCGTTCTCTGACCTTTTCCTTATCCCTTTCCCGCTCCTTGCTCGATTTGTGTTCCTTTTTGTGGTTTTCCGTGACACTCTTTGGCTGTTCGTCCTGCTCAACCTCCTCTTCCTTGGACACCATTTGGACATCCTCTTCGAGATCGCCGTCCTCGCCAGGGTCGTCAATTTCCACCTGCATTTGCTCATCGATCTCTTTCTCAAGATCAGCCTGCCAGTCGTCGTCGCCTCCGTCACCATTTGTGCCAGATGGATGCGCGGGTACATATTTGGGAGCACTCTCCACAGCCGCCTCTTGCTTTTTCTTAGCTGGCGAAGCATTCAGAGCCGGCTTTTCCGGGTGGTACTCCAAAGTGGACTTCTTTCGAGGCGCACATAACGTGATCTGGGGCAACGGCAGGGAGAGCAGCTTGGGCGCCGGCTTGTACTGGGGCACGGGAACGGGTTCGGCGGGCGGAGCGGCCTCTACATCGTCTGAAACCGGAAGTAGTTAGCGTTTTATGCAAATCGAATGAAAGTTCTTACCTTTGCGGGCGTGCTTGAAGTGACAAAAGGGTCGCCGGCATGTCTCCGCATCCTGGCCATCAAAGTATGGACACAGGAAACCCTTAAAGAGGCCCGTGGACGGCAGCATTCCGGCCGCTGGCTGGGATTCGGTATTTATTTAAGCCGCCCAATAAAGCAAGCGTCCCGATTTCCTTCTAACTTCTCTATGCGTCTCTTTCGCTCGTTTCATCAGATGTCAGCTGTTGCTAGCGATGCCAGATAGACGGAAGCTTGGTTGCTTAGGCAGGAGTATACAGATTTCTATTACCATATTTTGTGAAGTGAAATTAGTGAAAAAAAATGTACAAAATAAAAATAAATAAAAATAAGTTTATAACCGTACTATATTTAAAAAACTATCAAAAGTATGGCAACTCTGACAGACTGCGGTGTTGCGCGATTCATTTGGTTAAATTACACATACCGTTAAAATGAAAAATGAATTTATTTAAAATTTAAAATATATTGTCATGCTTTAAAAATTTTTAAATATTTTATTTCTGCTTGAAATTACTAGGAAAGATTATAATCAAGCTCGACAACTCTGGGATCAGCTGCTCGTGCTGCAAATTTCCCACCGGGTTTGTCGCCGCTTGTAAACAAAGTAAACTGGGTCTCGTTAAATGATTAAATCTTTAATTGAAACACCTATCAAATCGTTCTTTTATCTATTTAAATGAACCTGATAACTGCCAAATCGCATTAATTAAGACCGATTGCACTGCTCAGTAAAGTTAAGGTACAAAATTCAATTGCCTGTTCGTTTGTTGGTGTGTGTGGGTGTGTCCGCTGGAATCTATAATCTAGAAATTTATATTGAAATTCAAATGAACTGCGCTCTATCAGAGGCCGGCTGTCTGCTATTAATGATTTTGGTGATATATTATCAAACTGAGTCAGTGGCCGCTGGTGGCCGATCCCACGATGCGATAACACAAGTGGTTCTCCGACGAGGTGTGCTTTGATATCAGACCAACTTATAGATTCAGTCGTATAACGGCAGTGTGACTGTTCGGGTGTCTCCGGCGAACGTAAATTCTCCATCGAGTCCAAAGGTCAGTGGGTGAGAAATTGGCCAATGATTTCACCAGTGCACTGGGAATATAAATATTTATAAAGTTCCCAATTGCGGACTTTGTTCCAGTGATTGGGGGAGATAATCGTCTAGCTCTAGACAAAAACAAAGATTACTTTGAACCTGACCCACACATCGTCAAGTTGCATTCCAAAGTGGCAATACTTTCCGATATTTATTTCTACATCATTTAAGATAAATATGCAAATATGCTAGGGTGAAAATTTGTATTTTCGATGGGAATGTGCCCAGTTGTTTATTGATAGAACTTTGGACCCGTCGAATGCGAAAGTGATCCCCTTCGATATGATTATTGATTTGCTTTGCAATCTGAACCATAGGCCTTTTGAAAGGCACCACACGCAAACTTATCTCAATGACTCTCCCTTATCCCCTGCAGATAAACCAACATGGATCGGGCTAGCTTATATTTTATGAGCAAAGATGATAAGAATACGTTTGATTTCGACGAGACGCTACCCTCGCTTCCTCTCCCGGATCTGAAGGACACTTTAGAGCGCTACTATGCCTGCATCCAACCTTTTGGAACTAAGGCGGAGTTGGCTCAGGCTAGGAAGACCATTGATGAGTTCCAGCATGGAGTGGGCGCCGAGCTGCATGAAAAGCTTAAGAAGAGAGCGGCCAATATGAGGAACTGGTTGGGTACGTGGTGGGAGGACTACGGATACCACCCAATTAGGATGCCTCTTCTACCATACCAACTTATGGTCATGCCCGCACAACTAGAGATGGTTGGCGTTCCTGAGACCCCGGAATACATGCTTAAGGTAAGTGGTTAGATAATTCCATTTCTATAAGAGCTCTTAAACGCAATAGTCATTCCCATTTGATTTGAAAAGTAAACGCACTTAATCATATCTAAAGTATTGATTCGCAAATTACCCCAAAGCTCTGTTTGTAAAGGTCGCTTATACTAAAATTTAAATGCCATTACATTCGCGTTTGAATGTGTTTGAAGAAGCTCTTTTTCTTACACAAAACTTTCTTATCTAATGAACAATGTACTTTATGCTTGAGAATTCATCATCGATGTCTAATCTAAACAATCTATTTAAACTGTTAGACTGATATTTACCTATCTAAAAATGTACTTAATTTCTTGTTTTTTGCTGACAAAGCTGTGAGCTTGTTCTTATTGACTGTATCATTTTCGCAGAGCTTGGCACGGCACATTCACCATACGCTTGAGTTTTGGGATCTGACGCGGAAGTCTATTATCAAGCCGCTTTCCTCTAACGGCGGCAAGATCAAGTACTCCTCTGCGCTGTATAAGCGGTTCTTCTCTACATGCCGCATTCCAGGCGAGGAGCAGGATCACATCGAGAAACACTTCCTTACCAAGGACGAGGGCAAGACGCCCACTCACGTCTTGATCTCTGGTAAAGGACGCCAATTCATCCTTGATTGCGTGCACGAGGACGACACTATCCTAACGGCTCCTGAGATTCTGGTAGTCTTGCAGCGATTGCGCAGCATCCTAGATTATGAGCCGGTTGGCGACTGTGTTCCCACTCTGAGTCATGACGATCGCACCACGTGGGCGCGCAACCGCAACCGTTTGAGAGAAATCTCCGAGGCCAATAAGGAAACACTTCTGTTGGTCGAGAGCGCCAGCATGGAAATTTGCTGGTACGAGCAATCGCCCAAAGACTATGAGGAGTCCTCGCAGCTTGGTCTTTTTGGAGATCTCCATTCCCGCTGGGCAGATCGCAGCAGCAGCATCATTGCCTTCCGCAACGGACGCAGCAATTGGGCTGGTGAGCACAGCTGCTACGATGGCACAGTTAGCATCAGTTTCGCCACCTTCATGCAATTGAGCTTCTTGGAGGTGCCAGAGCCTGACTGGTCAGAAGCCGAGAGCTCCAAGGTGGCGGAGATCAAGGAGCTGCAATTCCAGCTGGATGACACCCTCAAGAGCGAGATTAAGCGCGTTCAGAAGGATATAGATGACAGGGTAGATAAAGTCGACATTTTTATCACCTATTTTCTAAACTTTCCAATCTTTTTTTTATGGTTTCCCTAGGGCATTGATGTTACAACCACTTTTACTGTATTTGATGACTACGGTAAAGACTTTATGAAAACCCACAGACTGCATCCAGATTCTTTTGTGCAGGTTGTTATGCAGTGGGCCTACTATCAGATGCATAAAGAGTAAGTTGATCTTAGGAATTTCAGATTACAATAATAACTTGATTCCGAACAGAATTGCTCCCACCTATGAGACTGCGTTGATGCGACAGTATTACAACGGGAGAACGGAGACTCTGCGATCCTGTACTGGTGCTGTGGCGGAGTTTCTAAGGGCATCCTCTAACAAGCAAGTTGGCGATATGTCACTGGCCAGGGCTTTTCGCAAGGCCGTCGATGAGCATAAGCATTTCATGAACGAGGCGCGCAAGGGACATGGCATCGATAGACACTTGTTTGGCTTGTGGTGCGCAGCATACGAAAACAAAATGGACATTCCTGCCTTCTACGATGATCCCTTGTACACCAAGAGCGGCGGCGGTGGCAACTTTGTACTTTCTTCTAGCACTCTAGGCTTTACAGCCAACGTCGGCTTTGTGGCGCCTATGCTTGTTGATGGCTACGGCGTATTTTACTCCATCACCTCTGAAGCGTAAGCTATTTTCTTCTATTTATAGAACTCGATTTTAATCTTATTCATTGCCAGTGTGTTCATCCATACCACCGCTTACCGGGATAGCCTCAAGACGAGCGCCCGCAAGTTCAACGACATATTCAAGGGCTCGTTCCGCCGCATTAGTGTTTTGCTGGAACAGCTGGCCAAGGAGTCCAAGCTGTAAACAACTTGCCTAGTATTAAGAAACGGATACAATCTTGATTCATGTCACGAAAGCTGATATCCTGTTCTCGTTTCCGATTCCGATCAAAAAATGCATTTACTTCTACCCATTTTGTACTAATGACAACTGTGTTTGTAGTTTAACAAGCGATACACAACATTACCTATTTGTTTTGCAAATATTTTTAACGTGATCTTAAAGATCTACCTTTCCAAAACCCACCTCAGATCGGAATCAAATGGAGAACTCGGATTTTAAATCTAGTTTATAAGTTAAATTCTGTCATCACAGTGGGTGTGCAGCATTCCAAAGTGTTTGTAGCTTCGTGTTAAACGTTTATTTAAATTCAATGATCAATTAGTTTACGCAAATACATTTCTCTCGGTAATTCTTTTCTTTTTCTTTCAATTCTAAAATGCGGCTAAATAAGCTAAGCGTCCAACCGCTTCAATACGTTCAACACTTTTTCACTGTCGACTTAATAAGCGAGCGCCGCAGCTGGCCCTAGATTCTACATACAAGATAAATGGAGCTTGCGCCGGGATACATATTAATATATATATACTCGTTCTATATACGAAAACTTTTCGTTAGTAAGTTCGATTATCTGGGAGCTAAATGCTAATTACAAATGGTTCTTACTGCGTTTCTACATTTTATGCAGTACTTCTGAGTCGCAGACCCGAGGACAGAATGGGGAAAAAAACATCAGATGAGCTGAATCGTCCGCACTAGTGCGGCGGGGGTGGAGGTCGGTAGTAGCCAGCGTGCGGCGGCAGCATTGAAAAGCCGGAGGAAGGAGAAGGAGCGATCCTTTGGCCTCGTCTTTGTTGCTGTTGTTGCGGCAAGCCGGCGTACGCCTGCACTCATTCCTGCCCAGTGGCCGGGACCGGTTGAAGGTTCTGCTCGGCAGCTGGGGGAGTGGCTGACGCTTCATCCTTTGATCCTCCTCCCGGTGTGGCACCCTCTCCAGTGGCCTGGAAGGCCGAAGGTCGCTGCACGAACATGTTGTCAATGATGTGATCGATATTATCTGAGATGCCTTCCTCCTTGGCGCCGCCTTTGGACTTGTGCTTCTCAGATGGTGGCAGGATGGGAATCGCGTTGGTGGGACGACGCTGGGGCAAAGCAGCTGGTCGGCTGGCGTTTTGTGCCGGCGGAACAAAGTAGGTGGTGCCCCCCACCGTATTGTAGTTTTGATACGGCTGAGATGGCTGTGTTGCAGGCGGAGCCTGGGCAGGCGACGGTGTGGGCTGCGTAACTACTGATGGCGCCGCCTGGGCATAGGCCACAGCAGCCGGAGTTGTGGGCAAGTAGGCGGCACTGGCCGGATTCACATATGGAGCTTGAGGCACGGGCACAGGCTCCGTTCCGGTCACGTAGTACGGAGCCGCTTGTGCTTGCGGATATCCGGTTGCCGGTGGGGCAAGTGGCTTTGGTGGCGTTGGCACTGCTCCCGCGGCAGTAGGTGGTCCTAGTTGCATATTTTGCAGTTGGGCTTGCAACTCCTGTTGCTGGTAGGCAATCTGCATCAGCATGTGTGGGTCCTGAATCATAATTTGCGATTGCTGCTGTTGTTGTTGTTGTTGAAGATGCAACTGTTGCTGCATCTGTTGTTGCTGCTGCTGCTCCGCCAAGTGCTGTGATGCCTCCTGCTGGGAACGACGCAAACTAGAGTACCGCTTGGGTGCATTTCGCTGTTCCTGATGCAATGGTTGTTGCTGCTGTGGCGGCTGACTTTGATTGGCCAAAGAGTGCATCTGGACACTGCCAACGTGGCTAGGATCGTTACGTTGCTGCACTTGCTGCAGTCGCTGCGAGAGGTTAGATGTAGAGAGCGGCGTCTGTGGAGGCTGCTGTTGCTGGGGCGGCTGTCGCTGCTGTTGTGGCTGTTGTTGGTGCTGAGGTTGCTGTTGTATTTGCTGCTGGTTGGAGCGTGGAGTGGTTTGCTTCTGATTGCGGTTATCCACTTGGTCAGGTCCCCTCTCCCGGTCTCGTGGCTGCATGCCGCGGTTGTTCTTCTTAAACTCCATGCCATTCTGACGTCCTGGACCACCATTCATCCGCCCAAAGTTGCGGTTCTTGGGTTCACGATCCCGTTCCCGCTCCCTATCGCGCTCGCGTTCCCGCTCTTGGGATCGGTGAGGATTTGATCCACTGGCCAATGGCTGCTGTTTCTCTGCAACCAAACCGCCAGCACCTCCAGACCGACGGTTTTCCTTTTCCTCCCGCGAGGAAGAAGTACGCGGACCACGGGGCTTCCTTTCGTTGAGGGCCGGAAAGTCTTGTGGTCGTGGCGGTTTGCGTTCTTTGTTACTCGCTTTGAGGTAGGCTTGTTCGTCCTCCCAGTTTCTTGAGTATTTACTCGGACCTCGTGTATATCGTCGGCGGCGTCTGGCTCGAGGCGGTGCATCCTCATTTCTTATGTCGTAGCCATACGTTTGAAGCAGCTCTGCCCGGGACTTGGGCGCCTGCTCCGTGGCCTCGAAACGGTCGTGGGACCAGCGGTCGCCACCTGATGCAGGTTGCCACTTACGCATAGTTTTAGATGCCTGTGAGATCTGTGGAGTTTGGCCAGTAGGGGTGGCTCCAGCTACCGACAAGCCATTGAGTTCCCCATTTGGCTCTGCCGGCGCCTGGCCAGCACCGTTCTCTGGCTCGATTAAGACTTCGCCCTCGGTTTCCGCCGTTCGGTCGTCATGCTCGTAAAAGGTTCCACGTTTGGGGATATACTGAGGATTGCTGCGGTCCTCGTCCACCTTCTTCTGGGCCTCACTGTCGGCGACAGAGCGATCCATTGCCTGCTCCCCCTCGCCGTCATCCGTTTCGCTGCCCACCTCCTCGTCCTCGTCATCGGTTTCCGATTCTTCCTCTTCGCTTCCACTACCACTGGCGCTCCCGCTGGCACTCTCGTCGTCGTAGTCCTCGCCGCCCTCCAGGTCGCTGGCCGTGTCGTACTCCGAATCATGCGGATGCGAATTGGAGTTAGGCTCCTGGGTGGGCGAGGTGCCTGGCTCCACGTCTCCGGTGGCATCCGGGGTGGGTGTTACGACAGCGTCACTGGCCGTTGGGGGCGTGGCCTGGGGAATATCGGTCGGTGGCGTGGCCGCCGTCGGTTTCTCCACTTCGGCCATCGCGGGGTCTCTTCGATTTTCTGCCTCGCTACTGCTGCTGCTGCTTCTTCTATGCAATGAGATAGAATGGGATTGAATGTGTCAGTGGAAAAGCTAAGCTAGTGCCACTGATATCAACTCACGTGTGAATCCTTGTCAAAGGCTGAGTCCTTTAGAAATTGTGCTCTTCGGAACGGTAAATTGTGCAGGAAAAGCACTAATTTTGCTGACTTTTCTCGACAACAACGCAATGCAATCAGAAAATAGAAAGTCTAGGGTTACCTTTCTCTTGCCGCAGAGATGCCACACTGCGCTAAACGTAAGAGCGGGGCGAAAAACGTATCGCAGTAACGTATAAAATGTATTGGCCCAATGGCAGCACCCGTCAAAGTTACAGTTTAAATTTCATAATTAAAACATTGGTACAATGTGGAAAGCTTTTTACGGATGAAAATTATATTTTACTACAATAAGTCATGTAAGCCTTAAATCGATTTTTTTATTAAATAATTTACTATTATTATTTAACTCAATATAGAGAATAATGAGAATGAAATCCACAACTCTGTTATCGGTAACAGAATCGACAGCTTGTCATCGCTGGCCAGCTGTTGTAGGGGAAAGAAAGAGCGCATAGCGGATTGAGAATAAAGCGACATTAATTAATATATATTTTATACTACTTGAAATCAGAATCGGCCAAAAAGAAATCCGCAGAACAGAAGAAGATGTCGAAGTTTCTGGGCGTGCCGCTAAAGAAGCCGTCGGAAGTCGACGTAGTCAAGCCGCTGAACAATCTCATTCAGAGCACCTACAACGGTGCGACGGAGGAAGAGAAAAGCAAGTACTCAGAGGCCGTAAACGAATTTTCGAAACAACGCAATACAGCGATTTGGAAATTCTTCGAGAAGTACGAGGCTTCGCTGGACATTGTATATGCGTGAGTATTATAAAGTTTTATGTGGCCTTTTTCCAGGAATCACCAGATGAGTCATCTAAAGAAAAGAGGTACCTAATCACACCCATTCCATTCCACCTGGTGCTTTTGTGTTAGTGCGGTGGTCAGACGTAAACAAGCTCTCAGATGACGTAGTCGTTTGCTAATGGATATTGTTCGGTGGTATTATTGCCTCCGGATATTGTTTTATTTCTAGCTATTATGACCAGATCTGTGCATTGGAAACAAAGATATCAGTTAGCGAACTGCAGATACCCTTCAAGTGGAAGGATGCCTTCGATAAGGGATCCATTTTTGGCGGCAAGATCAGCCTAAGTGAGTGATTCATCCATTGAGCACATATTTCGTCATTGTATTTATATTGAATCTTCAATAGCCCACACCTCCCTGCTCTACGAGAAGGTATGTGTTCTCTTCAACATCGCCGCCCTGCAGAGCAGCATCGCTGCCAATCAGCCGCTGGATTCTGATGAGGGTCTTAAACTAGCCATTAAGTTGCTCCAGCAGAGCGCTGGCATCTTTCAGTACTTGAAAGGCGCCACGCCTGCGGCGGTGCCCTCGGAGCCCACGCCCGATCTCAGCCAGGATACGCTGACTGTGTTGCAGGCTCTGATGGTCGCCCAGGCCCAGGAGGTGTTCATTCTGAAGGCCATTAAAGGTAAGCTAATACGTATTCATACTTACTATTCAATCCTTATCTATTAGATAATTTCCACTATTTGCATTAGGTGATAAAACTATATTATCAGTTAAAAGCATCTTCATACCGCTCGTTGGTAATGATTAAAAAAATAAGTGTTTTAAACTTTTGTATTTTCATAGGGTATAACCCTGTTATATGTATTATGTGATAAGAAACCTAGCATGAATCATAAGTGTCAGCGAACGATAAAGTTATCCCCACTAACTGAAGAATGTTCTAAAGAAATATTCCAATATAAGCCAAGATTAAATATTTACATCTCCTTAGATAATATGAAGGACCAAATCATCGCTAAGTTGTGTTGCCAGGCGGAAGAGTTCTACGCCGATGTGCTGCGTGCCATGCAAAAAGAGTCTGTGCGCAGTCTGTGGGAAAAGGAATGGATACCCACGATTGCCGGGAAGCAGGCTGGGTTCCATGCCCTCACTCAGTTGTACCAGAGTCTGGTGTGCCGTGCTTCGAAGAAAATTGGTGAGGAGATCGCCCGTTTGCGCAATGCCATTGATCTTTTCAAGGCGGCGCAGTCACGTGGCGGAAATGAGACCTACTTGGATGAATACTTTAGCCGGGCCAAGCGCAACCTGGCAGAGTCAACCAAGGATAATGAGTTCATTTACAACGAAATTATACCCGATTTGAGCTCCTTGGCCTCTCCTGGAAAGGCCCAGTTGGCCAAGCCATTGCCGATCGGTGTGCCCATGACTTCGAATTTCAAGGACATCTTCACCAGCTTGGTTCCTGTCGAGTTACATCGGGCTCTCACCGCCTCTGATATGCGCCGCAATGAAATCGTCAACGTGGAGATAATGAAGCTTCGTGAATCCACCCAGACTTTAAATGCTGTCCTCGCTAGCTTGAATCTTCCAGCTGCAGTGGAGACGGCTGATGGCAATAGTGGGCTTCCACCTTCTCTAAAGGATAAAGCCGTTGAGGTTCGTCAAAAGGGAGGCATTGAAAATGTGCAGACCCTGCTAAAGGATCTTCCCGAGCTCCTAAACCGTAACCGCGAGATCCTAGACGAAACCGAGCGCCTGTTAGACGAAGAACGCGACTCCGATAACCAATTGCGGGCGCAGTTCAAGGAGCGCTGGACTCGCATCGGCTCCGATAAACTGACAGAGATGTTCCGCACCAATGCGAAAAAGTATCGCGAAGTCATTACCAATGCTATTGAAGCCGACAAGGTGGTTCGCCAGAAGTTCGAAGCTAATCAGAAGGGCATTCAGCTGCTATCCTTGCCACCCGATCAAATTCAGCAATCTCTGCCATCGGCCAGCGGCAGTGTGGATCCAAACTGCTCCAGCGTTCAGCGTCTCAAGAAGCTGATGGACGACGTAGAGACCATTAAGGCGGAGCGTGAGGCCGTTGAATCGGAGCTTAAAGGGGCCACGTTCGACATGAAGGATGAGTTTTTGATTGCCCTTCAAAAGGACGGTGCCATCGATGAACCAGCTTTGTCATTAGCTCGTATTGGCCAAGTGCTCAATCCCCTACAGCAGCAGGTGCGCGAAAGCGTAGACCGCCAAAAGACGTTAGTGGCCGACATCCAGAGCGCTCACGGAGACTTCGTCTCCGAGACTGGAAGCTGTGGCAGTTCGCGGGACACATTGTACCAGGAGCTTGCTACCGCCTACGATAGCTACATAGAGCTATCCGGAAATCTGCAGGAGGGTACTAAATTCTACAATGACCTCACACAGCTGCTGGTCGTGTTCCAAAACAAGATCAGCGACTTTGTGTTCGCCCGAAAAACGGAGAAGGAGGAGTTGCTCAAGGATCTGACCACGGAGTCAAGTCGTCAAGCCTGTCCGGCCACTCCGGCTCTGCCATCCCATTACGCCTCCACATCGGGCAGTGGCAGCGGTAAGTATGGGTTATTCGTAAAATAACAATGTAATCAATGTCTTGCTTTTCATCAGATATTCCACCTGGTTCCGCACCCGGTGCGCCGCCTGTGGCATCAACAGGTAACATTCCATATCCGGCCCAAGTACAAGGTATGCCCGTACCATATGGGGCACAGCCCGGTATGCCTTATCCCGCCTATGTGCCCGCACCCATGCCACAGAGCTTTAATCCATATGCAACCTTGCCGTATCCTGGCAGTAAGTTATATATCCCAACCATCATGAGTCTCTTATAATGATTTACTTTTTCTGCAGACTATCAGTACCAAGGATTCCCACAGGGACCTCCACCCGGTCACTACGGAACCTATCCCGGCAGCTATGCCAACCAGCAGGGCGGCTATCCCAATCAAAAGCCACCGGGCTGGTAAACGGCCATGCAGCTTATCAAGTTCATGACCACATATGCACAGCATGTTCCACCCAAGGGTCAATCGCATGGTAGTCTCAGATATGAGTCTGGATGGTGGAGAGGCAAGATAGATGGTATTCGGCATTTAATGCTCCGTGTTCTGGTTCTGTTTGGAAATTGTATGATACATGTTGATGGCTTATTGGATTTTAATCTCATATATGCAAAAATATTATCACGCATCACAGTAAACGTTCTTTCCCTATACTTTTGTGTTTTGCTATGACGCGTCACTTTGTCGCAGTCTTCGGAAGAACTCTCTCTTCATTCCGGCAATGACCCGCGGAGCACACATGCTGCTCACGAGGAGCTCCCAAGTGGAACTGATGGGAGTAAGCTCTGGTGGGATGGTACGTGCTTGAAATCTCTTAGAGTTGGAGTTTAAGAGCTTTTTGTACTCCTCGTGGGGGATCACCTCTAAAGGGCGCACATTCAGATTGATGCTATTTAGGATGCTCTTCCAGTCCGCCTGGCTGAGGTAATCTGTTTCCCAGAGCTTTCGATTGCTTTGACCGCTTTCCATATTCTGAACCGCCCGCTCGAACTGGGCAAAGAGTTCGCTTGGCTTGGCTGAGATGTCTGCCAGTTGGTTGGGATTAAGAAGATATTGCTTCAACTGATCGCTTTCGCCCTTGACGAAACTCTCAACAATATGTTTGACCAAAAATTCGTCAAGGGCCAGGTCCATGTCCACTTTCAGCGGCACCCAGTAGTTGACACTCAGCGACGAGGACATGGCTTCGACGTAGTGCCACCAGTGGCGCGGGACGATGAGCACATCGCCAGCCTGCAGGTTGCAATGGTAGGCCTCCCGGCCTAGTTCTTCATATCGTTCAATCTTATCTGGATCCGGGGCGTAGAAGTTTTCTAAGCAGTAGACACTAGACTCCTCATAGGGAATCCGTGTGCTTTGCAGCGGCGTTTCAGGTGGGAAGAGTAGCCAGGACTTGCAGCCATGCACTTGCACCACAATGTTAACGCCGAAGGTGTCGTAGTGGCATGGTGTGTTGGCATGCTCCGATCCCACCCAAAAGCTAAAGTCGTTGTTGTGCTCTGCGAATCCGAAGCAGGAGAAATCGATTCCTTTCAGGCTATTGGCGGGCAACTCGTTTGCTCTCTTGTACTGGTACGCCGCCCAGTGTGTGTGATCCTCATCGAGGACGCCGTACTCACGTAGGAACTGCTGCATTCCCATGTGGCTGACTTTAGTTCGTTTCCGCTCCCATTGTGGTGTACTGCTGTCCGCCAAGGCCATCAGCTCAAAAGCTGGAGGATCGATGGCCTCCTGGTCAAACCGCTCGCACCAGTCGTGCAGAGACCCCTCGAAACACTCCCATTCCAGCGGAAATTGGTTTAGGACCAGTGGTACGCGGGTGTTTAGGATTAGATCCCTCAGCTTGGAGTTTAGTGCCATGTTTGTTGTGTATTTTTGCCGCTTGGCCAGTGTGGCTGATACCCAACCCCCAAAATAACCTTTATTATGATCCGGTCACTTTGAGACAAAAAAATGTCATGGCGGGATTATTCAACTGTGAGAACCCAAACCATTTTTAATCATTTTAATAGACTTACATACGTATCAGTTATTATTTTTTGTTTATATTTATATATATTATATTTATATTTATATTTGAAAATCTGGTTCTGTGGTTCTTTACTTATCGGCCTCCCACAGTATGTCCTCTCAGTCGAGCCGAAGCTGCTCCCAGGAAGGCCAAGAAGAGGATAACTAGCTTCATGTTGGTTGACTATATGGTTGAGGGCTAACAGCAGTCTTTTATAGTTAAAACTTTTAAAATTATTTAGGCATCACGAATTAATCCGATACACTTAGGTTACATAAGCTTATTTAATTGCATTATTAATATCCATAACTACATCTTTACATTTAGTAAAAATATCGTTTTTGATCTATCAAATAGGACCATTTTCAAAAATTATATATACTCGTATAAATGGTTTTCATGGATAACCTTCTATGAGCCGATAAGGGCATTTAAAAGGTATATGTTTCTTCTTTCATTAAACGTTTTATTATATATCGTTTACGTGCACGAAAGTTTAACTTGAAATTTAGAAATATTTACTAGTAAATAAATAATGACGGATGCAATTTGCCTTGAGGGAAGCTACGGACGAACTCCGAATAAAGGTCCTGGCTTGCGGGTGGCAGCCGCCTCGGGGGTCATCGGATTTTCGGGGATTCCGCCCAGAAGGGCCAGAACTAAGAAATGAATTTGACATTTTTAAGCTTCTGCATTCCAAATAATAAAACCACAGCGAACTCATTCGTTATGGCAAGGACTGTAATTTTTTTTGACTTTTGGAGAATTTAGTTTGGACTTCATCTTATTAAATATTGTATTAGTTCTGCTTATTTAATGTTTGAAATAGTATAAGATATTTTTTTAAGGAGTCTTTTTCTTGTAAGGGTAATAAAAAGTTCCTTTGAATTTAGTTTCTGATCATGATTCCAGTTGCTTGTGTTTGGAGTGCAATGCAAATACGATTAGGCAAAATGTTTGTTTAATTAGTAAGAATTTCGAATTACATAATTGCAATCAAGATTGCGTGAAGAACTTGTTCTCCAGATCAAGTTGTCCAGTAGTTGCAGATAGGCGGCACACGCAAACGAGTCTTGTTTGAGATCGGTTTGGTTTGGTTTAGAATAGTTTGGGCTGGCTTGGCTGGGACTCTTGGCCTGAGCCACACTTTGAGATAATTATTTTGATATGACAGGCGGAAATGGCGTTAACAAGTGGCAACGACTGCGACCAGCATTTGTTGCACATTGGGCCAAACGAATGTTATCCGACATTTGATTGCCAGAACGGTTATCCCATTTCCACTGATGACGGCCATAAAAAATCAATGAGAAGGTCCCATCCTCCATTTGTCATAAAAGTGATTTACGTCTCAGTCGCGAAACTACAAGTCATTAAATCTACTTAAGCCCCGTACTTAAAGTGCCACGGATACGGGTGAAAAGTTCAACGCTCGTGAGTCAGCAGACTGAGAATCAGAATCAGGAAAACATAAGCTGCAAAAAACAATTATGCGAAAGAGTCGCCAAAAAAATAAAAAAAAAGTTTACACACCGAAGGGAAAAGCGAAATTAAGAAGGAACAACATTATTTATGCGGCAGTTTGGAGGTGTGCCGTCTGTCTGACCGATTTTTTGTCATTATAGGGCTGTTACTTCTGGCGACTTGGCGCTGTCTTATAAATATGTATCTGAATCTCTGTCTGCGGCTTTATCTGCCGAATGAGAAACTGCGCATGCGCACGCTCGCCCCGCTTCCGCTTTTTCATGTCCAATCTTAAATCTTCCCATAGGTCTTAGTCAGAACACGCCCGGCTTATAGCTTCTTATATAATTAGCTCGATTTTTGTTTTTTTTTTTCTGATTTTTTGCTCAGTTTGTTCCGCTGAATGGTCTCTGTCGTGACAGCAGCCAAATTTGCAAGACACTCACCTTTCCCCATCCCTCTAGATCCGACTCGACTTCACCTTTGTCCAAGTCAATAAACTTGGAGCAGACAGTTCCGCCCCCTTTGCGGCTCTTTGTCTGACTGCCAGGTACTTAAAGGGATTGCACTTAAAAATCAGTCAATATTTATTTATCAAAACAAAATCGTTCATGCACTTAAACCTAGCTTGATATATGCCATAATTTATTGCTTGCCGTAGATGCTTAGCTAAATGCAGTTTAGGCTGGTCATTCGGAGGGATTCCCCTTCACAAGGCTTAGGCTAACAGATATGTCTCCAGGTCAATTTAACATATTCAAAATTTAATGGCAGACTTTAAGTCCATAGTATTATTGCTTGATTTGTCTTAGTGAATAAAACAGGTTGTGCGATACTTCGGGATAATTTTGTTCGTTGGCATTTTAAAATTTCAACTAAAATGCATATTTCAGACTACCTTAATATCTTATTAGGTAACGTTTTTATCGAATTATTGTTTAAATCTCAAATGAAGCTACTAAAATAATAAATTAAGATTGACCTTTCCTGTGCTGGTTTAACTTATTGATTGATATACGGCATACCCTCCTCGCTGGACCAGCCCATCTGTTATTGTATTCATTGCCGTTGTATAAAAATAGACTTTACTCCTCGCAATTGTTAAACAGTTGCTGGAGTGCTCAAATATAGTCGGGATTAACTCAGAAAGGATTCCAAGTGGAAATTGGACGGAAGAGGGGAAACCCCTGGTTAAAAGATTAAAAGCAGAACGCCCGGCACCACAGTCTTTCGAGGGTATTTAGGAGGCCCAATTAATCTGGATTACGATATGATGTTCTGATAGAACTGCGGCTTATTCTGGTGCTCCTTGATGACGTAGAAGCCCTTGGGCTTACCATTGCCGGCGAAGTACTTGTGGAAGCTTTGTTTGCTTACCGCTTGGGCAGGTGCATAGTACGTAGGAGATTTTGGTTTGAGGGACTTGCGGTACTTGGCCTTTCCGCCACCCGCACTGAAACCCTTCTCGGCGGTCTCATTTTCCCAGGGTTGGCGCCAGGTGGGCACACTTTGTATGTCCAACAACCTATTTCGATCCGCTGCCGAGACGTGGGCAAAGTGGGGCTTTTTAGAGAGAGCTTCCTTCAGGACGGGGAGGTTCCAGTGGTAGATGCGACCGGGCCGGCCATTCGAGCTGAAGGGAAACGAGACCTGCAATTGAAAGCGCACTGATTAGACAACATTACCCGTAGACTGCGACTGGCGTCCCATAAATCAGCCGTGCTCTGGCGTCTAAATCAGGAATACCTAGGCCCACTCGCTGGCGGAGTGGCTCAAACAAATTGCATTTTTAATTGAAGCTCGGACTTGGTTAATGGCCTGCATATTAATTTCTGGTTCAGGTATCGCAACTCCAGAACTCTAGAGCTCCGGAGTCGTGAGAGCGTAATAATTTTCGTGCCATTGCCTGTCCGACATCGACTGACATTGACACTTGCTGCATTAATTCAGCGCCCAAGCTCCACAAAGGCCATGTATTACAGCTCGGAATGCTGTATGGTATTGGAACCTCTAGATCTCTTTAGACCACGAGATACCCACTGGCCTGAATGACCCTATCGAATGGCTATTTATAGGACAGCTAACCAAGGTCCAATATACCCATTTCGGGCATTGGGGGTAATACGCATAAAAATAGCAACTGCAAGACGCATGTTCTTGGCCTTCTTCGCCGACTGCTACCAAGTCTACAAAATGGGTAATCCATTTCGCTTCCACATCAGCTTCTCTTCTCCTGGTTCTCCCCTCACTGTTTTGCAATTTGTTTTATGCGCATGCGCGCCGATGTTTATCGTGGTCTAGGTCCAAACCTGGCCAGATCTCCCCAGATCGACTTGGGTGAGAGCCAGTTTTAGTCATGGCCAGAAGGGGCCAGTCAGCCAGAGACAGAGTAACAACCAGAGCCAGAGCCAGAGCATTGTGTGTGTCTATGGTGTAACCTAATGGAATCCCGTTTACCTTTTTCCCGTTAGCTTTCAACGCCGACGCCTCGGCAACAAGCGATGTTGCTGCTGGAGTGCTTGATGTTGCTCGTGTGTCCGCTGATGTTGGTGCTGCCGCTGTCATCTTGCTGGGTGCGTTACCTTTGCCAGACTTGTCCTGCTGATCCGCCACAGAATTCTTCGCACCGGGTCCTGCATAGTAGTGCATATTTGGCGGCAATTTGATGATGAACATGTGTGAATCATCGCGCGAAGAATGGCGTCGTGACTCAACCGCCAGTCGCTTCCTGTTGTGGCTGTTGGGCGCCTTCACCTTCATGAAGCCCATCTGGCTGCAACGACACAGTGGAGTTTTAGAATTGGTTTTGTATGGAGCAAGATAGATTGGGGTGAGGACATTGTGGTGGAGAATGTCTGGAAAACGTTGTAAGAGTTTTCCATGAATATTTCACTATAATTATGGCTTGGCTAGGGGGATGAGTTGGACACGGGACTTTAATTAAGCCCAAAATAAGAGACGTTTACCAAACCTCAACCTGTCTTACTTAGCAGGGAGGAGAATCTAGCTTTAATCTCTTGGCGTTGTTATTATCATATCCCAGCTCATAGATGCGTAACTAACGTTGGGTAAATTACCTATCACTTGTCCAAGAATTGCCATTACACATTTTTTTAAATCTTTGTAATCGTTTTATAAGACAGCTTAATTACGACGCTGTGTTATGGCTTAATTAATGTTACAATATTAATACACTGAGAATCTTTTAAGATTAATTTCTATATTAAATCATTTGATACGAAAAAAAGTTCTGTAAGCAAAATCAGCATTTAATCATTTTGATTAAGACATTACGACTTTTTGAATAAAAATCCCCTAACACTTTAACTCACCTGAGCATCTTCTTGTTGAGGCCGTGAGCACTTCTGGCCAGTTGTTTGGGCTGTTTGATTGGTGTCAGAGGACCAGATCCCGTTCCCAGTCGCTTGTCCAGCCTCTTGGTCTTGTGCAAGTGGGCCACATCCTTGGCCAAGACTCGCGTTGCAACTGCTCCTGAATTGCTGGCACCCTGGGCCATCGAAGCGACGCACAGAAGGCAGTAGAACCTGCGGGATCGAAACTGCTTTTATGGCCATCGTTTTATGGGCTGACATTGCTCGTTTTATGTGCGAAATTCTATAAGGGATTAGGCTGCCTGCGGCTTTTGATTGGACCCCACGGCCAGGCCAGGTTTTCAGGGTTCAGGGTCGTTCTGGCGGCACTCGCTTTGACAGGTGAGATGCCTCGAGGTCTTAATTTCGAGTCGGTGTATCTTTCCGTTTGGTTTTTGGGTGGGGCCCAGGCCAGCGTGAAAAGCAACTCCTCAACTTTAAATAGATGTTGCCCCTGCCACTGCCCCTGCCCCTGCCCATGCCCCTACCCATACTTCTGCCTCTCTGTGAAACTGAAAACCACTGAAAACTACTTGCTGTTGCTCGAGTGTCAAGTAATAATAAGGAAGAAAGCGGAAAACAAAGCAGATAAAAATGCAAATAGGCACGTACAATTACAGGGAAAACAGGGGAAATGGGAAGAGGCTATCATGGGTGAAAGACAAACGTTCTGGAGCTGGGAAATCCTAGAGGCATGGGAGCATTAGAACCAGCTACATATCTCCGGGGGTGTTGCAATCACCGATACCTTAGCTCAAAATACCACAATAGGTAATTATATTGCTGGACTTTCAGCAGGTCTTAGAGTCTCTTAGGAGATCCACCATCGACTTTGTCAAGAGAAATGCTATTGACCGACTAAGCGCCTAGATAACACATACGAGTACATATGGTACGATATAGAACTGCAGCCCGTTGGCGGTCTTGCGCTCGTTACAAATTATCATGGAAATTGGCTGGGTTTTATGCAATAAATGTAACCGAAGGCCAGTCGACGTGCCCGGCATTCTGAGCCAAGTCTTAGCCTCCAAGCTCAAAAAGATAATGCATGCAAAAAAAAACTGAAAACAAAAACCTTAGAACCCAAAGAAGCTGCATAAATTTCGAGTGCAAGACAGAAAGGAAACTGTGCCTGCAGGCGGGATTAGAGGCCAGTCAGGAGCAGGAGCTGATGGACTGGAATGGGGGCCAATCGATTTTGTGGATTGCAAATCCATGGGAGCCCAATCGATAGCGCCCAAATCAACACGTACTTAGCAATGGCCACCACATGCTGCCATCGTCTGGAGTTCCTGCTCTCCATACCCACCTCCATCCACATCCTCACCCCCAAGCCCATCCACATTCACATCCCGATGCAAGCCAAACAAACACCCCAGGCGGGTTGCTCCTACTCCTTTTGTGTCCTCTGTGTCTGCGCTGTGGTTTTTGTGGCCATTTTCATGTTAACTCTGTATTGATAAATTGCAGAATAAGTGAATGCATTTTTTTTTATTTTTATTTTGTAGCTGTTGCTGACGTTGTTGTTGTTCTCGTCCTGGTCCTGGTCCTGAACATATGCGGCATTTTTGAATTATTAATGAATTGCCAGCACAAAGGAGCCCGCAGCCATACAACACGAGAGTATACAACATGAGGTTGCATGTTGGGTTCTCTGAAGACAAAGTTTCGTAAAGGGTTTCGTGTGAAAATTCGGCAAAAAGCCAGCTCACATCACACCACCTTCGATAATTTTGAACTAAGTATAGGCTAAGATTTATTATTCGGAACCTCACAGTCCTAGGAAATTATTGTAAGGGAATAGTCTTGTCAAAATTGCACGTTGTATAATTGTTGTGATTGGCAGAAAGAGTCAAAATGCGGTTCGATCTAAAGGATTTGCTGTTGATGTCCATGTCTATATCCCCCAATAGTGTAATACGCCGGCACAAGCGATTTAAGTGCGGCAAAGTGAGGTGAGTTCGGAATCAGGGGCTTAGGGTGACCTTTTACCAATTAATCAGTTGAACCCCGAAGTTTCCTGGTCCACTATGAGCTGCAAAAGGGAAAGCTAGTAATCCGACAGGTGAAGATGATTCGTCACACTCCCTCCTTGAGCAGCCGACTGCGAAAGCGACTACGACTTCTGCAGCGGGTGTTAAAAAGAGAGAGTGAGATCAGTGATGGACCTGAGAGACCATTAAGCCAGGAGGATGAGCTAATTCCGACCTCTTTCCATCACAATTCCGTAGCCGTGGGCACAGATCTCGCCTTTGACTGTACTGCCAGTCAAACTCCTTACCAGGAGTGGGTAAGCAGCCAGGTGGATACCTGCGACTTGGTTGAAACCATTTCCAGGGATCAGCAAACCTTTAGCCCTCTACAGCAATTTTCAAGCATTGCTGTGGGCACAGAGCTAGAGATGGATAGCTCAGCCTCTCAAACGCTCCACCAGGAAAGGATCACCAGTCAGGTGGATACCTCTGACTTGATCCATTACATTTGTAGTGATCAGCAAACTTTTAATCCTGGCCAGCAAACCTTAAGTATCCAAACAGATAAAAAATCACTGCAAAGTCGGGCCATTCAGTTGGAATTCTCCACTAAGACCTCTTCCACCCAAATCAAGTTATCCACCGCCAGCTTGGGCACTCAAATAAAGCATCACTTTACCAATGCTACTGTCCAGACAAATATAGATACCCAGGACGTAAATACGCAGACCTACGATGTCGAAGAAGAGATCATTAAGCCTCATATTCAAGCTCTTTATCTCATCCACGACTCCATCAAAAATCAGAGTGACCTTATACACAACGAAGTACTGGAGGCTGTCAACCAACTGGTTGATCTCACCCTGCTCGAAGTGAAGAATAGGCGACTCGAAAGGGACCTGCCCAGGGAGGCTTCACTGGAACCAATGACACCTATCCCGTCGAACCAGATCGGGGATAATTTGCCCTTGGAGAAACTGTTATCCGAGACGGAAAAAAATAAGCTTTTGGGGATAAAAAGGTAAGGGCCACGTGAAGTCACAATCTAATGACTGAATTATTTTGAAAAATAAATTTATATGAGTGGTTTCAGAATAAGTACTTCTTAGCTCATTTAATATTTAGGTATTTCAAATCACTTTTTTAACAAACTCTGCACATTTGTTCACTCTAACTGGTCATGGCATCATTAAAACAAAATAACCCAGCTGTTTTTGTTAGAAATTCCACATTTTCTTGAGAAAATTCATTTAATTGAAAAATAAATTCGTTTAAATCTTGTAATTATTAATAATACATTTTTTCTGAAGAACAAATTTTATGGGGGTGAAAAAAAATGATTTCCTTTATGCCAAAAAAATTTTTAAAAGAAATTGCAAAATGAATACAAAAATGTTCCCAAAAAATATTAAGACGTTGTTATAAAAACTTGTGTAAGATTTCTGCAGTGTAACTTTGCCATTCAAATAACAATAAAATTTCTTCTCGAAGCTGATTTAGCAGCCAACTAAAAGCCTTGTCCCTCATCCACAGAGGCAGCAAGGACAAGAGGTGGTCCGTGTGGAACTGTACGATGAAGAGCAAGCGCTTTGGTCAACACATGCACCGTAGCAGGCACCGGGTGACCAGCCAGTAGGTGACTCAGACCTATATCACACCTCATCCCACTTCACCAACTCGAACAATCCATACTTATTCTTTGCCCGCAGAAACCAAGAAACCCAGACTGAATTCCTGGAGGCAAAGGAGGTGGTCAGTGTAGAAATGGCTACGCAGACGGAAAAGGAAAGGAGCCGCTGGACTCTGAAACGTAACTAGGAACCTTTGGCTTCCTGAACTTCCAATCCTGTGAACTTACCCCAGCAGCCAGGCCGCCGTCTTCATCCATGTTGGACTCATTGTGATAAACTTGTGTTTTTTGTTTGGCACTTTTAGTATGTGGCAAGCGATGATTTCATTTAAATAAGTCGAATCAGAGTCTCAAAGTCTTTTGGTTGTGGCGCCAAACGTTAGAAAACTGCATCTAAAATCGTGTGAGTAACGAGCGGGGTTTTGGTTTTGGAGTTCGGAATTCGGATTTAAGTTCGTAACTCAGCTGCAGACACGTCCGCACACGATAAAATCTCGCCAAAGACTGAATGAAGCGGGCCGGTCGTCGCCGTTTATGCCACAGAACGAAACGAAACCACCGTGTGGGTACGGGTATTTCAGCTGGTTGCTGCACCACGACCAACTAACCGTAATGACTAACCGCATTGGTTTGACCCTACCCTAATACAATCACTCTGGTTCTAGGAAAGAAACCTCATCCGAAATCCCATTTCAAATAGTTTTAAATTAGTATGCAAATAAGATGTAAAGTTCTTAAGCTTACTATTTTTTTTTTAATTTTTTGGGTTAATTGGTATTATGGCCAATAGGACTTATTGCAAAAAAGGATATAAACTTCTTAATGGTAGTTTAAATAATGCATAAAAAAAAGGAAGTTAAGTAACAAGAAATGATTAAAAATTATTAAGGCAGTATTAAAAAAACAAAACCAAAAAAACCAAAAAAAAACTGATTTTAAAATTAGTTTGTACAATATACTTATAGGGTATTCAGAATTCGATGATTTAAGAACAATTCTTGTTTCTTTCTTCTTTGCCTTTGGTTATTCGTGGAGTGCCTTCGACTTCGAGTTTAGAGTTCGGCTTTTTGTTTACGTTCCCATTCCCCAACCCGCTCCCCTTTCCACATATAACTTACCCATTTTTCCGGCGGTATGCAAAAAGCAACAAACAACAATAACAAAAGTCACGCTTAACGACTGTGACGTCGTCGCGACTTGGCTAGGTCCAAACCCTCTTTTTCCCCCGGCTTCCTCTTTTTGCCACGTTCATACCACTCTTTGTATGGACTGTGTCCAGTCTGCAGATCGGGACCGGCTTCTAAAAGGCAGGCCAAATAATAAACATGCAAGTGCCGCATGGCGTGGCATAGAAAAGAATAAAGAGTGGCAGCCAAAAAGTTGGAGTCGGAGTTGGGGTGTGAATGTGCGGAGACATCTGTGACATCCCAGGAAACTTGGGAGTAGCCAGGCTCGCTGATTGATTACCAGGATGGTGAGGTGGTCCATGGTCCGCAGTCCATGGTAAACGCCCCCGTGGAAAAGGGGTTGCAGTTTAATTGAGATTTATTTATGGTATGTGCGCGGTCAAAGACAAAAGAACTCGGTCTGCCCAACCCATTGCAGCCCATGCCACTAGAATATCCAATCCCAATCCCAGGTCAGGTTCCCATCAGGAGCCACGTCCATAATAACGAGCAAACAATGCGCAACGTTCCCGGGATCTCTGGCAATATTTGGACAGTGGGCAATTGAAGAACTCCAATTGTGTGGCTGCTGTTTTAGTGGTTGTTATCGATGATGTTGTGTTGCCGAGCCACTTCAGCACTCCAGCACCACCAAAAGAATAGAGTGGGGCGAACCAACGGTTTGGGTTTGGGATTGGGTTGAAAATTGGGTGGACGCCGCCTGCTTGTTATTGTCAATTGTTGGCTATGAGTGGCATTGGTTTTGCTTTTGCTTTTGGCATTGGCTTTGAAAGTGGCAGCCTTTGTTTTGGACAAGTTAACAGATTGCAATTGCAATTCCAGGTGGGCACTGTTTGAGTGTGTGGGTGACATTCTAACTGTCTGAATCTGGCCTGGAATTCGTTACTTCCATTCTCATTCCATACCCATCATTGATTTTGAGTTCGGGGCTAAGTGGCAGTTGCGGTCTACTCATACAGCAAGTTGGCCCAGCTCACTTTAACTACTACACGCAAAAAAAAGTTTAGCTTTAAACTTTTATTAGAGGAAAAATTCATTGGGAACCTAAAATTAAGTTAGTTGAAGAATACTCCCACCCATAAGTCAGATTTTGTGTTGTTTAAAGAAATAGTTAAATTAACACTTTAAATAAAATTAAAACAATTAATATATGCAAATTTTTCTCTCTGCAAAACCAACATCAAAGTAACGCCCACCTCGAGTTCAGCTCGTTAGGCCCAATTAGGCATTAGCAATTTCTGGCTGGTCAGCTCGTTCTAAAGCGGAGCACAACTTTCACTTTAACTGCGAACAATGGCTGCAAATTCGCAGACATGAACTTACAAAAAGTGAACAAAAAACCACAACAAAATGGCGCAGACAGCGGATAACAAAAGAAAAATGGCGTCTTCTTCCTTCCGGTCTGCCAACTTATGATTGAGGTTGCCAAAAAGTTTACCATAACACAAAAGTAAAGAATCGAAGAAAATGGAATAGAGAAACTTTGCCTTTTGGAAACCCTGCCCTCTTGGCCGTAAAGAAAACCGCCTTTCATAAAGCTGCCATAAAAAAGTGTGCTGCGAGGCAATCATTTCCCAGAAGTACCTAGTATACAAGGTACTTGCAAATTTCCACAAGCTGCCGCAAATGATTAATGTCAATAAACGTTGGCCGATGGAAAAGCGCTGGAATCATTCAAGAAAGCTGCCAGGTTCTGGGTAGCCCAGTCATGTGGGTCGTGAACCTGGCGAATCGAGGACAGCTCCGATCCACGAGCGTCGTGTGGGTGCACAAGTTCAAGTGGTGCGGTGGTTGAGGTGATTCTGGTGGTTCTTCTGATGGTCAGGTGCCGCGGTGGATAACCTCGATAAGTTGAAAATTGCCGGGCATAGGCACATACATGCACTGAGCAAAAATTTTTTAAAGAGATTTTAAAAAATATTTAAGCTTTGCATTGTTTTTAAGTCAATATAATTTTGAAATTTGTAATATATCAGTCTAATCCCCAAATTGTGGTTTTAAAATTAGGTCAGAAAGGTTCTCGATTTATTTTTTTTTTAGATGTATGTATAGATGTTGCAATTACGGCCGCCATGAGGCAGCAATTTGGTGGGAGCAAAAATCGGGTACGCCTCCCAACCACGATAATTAGCTAGGCGATCTAATGAGGAATTCGAAAGTGGCAACGCCTGCGCCTTGGGATATGACAACTGTTTTTTTTCCTACTTGTTTTTTCACTATTTGTTAGCCATGCCAGGCATGTCCAGCAATTTCACCGCTCGTTCAAACGGCGGCGGCATTTGCCTATGGCTTATTTTATTTGCCACGTCACACCCGCCGCACATGCGCATTGCTCAGTCAATGTGACAGGTGAAGCAGGGAAAACCTTTTGGCTTGGGAAACCTGTGGAGCACGCGATCCGATCCGATCCCAAACGAACCGATCCAAAAGTAATGGAATGCTCAGCTTTAAGGGTCATTGTCATCGCATGCAGACTGGAGGATTCACTCCCATGTGGCGGAGAGTCTCCAATTCAATTACCAACCAACTGCATTCTGCATTCCAGGTGGCCCCACACACAGCGTCCCATTCAGTTGCAATTTAGCTAACGGCGGTTCTGCATTTAAGCCATATTTGGCTGGATCCGGTAAATGCTTTCAGACGCCGTGATTGACAGCCGCAAGAAATCGTGGAAATTGAGGTGTTGACAGAGTGTCAACCAAAAAGGATCTTGCCGATCTATATTAAGCACTGGATCGCATTTGATAAGCCATGGAACTTAACCCAAGTCACCTAAGAATCATAAATTTAACATTCTTATTTATAAGTTACAGAGCGTGCCTTTTAGAAAATATCTAGCGTATTTTTTAGTTGTTTTACTTCCATTGAAAAATAATCACTTGATGTGCTGCAATCCTACGTGTCTAAGCTAAAAAATTTGAGATAATATTGTTTTTTTTATTTGTTCAACCATTTAATAGCAATTTATGTCTTTCTAAAAGATTAACAAAAAAGTAGTTCAACTTTTTTTTTTTTTAAATTTGCAAGAAACTAGGATGACAACAGGACACTGAAACAAAAGTTATCAGATATCCCATAAGATCTAAAGTTTTTAAGTGAACGCGCCAATTTTAGTACTAAAATCTAAAAATACTAAAACTACAAATGACTTTTGTATTTTTTCTTCGGCTTTGTGCTAATTTTACTAACCGCCCTGAAACGGTCCCACTGCAAGACAATCGATAGACCAACATATACTACTGTTATCGATAAGCGTCTATGTTTTTTTCCAAGCGAAAATTTTGTTAAAAAAAATTACAAGCCTCAGAATTGGTGTAAAAATGACTTCGTTGGACCCGGCGCCAAACAAAACTTGGGAGCTGTCCCTTTACGAGCTGCAACGCAAGCCGCAGGAGGTGATTACGGATAGCACGGAAATAGCGGTGTCCCCGCGGAGTCTTCACAGCGAGCTGATGTGTCCCATCTGCCTGGACATGCTAAAAAAGACGATGACGACTAAGGAGTGCCTACATCGCTTCTGCTCCGACTGCATCGTCACCGCCCTGCGATCCGGAAACAAAGAGTGTCCAACTTGCCGGAAAAAACTGGTTTCGAAGCGCTCCCTGCGTGCTGATCCCAACTTTGACCTGCTAATCTCAAAGATCTACCCCAGTCGCGAGGAGTACGAGGCCATCCAAGAGAAGGTGATGGCCAAGTTTAATCAGACGCAGTCGCAGCAGGCGCTGGTAAACTCCATTAACGAGGGCATCAAGCTGCAATCCCAAAACCGACCGCAACGATTCAGAACCAAGGGTGGCGGTGGAGGAGGCAATGGTAATGGTGCTGCAAATGTGGCAGCTCCTCCGGCGCCTGGTGCACCCGCTGCTGTGGCCCGTAATGCTTCCAATCAGTTGCACGTTCACGACACAGCCTCCAATGATAGCAACAGCAATACCAACAGCATAGACCGCGAAAACCGAGATCCAGGCCACTCGGGCACCTCGGCAGCCTCGGCCATTACAAGCGTCTCCAATGCAGCACCGTCCTCTTCGGCGAACTCGGGCGCCAGCACTTCAACCACCCGAATGCAAGTGGACGACGCCTCCAACCCACCATCTATGCGAAGTACACCCTCGCCGGTACCCTCTAACTCGAGCAGTTCTAAGCCGAAACGCGCCATGTCTGTGTTGACTTCGGAGCGGTCCGAGGAGTCAGAATCGGACTCACAGATGGACTGTCGGACCGAGGGTGACTCCAACATTGACACCGAGGGCGAAGGCAATGGCGAGCTGGGCATCAATGATGAAATCGAGCTTGTGTTCAAGCCCCATCCCACAGAGATGTCCGCGGATAACCAGCTAATACGGGCACTTAAAGAGAATTGCGTGCGGTACATAAAAACCACGGCCAATGCCACGGTCGATCATCTCAGCAAGTATCTGGCCATGCGGCTCACCCTAGATCTGGGCGCCGACTTGCCGGAGGCCTGTCGCTTGCTCAACTTTTGCATCTACGTAGCTCCACAGCCCCAGCAACTAGTTATCCTGAACGGCAACCAGACATTGCATCAGGTCAACGATAAATTCTGGAAGGTAGGGTACTCCTCAGTCCACCCTTTTCTAAGTCTCAATCTTATTTATCTTCTGTTTCCAGGTTAACAAGCCGATGGAAATGTATTACTCGTGGAAGAAAACATAAGCATTACGAAAGTTTATTTGTATTAGGCCGATTATTTCTAATGGAAATATCTCTAGCTGTAGAGCTTAACACGTATATAAAACATTCAATACAAAGCAAAATAAATTTGATTATAAGTAAAGTCTTTTTTGGTTTTACAAATCTTATCTGTTCTTCGAAGGCTAAAGTCATTGAACTCCCCCCTGATCTTTTTGGGGTTTGGATTTTGGGATCTAAAAAATAATGAGTCCAGAATACAGAAAAAGACAATGGAAATGGCCGCATACAGGATCAGGTATTTTATTTCTCAACTGGAAATAATTTCATACCTATAATGCGTAACAACATTACAAAGCGTATAATATAAAAACAACTATATATTTAATGTTAAGTAAAAAGGTATATGTTCCGTATCTGTGGGTTTAATAGAATGTGAATGTTTGGTGAGCCTTGGCTCTAGCACGTCTCGGAAGCCACATTAAGATTAGGAGGACGGTTTCCGTTTCTTCGTTGTATGAATATGACTAAGCTGCGGTCTTGAATCCAGGGTGACGATTGTGGGATCCCCTAAGGCACTGGGGAAGGTGATAAGAGGAGCTATGTTAAGTGCGGATCTCCAAAGGTATTCAAGTGACTTTGGTAGGCGTTGCACAGTGAACACAAAAAGCATAAATTTCCACCGACTATATCATTTCGGGACCCGACGCATCTTATCTGCAATGGCGTCCCTGAAGCACCGAAAATCGCTGCTGGCCTCGATTTCGTTGCGACATTTGCCCTGGATGCGATAGAGACCGCGGTTGATGTCCGTCCGGTCAGCGCTGAGCATGCGCCTAGAGAGATCCTGCTCCAGATCGTAGGGCAATCCCAGGTCAACCAGTTCGTCCACCTCGTCCTGGGTAAATGTGCGCTGGTGCTCCGCCAGAAACTCGGCGCACTTCTCGTAGATATCTAGGTACTGTTCAGCCTCGTCCTTGTCACCGGAGCGCCTAGTCTCCATGAACTTCCGAAGCAGTCGGGTCGCCTCTGGATCTAGAAGGGTCTCGTGGACGCTGTTCGAAAGAGAGTAGATCCTCCGAACCTCGGCGACGGTCATGTCGCTGCATCCGCAGAAGCACTTTATTAGCTGCAGGGTTTTGTTCTAGCGATATGATATGAAAATTGATGATTAAGCCACTTCCGGTTCGCCTTATCCATATGTCTATTCACCTTGTACGAACTGCAGGCCATAACGAATAGATTTTCTGATGTCCTTTCTTTCAATTTTTAGTTATACTCAGTGGCTCATAACTCGTCCTCACAGCCGGTAAGATTATTTTACTCCAAATTTTATTGGTCAACAAAGTGTGATTGCGCAGAGGTGCGCCAAAAATACAAAGTTTTTTGTTCGATGATTTATATCTGGTCTGTCTAAATATGCTTGAAAATTTGATACCGCCTTTTTCAAACCCAAGTTATAAGTGAAAAAACAAACTGTTCGCAGTGAAATAATAAAATTAAATTATCCACGATAACGTTTCTCTCTTCAAAGATACAAGTTTGGGTTATGGCAAATAAGAAATGGAAATGGATGGACTCTATACAAAGTCAAATTGGGTCCATTCCCATTTATTAGATGGGATTGGATCCTTTCAATATGTTCGATCGTAATGGGCTTCCCCATCAAGTTTTCCTCAAAACTTTTAGGCAGGTTCAGATGTTTCCACTTAGCATCGCCTCCATCAAAGAGGAGCTTTGCCTCCTCAAGGAAACTGCTGGCACGCAGCAGCACGCTCTTGATAATTTTAATTTAGACCATTTCTATGTTCCATTGGGAAGAAACGTGTAGATCCCTTACTTCACATCACAATTTTGACCACTTCTGCTTGTAATTCGGATCTTGACCATAAGCAACCCATATTTTAAAACAATCCTGACATTAATCTTTTATAAAGACATAAAAATGTCGTCAATGAAATAAAGTTACTTGAAACAACAGAAAGCTTTTGCTTATCAATTAATTACTCGGTTTTATACAGTTAATAAGGAAATTATAACAATCCCAAACTTTATTTAAGAAAATACATAAAATGAAATAAAATAAAAGTCTGCGACTCAATTGCACCTAGAGCTTAGACTTTAGGGCGTTCATTAACTTCTCCAGCTTTAGGGCCTTCTGGAAATCGCCGCTGATCTTCAGCTTGCCGGTCATGTAGGCGGGTGCCGCCTTCAATTTTCCGGAGAACATGTCGAAGAAGTTGTTAGAGTTCATGGTCAGCGTAGCGTCGGGATTGGATGGTGGTGTTCCGGATCCACAGGACCCAGACCCGTTCTTAAGGTCAAGGAACCAGGTTCCCTGCTCAGCGCCACTAATATTAAACTGAAAGACGGCCTGCGTTTTCGAGACGATCTCCGGCGAGAGAAGAGATTCGATTTTCTGGAACAGCTGGGGTATCTTTGCACTTCCTCCATTTGCAGGAGCAGCAGAAGCACCTCCTGTCGGCGCGACATCATCAACCGGAGCTCCCTTCGCTTCAACGAAGAAGTCCACCATTAGTTTGTCGGCGTTTTCGCGGAAGCAGGCGTAGTCCGTGAGATCCGTAACTCCCGCTGACTCCAGCACCTCATCGTCCACAAGAAACTGACCGGTGGCCTGTCTGGGTTCTCGGCTAAGGATGGCGTAGGCAGCATCGGCCATAATCTCCGGCTTGCGTGACCACTTGGCAGAATCAGGACCTGTAAGCATCTCTATTGCCGCCGTGTGGATAGCAGTGCGCGGCCATAAAGCATTGACGGAAATTCCCTGGTCGCGAAACTCTTCAGCCATGCCCAGCACGCACATGGACATGCCGTACTTGGCCATGGTGTAGGCCACATGCGGGCCAAACCATTTGGGCTTCATACTCAACGGAGGCGAGATGTTGAGGATGTGGGCGTGGTTGCTTTTCTTCAAGTAAGGAAGACACTCCTTGGACACCAAGAAGGTGCCGCGTGTGTTGATGTTGTGCATCAGGTCGTAGCGCTTCATATCCGTATTAGGGGTGCTGGTCAGCGAGATGGCGCTGGCGTTGTTTACCACAATGTCAATGCCTCCAAACTTGGCTACCGCTGCCTCCACGGCTTTGCGCACTTGTACCTCATCTCGCACGTCCACGACACAAGGATAGGCCTTTCCTCCAGCTTTCTCGATCTCTTCTGCCGCCGTGTAAATTGTTCCTGGTAGTTTGGGATGCGGTTCCGCTGTTTTGGCCGCCACCACAATGTTGGCTCCATCGCGGGCCGCCTTCAGGGCAATCTCTTTGCCAATTCCTCGGGAGGCACCTGTGATGAACAGAGTCCGTCCTGCCAGTTTTCCTGTGTTGATCATCTTGTCCAAAGTTTATAGACCGTTCGCTGTGAGATCTTGATTCCCACTGGTAACGGTGATACTGCTCGAAATAAATACTCCAAGAGAAAGTCCAAAGTACAGATTCAACCGATTTGATCCACAACAAGTCGGCAAGCGATAGAGCGGTAGCGGCATCTTGCTCTCTCTTTTTTCCCTGTGGGGTCGTGCTCATGTTAGAAGTGGATGCATGTGAATCACGCACGAACGCGGAATTAAATTTTAACCGTATTTTCACTATTCTAACTAACAGCTTTGGAGACAAATTTTTAAATCTTTTATGAAAAATTGCAAATTAAATTTTTAAAATTAAGAAGAGCTTTAAATAAACATATATTCAGTTTGAACAAATCGATTTTTGTGATTAAAAAAGACAGCAAATGCTCATCCTTATATTCGATAGCATCATGCTAAAATATCGATTTAAAGGTGACCGTATTAGCACAACTTTTTAAAGTTAAGCGCCAATTGCATTATTGAAATTTTGTTTAACCCATAATGCAATTGTAAAGTAACTTGAATGACAGAACGGCTACCAAGTATATTTATTAGTTTCTAACTTTATCTATTCAATACAAAAATGGCACACAATGGAAAACAACGATTCGTCTATAAAACTTAACACCCAACAACTATCCTTTATCTATGTATGTATGACTATTCCAAATTCCTGTTAGTTAGAGGAACCACATGGGTTCTAAAGTTCGTAGGCTCGGTCGCCGTTCTGTGATTGTTAAATAAGGGTGTCCTCGTCCTGCCCTTCGAAGACCATTAAAAGCGAGTGCTGCGAAGGTGAGCGACCCAGGGTCAATCCACCCAAAGATCCATCCGGTGAAAGTAGACCCGTCTGCAGGCTGTTGTTGTCTCGATAACCGGAAGTCGAAGATGTCTGTGACACCGAGTCCCAAGAAATCTCACCCAGGGTTTTGGCCTGTGCCTGCTGGGGCTGCTCCTCCTGAGAGGTTACCTTTAAAAAAGTAAGATCTGTAGCTAATGAGCAATAATATTTTGAAAAACTTACAATGCTCGGCGGCTCCATGGGCGTCAAACGGCTGCGCTTCAGCCTAAAAGTCTTTCGACTGGCCGCTTTCGATCGTTGAAGTCGGGAGCGAGTATGATCTCCAGAACTATCCTCGGCAGGACTCTCCGGTGACAGAGGCGTGGTCGAGGTTTCCCCGGATGAATGCCGGAACTCCACGGACGAAACGAAACGCAGCTTGGGAGGCTGGGCCTTGAAGGGAGCCTGCTGCAACGACTGCGAATGCGAGAGATGCGAGGGCACGGTGGAGGCGGTACCGGTACCACCGCCCGATCCATGTCCCGAACCGCTCGGCGTGGGCCCCACCAGCGTGGGTGCCGATCCTGCGTCCGCCTCGCCGCTCTGGCTCTCGCTGGTCGTCGTGTGCGGATCCCGGCCCGTGGAGCTGCTCGACAGCGACTCCCGCGGCGGGTGCAGCGTCTGCTGCGACAGCGTGTCGCTGGGCGTGCAGATCCCGCCAGATCCGCTGCGCGAGTCGATCGGCACGGCGGAGACGTGGGAGTGCGAGGCCTGGCCCGTGGTGGTTCCTGTGAAGATAGATATGAGTGAAGGTCTTTGCTGCGACTTGTGGGCTTCTGCCGCACTAGTTGCCGCCGGTGTGTCGCTCTTCTTCTGCTCGGAACTCTCGCGATCTGTGGAGACTAAAACATAAGTGGATGTGTGGAGGGCGGAGTTTTGGAGTTTATCCGTTTCGTGCTCTTACCGTATCGCTTCTCCTCTAGCTCGTCACGCAGATCACGCAGCTCCCGGGCCAGTTCCAGCAGCAATGCTCCCTTGGACTTGATTCCACCCTGCGGCGGAGTTCCACGCAGGCGCTCCCTGATGATGAACTGCATGTGCCGCTCGTGATCTCCAATAGGGGGTTGTGAGATCTGGAAGAAACAAGATTTTAGTGCTCGTCATTTGCAAAATGATCAAAATCTTGGTGGTTTTAGGTCAAGGGGATGGACTTATAGAAATAGTTCGGATCCAAGTCATAAAAATAATGGGTTTTTTTTTGAAGGCGTGGGGCATAAAAGTGCAGATTTGGGATTTACTTGAAGGAAAGAATAATAAGGGAACCAAGGAAACCAAGGGCATTATATAAAAAAGTGAAGTTATATGCGGAATTCTTCAGGGCTGCGCCCTCAGCTCAGCAAGTTATACTTAGTTAGGTAGTTTTTTGTAAATGTTACCAATATACAAGAAGCACTACTTCATGGTTCCTAATTCCAATATCAGCTAAGACTAAATTTTCAAAAAAGGTTAGAAAGTTTTTATCGCATATGAATGACATTTCACCAAAAGAGTTTACATTTATTGGGGAGACCAACAACGACGATATGCCCAAGTTCAAACTTTACGTAGAGGTCACCAAAATGGAAGTTCAGTTAAACTTATTCCAAAGAATACAAATCATTAAACAAGACCCCGTCTCTTACCTTGTGCAGAATGAAGGGCAGCAGGACAATGTACAGGGGCGTTCGGTGGGTGACTACGAACTCCATGAAACTCCAGAGGTCTGGGGCCGCCTCGTTACGTCTCCCAAGATCTCTCATCACCCGTACAATACGCGGCCACTCGTTGGAGAGCCGGCTCTCGAAGCAGATACACACGATGCGCAGGGCTAAGAAGGCGGCCTGGTAGAGGGACCCGGAGATGCGAGCTGGGCGTTTTGCATCCCGACTGCCGGTAAAAGTGAGTGAGCCGGCGCGTAAGTCGCCGGTTACCCGGTTTATCTGAGATACGGCCTGGCCGGTTCGACCCGCCGGCGGACTCATCGCGTTCAACACGGCAGTCAGTAGAAAGGACACGTCCGTCATCTTCAATTCGCCCACGTCGGAAACGCCTCGGCCCGAGCAAACCTTCAGACACAGTGGCATTATCAGATGCATTAGAAAGCCTTCGGCCTTTTCCTGCGTGGCGAACTCAGCACTCCCGCCACAAATCTGAACCAGGGAGAAGCAATCCACGGGGCTGACCACTTGCAGAGCCACCAAACGCACCACAGCTGAGCAGAAAAAGGCCGGTGGATTCTGAGACATGAGCGCTGCACCTGCGCTGGAGACGCCCTCGGGGATGCCGGATCCGGGCTCGTTGACGATCAAATTCTGCACCGTGCTAATAAGGGTTTTCATCTGCTGCCAGTGCAGCACGTACGAGTGCCGTATGATCGTCTCGTGGATGCCCTTCAGCAGTCCGGCGGCCGCCTCCCAGTCCGTATTCCTCCTTATCGATGGTTTCTTAGAGATCTTCAAAAAGACCTTGTCGATGCGCCGTAAAATAGTGACCAGTGCGTTGCGCAATGTATCGTTGGACCACTCAGCCCGTGGAAGGACCGCCTGCATATAGCGCTGTAAGCCTCGGCAGGCCATGGACTCCGGGTCATAGGGCGACACCTTCAGCAGAGAGTGCGCAATGTCTGCAAGACGGATGTGGCACTTGGCGTCTAGAACCTCGGTGGGCTTAGTATCACTGGGCATCTTCTTAGCCAGCTCAGCTAGTCGAGCAGTTGATTTGGTGAGGAAATCGGCCACCACGGAGAGCAAAACATCGCGGGGTCTTCGGTATTCAGTTCGGATCATTTCAGAATCCTCTGCTGAGTCCATCATGTTCTTTGTGCGGGCATCAGTCAAGTATTTTGGGTGTGTCTCCTCCTCAAAGTCAAGGCCCGGAGAACAGGGAGGTCCCCTACTGCAGTTGCGTTGTGATGAGCCCTTGTGCTCTGGGCTATTCCGATACGGTCCATTGTAGCTCTTGGCTAAACCCTCACAGTTGTGGACCATGGTGCGTATCGCCACCGCCAGCTGGAGGATGATATCGCGCTCGGACTTCCCTTGCAGCGGAATATAGCTGGGCGATTGAATTTGCTGTAGGTAGCAGGGAAGAATGGCTTCCAAAATAATCTGAAAGGATCAATGGGTTATCTTATGTTTTAAAATTGGAAAAATACTATTTTGAGCCACCAAATACTTTGAAGATCTATATCTATGTATGTCTATATCAGTAGTTTGGACTCACTAGCATTTGGTATCCTCGAGTGCTCTCAGCGGAGTAGGATACCACCATAACACAAAGTGTAATGCAGTCTAAGACTGTGACATCGTCATCCTCGTCATGGTAACAAAAATCAATGGCCTTCAGAGGTTTGGGTTCCTTAACCAACTCCGCAATGTTCAGAGGATCAGGCGATGGATCCTCCAGACTAAGGAGCAGATTAAAAAGGCAGCTTGACTGCACTTTGTGGGCCTCACCATATGTGCCATCTTCATCCGTATCGAGAATGGCAGAAACGGATCCAAACATTTGCAGAATGAAGGGTTTCCGGTTTAGCAGATAGAACTGCTTCACTGCGTACTCTATAGTAGTGGTGATCAGCTTGTTGGTCTGATGTAGGGAATAGACTTGCAAAAGAGTTGGCATAATCATAAAATAACCGTTGGTGGAGAATATATTCTTAAAGTTGAATGCGGCGTTGATGAAGGTGGCCATCACATAGCGCATGATGCACGAATCTTCGGCGTGCAGAATGGAGGCGCCGGAAAGGACGTTCAGAAAGAGTTGGATGTCCGCTGAGTATGCGAAATTCCCAGCCATGGCCTCGAACATGCGGGCTATCAATCGTACCCACATGAACTTGTGCAGAACGTCCAACCCGAGCAGCACCTTTCCGTATTCGCCGCCATGATGCAGATCCAGATCGACCTCAAGTGCCTTGCGCGGGAAGGAGGGCAGCTTCATCAGCTCCTCGTGCAGGAACACCACCCGCTGCACTACCATGTCCACGTTCTTTAGAATAGCCCAAGTTAAGTGCACCTTTCCAATCTCGACAAACTTCTTGGTTAACTCTTGTTTCTGAAGGGCCAGGAACGACTCTTCTGGGCGCATTAGCATAAGACGAACCTCCGGGTATTGAGACCTTTTGAAAGAAGTAAAGATCACGGATGTACCAGTTAGGATTAAGGATTTTGCCTGAAATACACAAAGCAATCAGCATAACTCAGTGGATAACGAGGTTTACTCCACTCACTGCTCTTATAGTCCACCAGGCAATAGTGACTGGTATTTTTCTCATCGATGGGATAGTAATCTAAGGCCTCCTTGAGCAGTTGACAGAACAAGGTGTCCTCCTGCACTGGAAACTGAGAGGGTATATTGTAGTCATCATCAGCTGGTCCATGCACTACAATCTTTTTCGCCGCGGGGACATTGGCCGTTAGTAGGATGGAGGCATCGCATTGCTCCTTTCTCAGAATCTGCTTCAAATCCTTGAACATAATTCCGTGGACCGAGTGCACCACCATCCAAAGTACCGATAAAGCTGAGCCAACGAGCTAAAGAACAAAGGATTAGTAGGTAAGATATTTCTGTTTATTAAAGAAACTAATACCTCCTGCTTTAGTTCGTTGGAAGATCTCACGTAGAACATGATGTACCCAATAATTGAGTTATAGAGGGCAAATGCCGCTTGCTGGGGCAGACGTGGCACAAATCGGATAAGGTGTCTCAAGAGTTTGAACATCTGATCCTGACGATCGCGTGTCAGGCGCTCAAATACATAGCGCAGAAATAGGGCCGATTCTTCTACCAAACAAACCCAGATCACCTGATAGGCAATCTCGTACACAGCATTACCATCCGATCCAATTGCAGCATCGTCCAGACAGCCGACGATCTGCATCACGGAGGAGCATAGTACGGAGGGGAAAAGCGAGTGGGCATGGTGTAGGTGTGAGGACATGCGTGTACCGTCGAGGTCTTCCTCGATCTCATGGTCCTCCAGCTTCTCCATTCCTGGCTCATGGGAGGCCTGTTGGCTAATGGGTATCATGGTGATAAGGAAGCTGTGACGCTCCGCCCGCTGTTTGTCCCTCTGCTGGCGTAGAGCATTCCTGATGGCCTCCGTTTGCTGCATTTTACGGCTCTTGGTGGCAGTGACCAATGATCGCTGAAAGATAAGCATGTATTAAACTGCCAGCAAAGTTTCCCTCGCGACCAGTACATAACCCAGTGTCTCGGCTGCCTTCTCACTCACATGTCTATCTTGATTCAGGGTAACATCCATATCCTTTGTCTGCTGCACTGGCATCCATGGCGGATCCACCACCGGTAAGCTTTCAATGCCAATCTTAGGCGAAGGCAGTGTGAATTCAATACCACCTGGTGGCACCTTAAAGGTCACATCGTGGGCATTTTCCTCCATTCGGGGCCAGACATGGAAACGGCACTTCCATAGCACTAGATATCGCTGAATGGCACCAATCCTTATATCCGGATCCTTGTGCTTCAAGGCCCTCTGCATGATGTCAAAAGCAAAGTTTTGGGCCTTCACCGATCCCATCAAAAAGACGGCGGCACTTGAGGTGGCCGTGTCGTGATTCGTCTCCAGTAGAAGTTCCCAAGCGGCAGGCATAGCCTCGATTACCATCTCCTCGGTTAAGACAACAGCACCCTTTAGCAATGTGGCCAATGGAAAGTGAAACAAGTTGCGTATGTGGATGCGGATGAACTTGAGGATGGGTGGTTCCTCCTGCATCTTCTTTTCCTTTTCCTGACGGAATGCTTTTGCCAACTTTTCCGCCATCTCCAGGTCAGGATCATCACTTATTCTGAAAATATGGAATTAGTGATGCAAGGGGAAAGATACAGCTACCACATACCGATCCTTCCGGGACAAACTATCCTTTCTTTTAGATGGCGATGTTTGGGTAGAACTCTGCTCAGATACTTTGCGTGTAGAACGGGCTCGTGAAGTATGAGGCTTGCTGGATGTTATTATTGTAGGTTCAATGTTAGGATGGTCTGCATCGAAGGTGAAGCCGAACTCCTCGCCATAAACCTAGTAAATGGAAATTGGTTAAAATTAGGTTGCACTTACTAATTAACTAGAAATACCTTTCTTGTGGCCTTAACCAAACGTGTGCAAGATCGCATGTGTCGCTTGTAGCAGAATGGATGACAATATCCTTTGTGGGTGCAATAGTAGTTATAGCTGGACATTAGATCTATGATCGCTTTAAGCCAGGGCATGTTCTTGGCCGTATCATCATTCTCATTGGAATCAGTAGGCGATTCGGGCTGCTGATCGTCACTAAGTATTCCAGGTGACTCCTCGCCACCACTGATCATGCCTTGTTCCGAGGTGTCACTGCGATCGGAGAGCGAGGAAACTTTGCGCCGCGATTGCATATTGACTGTTACGACATTTTACATATAAAAAAATCTGCGAAATATTTTGATAGATATTTCCACTCACAATCGGTTTCTATGTCCTTGCTGTCCTTGGTGTTGCGACGAAGCTTCAGAGAGCGACGTTTGAAGGATCCCCCCGTCGTGGTAGCAGTGCCGCGTCTTAGCAAGAATGGACGTACAGCCGATGCAGTGGGTCGACGGGCTGGATGTAAGTTATAAAATTTTGTGAAATATATAATAAAATATGAATTTAATAAACAAATACCTTCTTCGCCCTCTTTGGTTAGCGTTGTGTTGCTGCTATTCTCCGACTCATTGTCGGGTTCGTGGAGTACAAAGGATATTTTCCGCTCCGACTGGCCAGCTCCGTCGTTTCCAGCTGCTATCGACTGCAGGCTCTGGGCGGAGGTCTGCGAGTGACCCATGGAACTGAGGGCCATGGACCAACGCCTATTGGCCTCGCGGTAAACCTTCTCCCAGGGCGCCGGCTTGTCGCGATGGATTAGCTTGGACGTCTTGGGCAGCATTAAATAGGTATCCCTTAAAAATGCAGTAATTTCGAAGAGCAGCACACAGGCGATCAGCTTCAAGGAGTGTGGGCAATCGTTGCCGTGTGGATTCACCGAAGTTTCATCGAGGAAGTCTTCCTCCTCATCCTGCTGCAGTAGCTCGCGCTGCTTTTCGGGATCGGTGAGACTGGCATTAACCGCTTCGTACTGCAGCCGCTCCGTGAATAGGATCTCCTCCAACCTGGCACCGACCATCTCCGCCCACTGATGGAACATCTTTCCGGCGGCTCTTTGCAGAATGTGAGTGCGTCTGGCGCTCGTTTGGCTCACCTGCTGTTTCATTTGGTTGAGATTAATGTTGGCTCCCGATGCACGGTAGCTTCCAACGTTCTGTTTCATCCAGGCAGGCCACTGACCTTTGTTGCACAAATGGACAAAGTGGGCGCACTCAAGTAGGAAAGTTGCCCTCGCCACGAGTGGAGCTTGGGGCTGCCGGAATAAAGGATTTAGGTTTATTAAGAAATGTTCCGAGGATTGTCAGAGAGTTATTCATCTTCACTAATTTGTTACAACATTTATTACAGTCCTTTTGGAGAGAACTAAATAGTTATACTGACCAGATCTAAAACAGCGGCCACCAGCTGGGGATCGGGAAAGGAACCGGGGGCACATGTTTCTAGGAGGAAGGAGAGCCGTAGCATGCCCACGCGGACCGGTTCCGTGGGGACCAGTTTGCGCTCCTTAAGGATAACCACCTCCGACTCTCGGGGACCGTCACACATGTCTGAGGAGCTGCGCCGGCTAAAGTCTGCCGTCTCCTCTATGCCGCCAACCTTCTTTTTGCCCTTCACAATGCCGCCGAAACGGTTCAGCCGCCGCTCGACGCGTCGCTTGGCGCGCTGAATGGACCGCCCAATGCCATCGCTCGATCGTCCGCGCTGGATCTTCAGCGAGGCGTGCCGCATGAACGTGGAGGAGATCTCCGGGTTGAGCGACCCGATCTCCAGATCGATGGACGATGCCTCCTTGGGCGTGCCGCGGAACCAGCGCACCAAGCCGCTGAGCCGTCCCAGCGAATTGCGTTCCGAGCTGGACGTGGAGTCGGACAACAGGGCACGTTCGCTGTGCCGCGGGGTCAACGTGGGTCGAACTCCAGTAGTCCTTCGCCGGAAATTACTTAGCGGCGACTGGCTCGTCTTATAGTGCTCCTCGCACGCTTCCGTCTCCAAAAGGCTCTGAAATAGATGAGGCGGGGATAAGCTTTAGGTTGCGTTTTAGGAATAGGTCTCACCACGGCGCAGGCGGATGAGGTGCTGCGCTTCTTTAGCAGCAGACGACGCTGGGAGCGGTTGTCGTCGTTCTGCAGGCTCTGGGTCACATTGGCCTGGGGAATGTGTCTGAAAATCCGGAAGGGAATCAATTATCGAAATTCTTCAAAGACAATGTTATTTACTCACCTAATCACGCGAGTGGTCTGTGCCGAAGGACCCTTTTTGTGGGGCCTTGGAGTGACGGCTAGAATGCCACTGAGGGCCACCAGTCGAAATGGGCCGCCATGGGCTCCCTTAACATAGGTCACCAGCTGTCTAATGTCACCGTAGAGGGCTATGTTTTCTGGGCCCTTTAGGTCCTTGCTGGCCTCCACAAACCGGCTGACCAACGGCTTGAAGACAGCTCCAACTACCTGGGCCTCGGCTCCGCCGCTCATGCCGCCACTAAAATTGGTCGAATAGCCGCCCTGACCTGGTACGCCGCCAATATCGGTGTTAGCATTTTTAAATCCACTCTGACGTTTATGAGCTATTGCATCATTTCATACATACATATATATATATACAACGTATTGGTGGTGACAGTAAAGAACCAGGAGGGATAACTCAAAAGCATTAGCAAAAGTCTTGGCATGCAAAATGGGGAAAAGAGAACCACAAACAGCATGGGGGATGCGGATTCCGGCCGGAAGAGCAAATCAAAAGACGTATGGGAAGCCCAACTCAAAATGGCCAATGGAACTCAAAAGTCTGGTTGGATCGAGTATTAAATGGGGGATTTGGTGCGCCTACATTGGGTTGGCATCCAAGCCCAGCATTTGCGGTTTAGCGTCGGCTATCGAACGGGTCAATACTTACTCAAGGGCGAAAGCAGCGAGCTGGGATCCACGCAAAAGGCCAAGAAGGCATGGAAGTAGTCAATGAGCTCCGGCAATGGCGAAGTCTTTACCATCTCCTGCATGAATCGCTTGGTTCTTTGACCCGCCTGACGCAACATTCGGGAGAGGATCTTCTGGCATTGGTTGCGCAGGAAGTCGGCAGGTGGACCTCGAACACCTAAAAATAAAATTGATTAATAAATAAACCAGATTTTTTTTTTTTTAACCAACCATCATTGCAACCGTGTGGGCAACCCAGGACCTGTAATGCACGCCTGGTAATGCTCATGGAGATCTCATGAGCATGTTCGCCCAACTTAAGAACTCCCATTTCGATAAGAAGTTCACAGATGTTAAGACCCGCTTCCAAAACACGTAGGGAGCAAACTTGGGCCGGGTCCCGCTTAAAAACATTGCTAATGGCCAGTAGGATAATCTCGTAGTCAATGCCACCATCGCGTGTTATATAAAAGGAAGAACCTGGAGCCTCCGACTCATCCACGCCCGTGTAATCAATGTGAGAGTCCGTGTGGGAGCGCAGCATTTGGCCTCGGTAACGGGTGGTGGTGCTACCCATACCTGTACTACCATTACCACCTCCATTCCCACCCATGCCAGCAATACTGCCGCCATTACTCAAGGCATCCAGCTGAGAGTCAATGGAGCCCTAAGAACGAAATAAGCAATATATTAATATTTATATTTAAAATTTTAAATAAAGATTAAAGTTACAAAATCCTGCATAAAGATAGTTTTCATGAACCCTTGCATTAATACTTAGTAAGTATGGATAATAACTCACCTGTCGTTTCATATAATCAGGTGATGGTGTGGGGGTGTGTTCCGTGACCGTAATAATGGGATTCCGAGGATAAAACGCCGTAGAACGCGGACAGGCGGTCTGCGATGGCCTTGGGGCTTTGGGTGGCTCAACGTATCTGTAAAATCTTGTATTTTGTAGGATACGTGCGAGAAAGCGTGTGTGTGGCATTAGTCAAAAACGGAGTGCGGCAAGCTGAAGGATCAAGGGTATTTGGGGGAAAGGCTTGGGGTTGGTGAGAAAGAAACAGGCTTGGACAGGTGCCGAAAGGTGAGCAGGCAAGGTTGCGGAAAGGGGGGAAACCAACTTTGAGTTTGACAGCACATAAAGCACAGAGTGTTTCTTGGAGATCGAAATATAAAATATGTTTTGTTAGCTTGATAGACCAAAACTCACCCGCTATCAAGCAGACAGCTGGCAGATAGATCATTGGAGAAAGTAGAATAAGTCAGGGGGTATAGAATATATATCATTAGCTCGAGAGCAAAGAATGAGTCTCTGAAGAGTGTGGAATTTCGAGAATCGTTTTGAAGTGTATATGTATATTGTTTCTGGTGTCTGAGGCCTGATTAAGAGTCAGTTTTATGATTTTGGTGGGGTTTTCTGGGATTTTCCTTTTACCTGAGACTGGGCATAGATTTGCCTTTGATCAAGTTACTAGCCGGTTCGCGACTTATCATCGATGCAGATCTCGATAACTTCTTCTCTCCCGTGTCCAGGCTGCGATGGTACTCCTATATGATAAAATAAGATATCATTATTATATTTATAGTAAAAGATTCAAACGCCAATATAACAATAAACTCTCAAGCCAAACAAACACCATTTAGAATGGAACATTTATATGGGGATTATAAGCGGGAGCCAGGCAGTAACACTTAAGAACAGTAAACATAAGTTTTTGCTCCGCTTACTGCATGTTGCAGTGGTGTCTTGCCATTGGCTGAGTTTGTATCGAGCCCTACTTTTTCCAAATTCTTCTCCGACTTCGAGAACATCTTTGTCTCTACGAAGGCTCGAAGATCAGCCATTTTAACGCGTTTCTTCTTCTCGCTGCCTCGTCTTTCTGTAGTACTTGGGGCACTTTGAGGTTCTTCTAAAAGTGTATGTTAAAACTATATTTTAGATGATTTTCTGGAATTTGTTTAACTGAGAACTAACCTGCGACACACGTGGTCACTGTTGGTGATGGATCTGGTATTTCAATGTAGTCCTTCACCACAGAACTTCCGGGACTATCTCGACTATTGCTGCCAGGCCCTTGGTAGAGTGAAATCTCGATTTGTGGTATGGGCAAGGAGTTCGAGCGCTTGCGAGGCTGATTTAAAGTAATGGCTGCCTCCTCACCAATGTCACTAAGTCTGAATCGGGAATGGGATAGATTTAGATGTTTAAAATTTCTGTATGTTACCATAGAAACATACCTATTATATAGATATTGAAGACTCCAGAAGATACCCTCCTCCTGCCAATGCGAGATAAAAAGACAGCGAAGAACAGCCACATCTAGAAAAGTGGCGGCCGACACATCTGCTTTAATGCTTTCCGACTTGTCTGAATCCGTTTCCTTCTCGATGGAGGCACTTCGCTTTTCTTTCATCGAAGCACCACGCATTAGCTCCTGCTGATCAAACTCGAATTTGGTGGAGGGCACCTTATCCTTGTCGCGGGAGTTCATAGACTGGCGACTTCCCCGACGACTCTGAGATTGCTGCTGTTGCAGCAAACTGGCATCGGCCTGATATATGACACATAAGTTGCTCTATATATCCCTCAAAATGTTGTTAGTAAATTAAGTTACCGTAAAGAATGAATTATCCATTAGTTGTGGCGCCGAAGGCAGCCTGAATATGACGACACGTTCGTCTTCCACGCTGGAGGCCTCTTCCGGTATGGTTTCGGGAAAGGCAAATTCCTTGGGTGAGGATACCCAAGAGCCCTGGATATTTATACAGATATATGAAATATTTCTTAGATATTTTATATACACACCTCTTCATCCTGCCTTCCATAGTCTGAGATACCACTCTGAGGTGAATCCGCTTTTGGAGACATTGCATCCGCACTGAGAGAATGCTTTCGGGCGGGAAACACATCTGTTGATCCTTTTGGAGTGGGAGCACACAGTAAATTTCGGGCCTTGGGTTTTACTGGAGCAGTAAAACATGGTGCTCCGGGTGCTCGGTTATCCCACATTCCTTGCCAGAGCTTAATGCCATTCTCCAGGCGGAAGTTCTGGAAATCCGATTCCTTCAAGTGATGTATAATAGGTGCAAAGAGGTACACAAAGAGCTGAAAAAGAGAGGTGTTAAAGGATATGAAAGGGGTGTACAGCTAAAAGTCAACTCACTGTTATAGTTGGCACGGAAAACAAATACTGATCTATGGACTTGGACTTGGGTTCCGCTGCATCGCCCAAGCCCAGATCCTCTCCGCCTTCGTCATCTGCACATTCCTCAGCTGCATAGAGAAGGATCCATTGCATGGTGTACAATAGCTTGGTCTCCACGGGCCCGATGGCCTGCATGTCCTTGACACGATTGTACAGTAGAGCGGCACAGGCGTGCATAACATGTGGAAGGGCTCCTTGCAAAAGGCGCCATCGGGGAATCACACCCAATCCTTTGGTAAGAGGCGGTGACAGGCCAAATTGGATGTTCTGCACAAGAACTTTCTCGAAGGACTGTGAAAAGAGTATATAAATATTTAATACAGTACATATGTAGTACTTAAGTTGAACTTACCTTGCAAGCTTCCTTCGACTCCTGGACACCGAAAAGTGGGCAAGAAAATGATAATTTATATTATTGGTATTAAAGCAGATATGGTTTAAAGCTACCAAGATTACAGCAAAATAAAGGGACTTAACACAAAAACAAATCTTAAACGTAGGCACATAAAACATTTAACATCTACAATATAAAAGGGAAGCTATAGAGCTTGTGAACTCAATGAAGAAATCATGTTTCAATAATGTTTTACATTGAGCCCACAAACCTTAGCGGTTAGAAAAAATAGGGTTATTACTACCACAAACATTTATAACTTACATGGTGTCCCGGTGCATGTTGACAAAACTACATTCAGATTCAGACAAATTGCGAAAGATTTTACAATGTTAATTTGTACAGTTTGTTATTGTTATTGTGATTTTAGTTGGTTTGTGTATTTAAAGCATACTGAATGTAATATTCACAGGCTCAGGAAAAGCTTCTAAGCCTAGGTTAGGAAGAGCAAAAAGTAGAGCATACTTTTTTGGGTGAGCAGTAAAAATATGTTTTTCTTCATCTGAAACTTTTCCTGGCCTGTTATGAATGAAAGACAGGTCTGTTGTTCAGTTTGTGGATGGTGGCCGTGTTAGTAGTTGTTAAAAGAAAACAAATCGAATGCAAGAAAGAATATAAAACATCAAACATCAAAGTTTTAATTTGGTTTTGGCTTCCAATTTTCCATATTTTTTTCTGGGAAATCAAAAAGAGAAGACATTGAACACAATTTTTGTTTGTTTCGAATTGGTTGTGCCAATATGAATGCCAATGGTTTGGGTTTCGGTATGTTACACAGTCCATCCTTACAACAAACACGCATAGCGAATATACAGCACCCAATTTTTGGGGGAAATGTTTCCATCTTTTCGGCCATCGTAGCTTTTTTTTTTGGTCTTTGGCAAACTCAATTTGCGCTTTAGTTTTGTTGGCTCACAAACCAAACTCACCAGACAGGTAGACTCGTGCAGTTTGCCCAACTTGGGGCGGATGAAGGGCGCTATTTGACGCCACAGGAATGTTTGCACGGACACCGGTAAGCCGAGGTCCTGCAGTCCACTATCCTGGTCAAAGTCAAAGTCATCGTTATTGTTGTTCGCCGCATGGCTGTTGTTGTTCGTCTGCAAATTGTTGTTGTTGGTGGCGTTGGTTGTTGTTGTTGCTGTCCCCGTTGTCCCCGCGGCATTGGTCACCATGGTGGCCAGCTGGAATGGCAAGGACACATATCAAATGGCGTGCAACAGCTGGCTGGTCGAGAGTCATTCATAAAAATAAGTAAGGTGCCATTAGCATGTGCAACAGGTATTTGCGTGCGCAGGCTCGACACGCTGCCTTCCTTTGCTCCTGTTGATTTCTGGCTTTTCCGTCGACTAGGTCAGTGCCATATCCATATGGTACTCCCCCAGCCCAACAAAAATAAATGGCGAGATTTCGGTCCTGGGACGCTGCGCAGAACGCAGACTCCGCATCAGCGGCGAGAACGAGGCGACTGGGTTATAGATACAGAACTGGGTTTCTGGTATACATGCTAATTTGGGGCAAAAATTTTCACAGACTTATATAACCAGAGCTGGGATTGTGGAAAATTTCGCTTTTCCCCAATTAATTGCTGTCGCACCGTCAATTATTTGGCACTTAACACACACTCAAATCAAACGTTGTAGTTTGTGCCAACATTTCGCTTGATTGGTGCCGCACCCAGTGGAAATCGCTACTAGCCATCAGTTCCTTACTTCACTTAACTGGGCTGGGCTTTTGGACAGTCACTAATTGCAGACCCCTTTTATGACGGCGCCTGAGCTGAGGCTCTGAAGCACTTTGTTTGATTTCAAATTGTGTTTAGTTTTCTTTACCATTTTTTCTGCAGCTTTTGGAAGTTCTGCAAGGGCTTACCTTGATTTGCGCGTAGCCAGTTTCGGATAACGTTTACTGCTGGAGCGTTCGGATGCAACTGAGACAAGCGTCGTTAACTGACGAGCTATGAGCTCCTTGTCGTGGTTATGCTCTCCTCGCTTCCGCCCTCGTCTTCCTTCGCCATCGTTTTCAATGCCGACAGCAGCGGGCCAGCAGTGCGTATACAGGATATTTTGCGGAGAAACACAAACACTGAGAGCCATAACCACCCGCACTCAATATTAAGAATACGCACTGGGTAAAAAGGCTGCTCTCCACTTAGAGGGTGTCCCTGCACTTGTTATTTAATGTTCAAATATGCTCTTTGATCAGGACACCCTGTTTCTGAAGCACACTTATCAATGATAACGAATGCCAGAGGGTGGATATTGCGTATACGCTGTGGGGTAGCCATTAAAGTCCTTTGTCTACGAGTCTCGGGGGTGCGTCTGCAAATAAATGGTGTAGTATTTAAGTAATAGCCAGATATCAGTCACTGTCCGTTTGGACTTAAGTGGGAATTAAAGCAGCTTGCATGTCTCTAATCACTAATTAATCTTTATTTTAGGTAAACAAACATTGCTTTAACTTTAACTTGAAATCTAGATGTAGATTTTATTGGGAAGTAATTTTTTATATTTCGGAACTCATCCCTATTTTCATAGATTTATTTGTTTTGTAAAGAACATTACATAATGTCTAATAATAATAATAATAATAATAATTATGATGTCTTTAATCTGAAAACTTAAAACATGTTTAAATTAAAACACTTTTTATTGACAATATAAATTCGATGAGTTATATAAGAACGAATGGATTACCAGCGCATAAAAGCCTTAAAACAAACTTTGTTTATATAAATGAGTTCTATAAATACATCCGCATGATTTCACATCTCAGCGAGCGATTCATCAATGACTTGCGCACTTTAATCTGCGCAGATACCCGGCAACAATCGGCTGCTGATAACAGCTGTTCAATTAAGGACCAAATCGGCCTAAATCCTCATGCACCAATTACTCTACTCCCCAGACAACAGGTGGGCCCAAGGAGTAAACAATAACAAAGCCAGGGAGGCTGCGCGGCCAAAAGCCGAACCGAAGGTTCTATTGACAGAGAGAATGGAAGGAAGGCATCCTTAGAGAGTGAGTCTGATGAGCATCAGCCGGAAGTTGGCAACACAGCTGGGCTCAGAACTGGGTCAAAGAAGGGCCTGTCTGATGGGCACGTACATTTACATAGAATGTCAAGGACAAGGACAAGGACATGGACATGGATATGGATATGGATACGGTGGTGATGCCAATGGCCTGTGTGTAGCTTAATTGCCATTTCCTTGGCAGATTTGCCGTCTTTTAAGCACCTCCTTCACCCTTCAAGCTTGATCGGGCATTATGTGGCTGGTATTTATGTACCTATATACCTATGCAAACAATTCGAATGAATATTTGTTGCTGTACATTTTTGCTCTGAATACGCTTCGTGTATCTGTGTCATAGTTTTTATAAATAGCACGCATTAAAATGTTGTAGAGACGGCACACAATAAGGCGCCTGAGGGGCCAGTAATGCGCCTTCTATGTAGATGAGATGCGAACGAGGAATAGAACTTTTGGAATATGTGTGTATAGTATAAATATTGAAAAGGCTTTCAGGTGTTGCGGCCGACAAACAAGAAATCGGGCATTTAACACCCCCACGTTTGACCGGCTGACAAAACATTTCGAGTGATAACACGCAAGACCTGAGGAATACGTCCGAAGAAATACTCAAACGCCGCGGGCTTGCCAAAAAAGACGATCAGGGTCGATGAGTGTATAAATATATACATATATATGCCAAATACATAGTACATAGTAGCACCTAAACATCCCCCACAAACCCCCTCCATGGAGGCAGCAATCTATTGCGCAGCGCTTAACAATAAATTCCCACCGAACACCCCCGAACTACACTCTGCATATGTTGCCCAGAAAATATTATCTGCAAAATCATCTGTAACATCGAATGATATTCAACACTATCCGGCTGGGAATGCCACAAGCGATTATTATTTTGCCTTCACGAAAAAATAAAAAGAAATTCACAGAATAACCGAAAAAACAAAATGTTAAAAAATAGCCCGGTTAGAGAGCGGACAACAAATGGCTCTGGCTCCAAAGGAGAGCCCGAATATCTGGTGGTCGTTGGGAAACCAAGAGAGTGGCATTCGAAAAAGTTCCCCAAGATGAAAGTAAATTCTTGGCATCGTACATACGGCCATATATTATGGTGTGTGTATAGCCTTGCGCAGGAAAAGAGCGAGCGTTTCGTCATCTATTCGTATTTTGAAAATGTATATGTATCTGTATCGGAGTGCTTCGGCGATCGGCTGGTTGGCTTTCACCTCAGAATTACCTTGCCGTACTGCCGCTGACGAATAACGTTCAGTCGAGACCGAGCTCATCCGCGATACAGTTGATTTTCGCATCAAACAGACAAAATGGTGAGTGTCCAATCGGCCAAGGAATCTTCACACATCTTCCTCGAATATCCAGTGATATATATATGCAGCCAAATCGAAAAACCAACATTTTTCACACTCAAATTAATGCAAAACTCTACAATCTTTTTCGATTCCGTTGACAGGCTGATGTTCCAAAGCGTGAAGTTGAAAGTAAGTTGAAACCCTCACGAAAAGGATTATCTTTAACCTCAAACGAAATCCATCAAAGTTTAAACCAATAACCTATAATAAATCGAAGAGAGCACAGGAATAAAACTAGCCAAAGGACTAAAATCCATGAAAAATGCCTCAAAAAATGATTACATAATGTGCGCGTGTGAGATACACAACAAAAAAGTACACAAAAAGTCGGTGAACATATTTCGTAATCACTTGGAATATATCGCATACATATACGCGTGCCTATATATAACACTATGCGGAAAATTTTCATTAAGGAATGTCGTCTATATGCATCGCCTGAGCTATTTTCATCGATCGACAGTTGAACGATGAACCAGAAACCAGGACGTGAAAAGGTTGCCAACACAATTCCGGTAGAAAATCTAGTGCAAAGTTAAGTTTGAGTTATAGAAAAGCCGCCGAAAACATTGAAAATCGTGTGTATATGTCGGGAACACGAACGCGCGATCGTCATCGGGCCGAAATGCTGGTCGTTTAGATATCTAATTTTGGCCAAGTTATTTCTTCAGATTTATTTTCGATCAAACGCACAGAAAAAGAGAGGAGAAAACTACGCGAATGTGTATATATGCCTATATACCGTGCATATAGCATAGACGAGGGCGAAGGCGTTCGGTTCGGGTGTCGGATTACGTATACGTAGTGTGTTCTTCGGGTTGGCAACGCTCCCAGATCCCCACTCACGCATACACACGCAAGTAACTAATGCCCAGCCATGTCAAGATTTTCATGATGACCAAAAATGTGCGTACCAGAAATTTCAGGGTTACCACATCGACCCCATTTTCGAAGGGTGGTGCCAACACTCACCGCCCCCAAAAACCTAAATTATTTTTAAAACAATTAATGCAAACGCAAATGCAACATGAACAAAATAAAAACAATAAAACTTTAATTTGATGCGATTTACGTTCGGTTGAGAGCTACCTGGATAAACATATTAATTGGGCTTCTTTCGTGCAGATGTCGAATTCGTTTTCGAAGTCATGGGCTCCCCCGGCGAGGGCATTGATGCCGTCGACCTAGGTGATGCCCTCCGCGCTCTGAACTTGAACCCCACCTTGGCGCTGATCGAAAAGATGGGCGGCACCAAGAAGCGCAATGAGAAGAAGATCAAGTTGGATGAGTTCCTGCCCATCTACTCACAGGTCAAGAAGGAGAAGGAGCAGGGCTGCTACGAGGACTTCATTGAGTGCTTGAAGCTCTACGACAAGGAGGAGAACGGCACCATGATGCTGGCTGAGCTGCAGCACGCCCTGCTGGCGCTTGGTTAGTTTTCTAGTTCATATTCTTTAGAGGTTATCTCAATTAACAAACATTATCCACTTAAAGGTGAGAGCTTGGATGACGAGCAGGTTGAGACTCTGTTTGCCGACTGCATGGACCCCGAGGATGAGGAAGGATTTATCCCCTACTCTCGTAAGTATTCGTTCCTAGAACGACCCATATCGAATGTTATTTGTACGTGTACGATTTGTAAACGCCGTTTGTCTATTCCACATGTCACTCTTTATCTTCGCACAAACCAAAAATCCCAACCACTCTGCACTGTGCACTTTGTACCATCATCTCGACCTGAAAAAACCCCAAAAAAAACAAATCCAAAAATGTGTTTGCGTATCCATCTATGTTTGCGTGTGAAATCCTGAACCATTACACTCGAAAAAATACCACCTCCTGAATGTCAATCGAATGGTCTCTGCACGGTGATTGCGTCTTGTTTTCCCGCCGTTTGTCGTCGATCCAATCACAAATCACAGAGTTCGTCCAGCGCCTGATGAGCGATCCAGTCGTCTTCGACTAAACAGTAAGTAGGGATTGAGCCCAGGCCCTCTGCCCCGATGTCTGGATGTCTGGATGTCTACTTGTCCAACAGTTTCTGTATTCCCTTGCTAATAATGCCATATTTTACCCTCTATTCCACAGCATTCCTCGCCAGAATGTGTGAAAGACCAGATCAGCTAAAATAGTTGAAAACAACAGCAACAAACCAACTACAACAACACCAACAAACTTTTAGCGACAACCATTCTCCATAGATGTTATATTCATCGCTAACTCTCTCTATCTCTCTCGTATATTATTTTAATTAAAAATTACTTCTGCTACTACAACTGCAAAATTGAACTTCAAGATAATATTATTTTTTAAAAAATAAAAAAATTTAAATTATAAAATAACGACAAAAAAACTGAAAAAAAATCAAAGTTTTGTGCCCATTATTTTGTTATGAATTTTTTGTTGGTTCACCCAAAAGCAAAGCAATAGTTAATGATTATTTTATATGAGACGTAAATAAACCAAATAGCAAATAAAATAATGTTTAGGCAAATTCAACACCCAAAAAACGCCCAAAATAGGCATTAACCAAGTCACCAAATGTGTTTCTTGCTGCCTTTGAGCCTTCTCAGTTTACCATGTGAATGTGTGAAAGTGAAATAAGTCAAATGTATTTAAATAAACACTAAGAATAAGTGTGCGCCCGAAAAGGTGTTGCACAATCAATGAATGAAAAGCCGTTCAGAGGGGGTGGAGAGGGTGGGTAATCCAATTAAAACGGCCTATTTTAGGGAACCCAAATTTTATTTTCAAATTTGTTTTGCTAGTGGATTTAATATTTTCAAAACATCTGGTAAGCATAAACTATTTTTAAACAAATTTTATTAAATGGGATTATGAGCCTTAGTAGTAATAAGAGTTGTCAATAGATGGAGGCACGACTTAGTTGAGAAATGAACCGCAACTAGTTTGATAATAATTGGTTTGAGTCTTTACTTGACGAAGTGCATTTCGTTAAGCTACTCTGTACATAGTAATCATAGCATAGTGCCACAGCAGTTAGACCCTTACAGTTAGCAATTTGTTCAATACGTAGCCATTATTTTCCACGTAGCGTAGTCTGTGTTTTACGTTCGCGAACGTTAGGACGTTAAAATCAGTTGAAAACGAGATAACAAACCGACAAGCCGACCGAGCGGGTGCTTTCTCGCCGTTTTTAAAAATTGCTCTAGCAAACATCCAAATAAATTAGCAGAGTGCCAGTGTAGTGAGTGAACGTGAGTGTAAAGCACTGTTTAAAATATATAAACACACATATTGCGAGTCGAAAAATATATATTTTTGGGAATTTTTCAGTCCTATAATATACCCAATAATTTTCATAGAAAGTGAACCCAAAATCTTTACTGCAAAACCAGAAAACAGTGCAAAGTGCAAAGCAAAAGTGAAAAGGACTAGCCCAAAGATACACACACACAGAAAAATACCGACAGATCTCAGGTCCTTTTCAGTTTTCCCGTGAGTGCAACAAATACAGACACGGTACGCACAGATACACTTACGCATACACATACACACCCACTCGTTCGACTTTCAATATGGCGGATGTCCTGGAGAAAAGCTCGCTGCTGGATGCTGTGCCACCACTAGGCGACCCCCACCCACCGTTGCCCCACCAGCAGCTGCAACAGGAAGCAGCAGCAGCAGTAGCCGCACCACCACAGCAGCAGCAACAACAACAACAACCACCGCATCAGCCACCACCACAGCAACAACAACAACCACAGAAGCCTGCAACTGCGAGGGCTAATCAGGATCAAAAAGGTGAGGGGGGTACGAGTATGCACAGGGAAAAAATTTATAAGACATGAAAATATTTTCAAGCATTTTCTGTGATAAGAAATTTCTCAAAACAGACTAATTAAAAATGTATGAAATGGGCACACTGTTTATATCACTTTTAGCTTCACGTTAAGGTAATTTCTATCCGTGTAGTGTATACCTGCAGCTAGAAGTAAAAGTGACTTCACAGCCCATTACGCATACGCCGTGTATACTTTAGAAAATCAATTAGGAAAGTTCAAGGCACGCCCCTTCAGCCCAGTTGCATTGGTGATAGCTATAGCTCAATTAGGCGAATTATACAGCCGGCACACCCCAGGACATTGATGGTTATGTCAGGGGAACATGCAGACCCAGCGCGAGTCTCACGTCATGCCCCGCACATTATGCAAATGGATTTAGCCGGTTCAGTGTTCTGTTTTGTGATCTGTTTGAATAACAGCTTAGACCGGCAAGTTTACGGCTTTTGGGCCCGTCTGAAGGGGGCTCAACTGCCGGCAGGATGTGGCATGGGCCAGGATGTGACTACGACTTCATTGTGCCACCAGCTCTCGGTTTAATGACCTGCAACTGTGACAAGCCGCCACCCACACGGCTGCCGGGTGCAGCTTTTAATTGCGTCTAATGCCCGGTGCCTTCAGTTCAGGCCTGGTACATGGTCTAAGTGCAAGTGTGTATCTATCAGATATATGGATACAGATATAGCCGACCGCGATAAAAGTTATCAGCCAGTTGAGCTCTTGCTGATGTGGAAAATGCACTTGGAAAAAGATTATCACTGACATTAAAGCAATCACGGAAAGCTCTTTAAATCTTCCGATGAATTTGTATACGTACATTGTTTACAAGCGCATCTAAAATAATTTTAATTCAGTTCTTGATACGATAACATAACTATTTTTTCTGAGTGCCCTGGTGTTGTGGTTGCTCTTGCAGTTGACCTCATTTTAAATCAAACTGTGTGTGTACCTTGGAACGGGGTCGTTCAGTTTTGCAGAGTTCAACAGCATCAGATGATTAAATTCTACATTCAATTTCCTGTTGGATAGAGTATTCCTAACACGACTTGGATCCGTTTAGCTATATTTCTAAAACAGTTGACTTCATTAGGGCAGTGTGATATGAGTGCAGCAAAATAAAAAAGATACACCCCTGCCTCGGGTGATGATTAGATCAAGTGTGTTCGAGTCAAGAGCAAACCGGCTCTGCTAACTAATAACAATAACAATGCGCGGTGCGGCTAAAGCTTTGTTTAGCGCGAATAATAAAAGTAAAAATATAGTTGCTGATTACTATCGGAGCTCTCATCCCATGAAGTCACCCGCTCTATGTATATCATCTAGATTACAAGTGGCACTCGTTCGTGCTTTGTGTTGATAAGCAGGTGGGAAAGGCTTTCTACCTGACGACTTTGTACTTTCTTTGTCAATCATATTTTACACCCAAGATTAATATTCATCGTGTGACGTAATGGTGCTCTATCGAAAACAAACAAGCAACTGTTCTCACACTGCACTCACCGATTTTATAAATAGACAAAATTCGCTGCAATTTCTGTCACCCATTTCGCGGTGGCTTTTCAATTATCACAAAACGCTGCCAGTTTCGTTTCTCATTTTTGCATTTGGCGCTGCAATTGATTTTTCTTCTCTCTGCCTTTGGTTTTCCTATTGGGGGCGTGTGCTAGTTTCCCGTAGATACTTTTTTCTTAACGAAAAGCTTTAAAAACTCTGCTAATTGTTAAGGTTTCCGCTTTGAGAAACAATTACCAAATATTTGGAGCCATATTTGTGGGGCACACCTCAGTACAAGCTAGTCAAGCAAGACACATTTGGATTTTTGGTTTTGATTTTGTGACTTTGGGATACGCATGGCATGCCCATATGGTCTTTATGACTAATTAGTCGGCAAATCGGTTTGAGAATTTGTAACTATTTATCAATAGAAAAGCTTACCTTATGGCTAATTTCTTGACTGCTATTAGCATGCACATGGCGTAGAATAAGCGTTCATTAAGTTGTTATTGTGCCCAGGCATTTGGCATATTAATGCACTTTGTATCTGCTGGATGCATCTCCAAGCTTGAAGTCGGGAATGCGGCAGAGTTTGGACCTGATTAATTAATTACAAAATTAAAAGTTTGATCAATAAAGTTGGCAACAAAAAATTAATAAAGACCTACCTAAGGCTGGGTGTTTGCTTAATTGTTTTCCCGCGAACAAAGTGTCGCTAGACACGCGACATGCGCGATGCAAATCCCTTTAGATTCGTGTACCCCTCTAATTAAAGCCACAAAAGAGTTGTCAAATGGCTTCGACGCGAACATCGCCCCTTGAAAAAGTTTGAACCTCCTATTCCAGTTCAATAAACTCGGCCAGGGAGCTTGCTTTGATTTCGATTTGGTGGAACTTGCCCGATTTTCCACCATTTTATGGACAATTTACACTTTCGCCCGGCGCCAGTTGGGGAGTCTTCAGCTGGATGGGTTACCCAATCCCCATCCCAGTTGGCCAATGCCTCTTTGGACAGACGCCGCATAATTTGTTGTTCTGGTTGCAGTTGTAGCCAAGTCCATATAGGGTATATCAGCCCGTTTTGGCTGACGTATCGTGCGTGCGGCTGCCGCACTGACAATTGCCACATTTTGTGGAAGGCAATCAATAATCGAAGTGCGTCAAAAATACAAATGTTAAAGTTACCAAACCGCCAGCGCCATTCCGTCCATAAATACAGCCATGTTCGACACGAAATACGCGCCCCCAGAGGTCCTAGTCAATATAGCCATAAATTTGGCTCTTGATTAATTGATAAGCTGTCGCGAAGGGGGGAACAACTGTCGTACTCAACTTGGGAATATAAGAAACAAATTTAGTACCTTACTATGTTTGTTTGTGTTTACATATAACGTTATAGGTAAACTAGGTCAAAGGAAAATCCGCTTAATAAGTATCACCGAAAGCTCTTAAGATCAAAAATGCTTGAAATTAATTGCGTAATTAAACTTGAAAACACGCAATTATATGCCGTTAAGGATGCTAAGTTCATTTTAATTTATGTATAGATAAATAAACTAAAACTGACGGCAAAATGTCTTAGTAGCGTGATCCACGGCCAAAACCTCCACGATACTCAAGGTTCCCGGATCCAGGTCCCACATCACCTTTCTTGTCTGCTCCGCCTTCGCCAGGAGGAGCACGTCTATAGTTTGACCTATCCTCATCAGGTTTGGAGGCTCCTCCAAAACCTCGAGGACCTGATCCACCAGTACCTGAACGCGGACGCGCCGCTTCGGTGCGAGCCGGACGAGCCAGAGTGGAGGGCACGATCTCGGGGGGCAAGTGTAGGTAGTTGCGGAGCTCCTCGATTCCCTCGTTAGTGATGCACCAATAGTAGTGCCTCCAGGCGAACTGCTCCTTGACCAAGCCACGCGAATTAAGAGACTGCATGGCTTTGATCACATGTAGATTTGGAATGGACTCCAGATTTGGGTGCTTCTGGACGCGAGAATCCTTCTTGGCCACGATTACGCCTTCCTTGAAGAGGTATTCGTAAATGGCTACACGATTGGCTTTTGGGATGAACATCTTTGTTTTATTCGAATAAGCAAAATCAGCTTGTCAAAAGTTCGAAGGAAAATGAGGTTAAGTGCAATAATGTGACCAGCCTAAATCTTCCTTTTTCTACAGTCCCAGAGCTTCCATTAAAGGAATTCCTCATTTTTCATTAATCTTTGTTAACACTTAAAAGTAACTAAACTCGTACGCTTGTACTTTCTTAGTTTTTAGTCTGAAAGTTTTAAATCCCAAGTTATTGAGCATAATCTTTGATCTTTAGATTGAAAGCAAAGCTTTCCTATTTTTACGAAATCACAAGTTGCCTTTTTTTTATTTCGGTGCATCCCCGCACCTTGTTCGATTATCTGGGTTTTATGTTTTCACACTCCTGTGAAACTGTGATTCATCTTTTGCGTCGCAGGATATGGACATTCTGGCAAAACATGCGCAGTTCGAGCGGCAGCAACCACATGAGGAATTCCTCCCCCACAGGAATGCTGAATAGAATAATCAATGAGCGAAACGCAGACACAAATTGACCAAGGGAAGCCAACCAAAAGGAAGGCATGCCGATAGATACAACGTGAGCTCACCCGCCGACCGGCTGCAACCCCCCAAAAAAGCAAAACAAACGCCGGGAGGAAAGGAAAACGAAAGCGATTTGGGGGTGGTAAAGCCACCCCCATCGTCAAGTGACATCAGAAAGCAGTCGACCTTGCTTTGTATGCGTTTTTCGATTAAATGCACTTGATTTACATAACATTTAAGTAGTTCACTACTAATTTAAATGTTTACTAATTACATAAACTCATTTTTAATTAAGGCTTAACAAGTTTAAGAAGGTTTCCCAATATTTATTTTTATTTTAGACCTCGAGTGCTAAAAGCCATGAGGCTATTTACTATCGTCACTATATTTAGTGCATATTTATTTTTAAAAGACATTAAATAATTCAAATTTTGAATTCAAGCCGTTTATGCCTAAAGGCAGTGCTGCCAATCACAGGTTTGAGCATTAACTTAGTTCTGGGTTTTTGTATTCGCTTAACTTGGACAGAAACCAAGACGAAGCGAATTAATAATAATGAGGCGAATTCATTTGAAATATCTATTAAGAAAGTTCGTTATATTTATATTTACTGTTTAATTTGTTTTTATAATTTATAACTATATGTTGTTGTAACTTTTAAGTAGCTGACTTAAGCTTCAAGCAGCAGTTTAATAAATGCAATTTCTCTATTTTTTACAGGTTTGTATAGAATTTTATGGAATACAATTTAATGTAATATAAACTTTAAATGGTTTCACTAATGGGTATGTAAAATATATAAATATAAACTGTGTCTGTCAGTCCTTGTAAAATCCACCTAACCTAGCCAACAAGGCCTGCAACCTTGGCAATCGAATTAGGGTAAAGAACTAAGCAGACATTAGCCGAGGACTAAACTCCTTCCATGTCTAAGGATGAATCCTGGGCTACCCTTATGTCAGTTGGGATCGTCGCTGGTTTACTTTTATGTCTACGCATTAGAGCCGTGGAATCTTGCGTGTTGGCTGCTTGTAAATAAATAGACAACAATTAGGGGAACCTATGACAACAACACCTGGATAATGGAAAGGCCATAATAAATATTTGCGGTGCGTGGCAGGCAGTGCAAGTTGCCCCTATACTGGGTATATGTGTGTGCCCCATTGCCGTTAGCAAAGGATTACGCCTAAGGAATTGCACAAATGCGCGTCCAAATGCCTCCCCCAGTGCCCATTAAATTAATCAAGTCAAATGAAATCTGCATATAAAATCAGCGTTCTCATTGTTGGCGTGTTGAATTTGCATTTTTCCCCGGCGCCCCACTAATAAATTTGTATGTCAATAGAATAAGCCGCCAGGCGACGGGGTGCTCCACAAAACAAAATATCCTGCTCTTTGAACTGCGCAAGGACACATTCTGTTTATGCGCCCCGAGAAGTTTACGAGCAGCCACGCTCCGCCAGTCCAAGTTGGCGTATCAAAACAAATTCTAAGTATTGTAATTCGAAATTTTTCAAAGCAAATAAAACCAGTCGAGTTTTAACACTCGCGCCAAACACAACGCAGTGCAGAGCTGACGTCGCGAACTTGGCTTAAATAAGAAAATATTTAAATAAATCAAATGAAAACCAAACTGTAAAATAAATAAGAACAATATAAAAAACAGTTAAATAAACATTTTCCCAGAGTTAAAAGTGCGTGGTTCTCCTAGGTAAATAACCCACTCATCCTCGTGGCCAACGCAAAGTGCAAAGTGCATTAGCCTTCTCAGACTGTACGTGGCCAAGTTATTGCCCTCTGGCTAGGAAAATCGATACAATTGCATGGCGCTTGTTTTTTAATGGCCAACTGCAACAATTGATAGTGGTCTGTGTGATAGGAATCGCTACTGCTACTGTTTCTGCCACTGCTACACTGCAGTGGGAAATTCAATTGTCAAAGGACCAAGTTTTGTTAACAATATTTCTGGTCTCCCTGCGCTGTAAAAGGGTGAATCTAATTGAAAAGCAACCTGCGCTTAGGAAACTTTTCTGGGTTTTTATGTGTTGCACCTGTGCAACTGTTGGATTCCCTTCAGCCTACTAGAAACCCACCCTATATTGTTGATAATCAATTTGGCCAAGACCATTTGGCCACAAATGACAGTTCAGTTGTCGTTGTTGCGGTTGACATGAACATTGTGTGGAATTTCGGTTTATGTCAGCCGCTGGTAAATCACAAATCATTGTGCCCCTAATTTGCAGTTGCTGTTTCTGTCAGGCCTCCTTTATATTTTTACTATTATTTCTTTTGGCTGCCAGGAAGTTGGCGAATCCGACTCTGAGTCGGCACAAGTTGCAGTTGGGTCTTTAGTTGCCAATCGGGTGTGGAACGTGCTGAGGTTACAGCTGCTCCTCCAGTTTAAAGAGTCCGTCGTCCGTCGTCGTCCTGTGCAATTTTATCGATTCGCCCGTCAAATGTAACACACCCAAAACTAAATGCAAAAGTTTTCGGCTCATTTTTTTTCTTATACGCGGCCGCATTAAGTTAATTGCCAGGCAGTGCCGAGAACCACAGTCTACAGTCCACAGTTCGAGCAGCAGCAAGCCACTCTGATATGAGTGATACCGATGCGGTGAGTTGTGGTTCAAGTACCCAAATGTATATATTTTGGAGCTGCACCAATAGCACAAAATTCGCTTATGCACAAATGATTTACGAGCATAATTTGAATAATAAAGCCATGTTAATGGATGTATTATGCCGTCGTCGACCTTGCATACACATCATTGTCAGACGAAAGAACCCTTTGCGAAACAAATCAAACAGCGATTTCTTGTGGCCCGTCGATTTCGGGACTTAGAACTGCCGAAACTTTTGTTGAATCAATAAGCCACAAAAACAATTTGGGTCATGTTACAACTGGCAACCGAATTTCATGACAAAAATCCCTAATGGTAACCATAGACCGCCACGAGAAAGCCAGAAAGTCAGAAAGCCAAAACCCAAAATACCAAATACCAAAACAATAAAATGTAAACAAATGCAGAAAGAGCCATCAAATTTGAAAGCACCCACTCAATGTGAACTATATTGATACGTCTGTTCCGATACACGAGCTTCTACTTTAGCATTGGCACTTGGCACTTGGCACCCCCACAGTAGACAGTAAACTAGGCCCACAACGATATATGGCCATACATATGCAAATGATATGGGCCAGTCTTCCGCAGCAGGAGGAGCATGTGGAAATTTATATGGCATTGGCCACCAAAAGCGGCTCTGCCACGTATTGGGTTACCCGACACTTGGACATTTCTGCACCGACACCGCAGGCGAGAAGTTCTAGTTCTCCAGGATGTACGGCACGGCGAAAGAACGATCGAGTCAGGAGATTTCCCCACAGGATAACCCGGTAACAGAGCGTCTATTGCAGCAACAGCAGCGTGCTCAGTCCAAGACAGAGTATCTACCAGCAGATCGTTCCAATTATGGTGTAGATTCCGAGTCCACAGATCGTCCTAAGCAGCAGCTAAGATCTCAACCCACTCAGGAGTATGTGCCTTATGAAACCTCTGAATCATCTGCGGAAAGAGTCAAACAGCAGCAAAGACCTCAAAAGGCCAATGACTACTCCAATAGTAATACTACCTCAGATGGTCAGTCTTATGGTTCTGATGTCGTGCCGACTGATCGCCCTAAACAGCAGACACGATCCCCGCAGAATCCAGAGTACTTAACCAATGCAGGTCCTTCTTACGACGCAGCTAGAGATGAGCGCAACCCACAGCAGGCATTGAGATCCCAACCAGCTGCTGATTATCCAACCAATAGCTCGTTATATGAGAGGCAACAACGTCCGCCGCCAACAACAATTGACTACACCACCGGCTACAATGCACCACCCAAAGATCACACCCTTTCACGCAGCAATTCTAGACTCACCATCTCACCCAATCCCATGCTCCAAAGTATACCCAATCCCGAGTATGTGCGACCACCACAGAACTTTGTCTTGCCACCGCAGATGCGTCCGCCCGTTGGGCCACCACAGCCCCGTCCTCCGTTCGCCGGAGCCAGGCCGATGGTCGGAATGGGACCACGTCCACCCATGCCACCGAATATGGCGGCCAGACCACCACCTTTGCGCAGCACAGACAGCAAAAGTAACCTGCTAATGGGTCCACCAGGAATGCGACCAGGAATGCCACCGCAACTCAATATGCAGCAGGCTCGGCTGCCCAACTCCGGTGGACCACTTAGTCCTCCGGGACAAGGACCTCCAAGGCCACCGGGTGGATTTCCCTGGAATCCTGCTGGGGCTCCAGGAATGCCGCCAGGTGCTCGTCCACCCCAGAATATGACGCGACCGCCGCCACCCACTTTTGCCCGCCCGCCACCGGGTCAACCACTGCAGGCACCCTTCAACCGACCGCCCTTCAACCAGCCGCCCATGCAACCGCAACAGCAACAACCACCACAACAGCAGCAGCAGCAGCACATGCAACCACCGCCTCAGCAACTACGCCCACTTTCGGCAGCCAGTGCACACAACAACAACGATGATGACGATGACGTGGTCATGGGTCCGGCGGTGACTCCGCTCAAGGCCTTTAACCAGAGAGCCGATCCCATGGGCGAGCCCCTTTTGGAGGACATTGAGCCGCCCTTTGAGACGAGCCCGCCAGCGGGAGATACAAAAAAGGGGCCCGGCTTTAGTAAGGCTAGATTGCAAATCAGAAACCATTAGTGAAGCCATTTTAGAGTTTACATTACCATTATTGTTATTTATAAAGTCGTTCCTACTTTTATTTTCATTTTGTTTTGAAATTAAGGTAACATATATTGATATGAAAGCATATTATGAATTGACTCTCATCAATATTTTCAAATAATATATTTAATTTGCCTTATCAACCTCTTTCAGAAGGTGACAATGACAGCGGCGTGGATGAGTCGACTCAGGAGAAGGTGAGTTAATATCGGCTTTGAACTAGTTAGCTAGTTAGCCATAAATTGTAACTATGGCTGCGTCTCCGTTAATTGAGAGGAAATTAACTGGAACTGGCAACAAATTAATTTAATTCCGTTGACCGTCTCTGTCTGCCTGCCGCTGAGTTGGGTTCTCAAAATCATAAATATCTGTAAAAGGCCGGGGCAAGCAGCGGGCGAGCTGCGAACTACGAACTACAGCGAACAGCGATCTTCGAGCTACAAGCTCCACGCTCCATTAGAGACCATATAGCAATATAGCATGTACCATATAGCATATTATGTCTGCGACAGTTCCGTCGTTCAGTTCCCAAGTTGGCCCGTGTGTTCGTGTGTGCAGACGCCAAAGTTCAGACTAAGTTTTGAGTTGGCAGACGGCAGTTGGGGCGTCGGAAAAACCCGCAGAAAGTGCGACAAAAGTCGAACAAACAGACGGATAACCCAGTCAAATATATATATAGTATATCTATAATATATATATGTGCAGTACGTGAGCTTTACAGGTGCGAGTCAAAAACTCCCAGAAAGAGGAAAAACTTGCCAAAACCAACAAAAGAAACACACAAAAAAGCGATTTATATGCCTGGTGATATCTGCGCACAGATAAGTGCCAAACACGAAACGGGTCGAGGATTCGGGGCTGGTATTAGGGAAGGGGAAGGGAAAATCATAGCACACACACATATACATATCTGAATCGGAGTTGTTGTCTCTATAAATACCCATCCATATGCAAAAAAGACACGAAGCGGCGACAATCGATAAAACAATGCATAAACTATAAGTCCTTCGTACCGAGACATCCAAATCGGCAGGCGTAGGGCCAGCCATAAATGCCATTGGCATTACGTTGACAGCTCCGGAAAGCCCGGGAGTGTTGAGAGCGAGTCGTAAATAGTTAATAAACCGCGTCACCACAACCAGCCCCAGGATGCATCTCGTTATAATGGCTGATTCGTCCTACTTGCTAGTAATCTTCATTGAGAAATCATCTACCAAATCATTCAGTTTTTTAATCAACGTTCTGTGCTTATTTCTCGGCAGGATCGCAACGGACCCAACTCACCCAGTTCACCGGTGAAGACACCCACATCGACCTCATCGAAACCAGACAAGTCGGGCACATCACGCCCACCGAGTGCCACTCCTTCGAACAAATCAGCCCCCAAGTCGCGCAGTGCATCCAAGAATCGCTTGCTCCTCAAGACCCCAGAGCCCGAGCCAGCCAAGAAAGGTGAACTAAAGATGGTTATATAATCCATATAATATGATATACCATTGTTGATATATGGTCCAAAATACCTCCCTTTCTGACCCATTAGTTCCAATGAACAAGGTACAAGTCGGACATGCGCCTTCGCCCAATCTGAAGGCGGTACGTTCCAAAATCGGATCCCTGGACAATGCCACCTATAAGCCGGGTGGTGGCCATGTGAAAATCGAGTCCAAGAAGATTGACATCAAGGCGGCACCACGTATCGAGGCCAAGAACGACAAGTACATGCCAAAGGGAGGCGAGAAGAAGGTATGTTTGGGATTGTCCATTCTTCGATTTAGTGGTTTAATTCATGGGAGGGATCGGTGTATCCATTTTCTGGGCTAACCCATTACATAAGACTCTCATAAATCTTTGTAAATTTCTCTCATCTACAAATGGCTTTAAAAGAAAAAAACAGAGAAAAGCTCTCTCTAAACCAAAGAAACGTAAAGTATAGTCGTGTAACGTAAAGTAATGTATTGGCAAAAATAAAAGCAATTTCACGGTCGATTTGCTATTTGAGATTTATGCCCATTATAGATGGGCAATCGGCAGCACGGTATCTTGTATCTCGTATCTTGTTGTAGGAAATGCAATTACCAATTCGCAGCGACACTTAGCAGCATAATTTCGTTGCCTTATGTAGCGTCCATCCGTACTCGTAGAATTGGGCGCGACTCTGACATTGAAGCGGATATCATCCATCCGATCGATATTTTGACTTTGGCTTATAATCGTTTACCTACCTTGTATCTATTTACAACTTACGACCATCGAATCCGCACACACTCGCACCAAACCACACACAAAAACACTGCAAATTCGTAGATAGTTACAACAAAGTTGCAGTGGAATGCGAAGTCGAAAATCGGTTCGCTGGAGAATGCCGCCCACAAGCCAGGAGGCGGGGACAAGAAGATCGAGACCCTGAAGATGGACTTCAAGGACAAGGCCAAGCCGAAGGTGGGCTCAACGGCCAATGTGAAACATCAGCCAGGTGGCGGTGATATCAAGGTATGTAGCCGCCCCTCCTTTCCTGACCTCTCACCCCCAAACCGATTTCATGTTTGAGTTTGACCCAGAGACGAGAACGAGTTCATATAAATATTGATTTTTGTAGCGGTTAAGTATGATTTCCGATTGCTGTTGGCTTTTGTTGGTTTTTGGATGCTCCACTTAAGTTACCAACTGGCATGGGCATGGGCCGCATCTATCTCTATCCTATCTATCTATCTGTTTCTCTCAGTGCATGAGCTGCAATGTTTTCTTAGTTTTAAAACAGCATGCTGACACATTTGACCTACCTTGGAAGGTTAACTAAAACTAAATAAAACATTTAGAACAACCAACTAACACCCAGAACACCCAAATACCAAAACCTTGAAACGCTTTCCAGAACTACGATAGGAAGATGAACATCATCTATGGCGAGGGCTCCAAGATAGTCAACCATTGCGCCAATAACAAGCGCCTGGATCAGAATTTGTATAATGAGGAGGAGTAGTTATTTAGTGGGGTAGGTAACACCCGTCGGATGTACATATGGTGCTAAAACGATATACACACACACCTAGTTTAGTTTTTGGGGTCAGCATTGTAAATATCCAGTCTAGAAGGAGAGCATTCTGTTTAGTTCCTAACCATACCGAAAACCACTCTGAATAATTGAGAATAACTTATTGTTTTTCCACCCTTATTTTAACGAACCGAAACATGTTTAAACAATATTTTGGAAACTGTATTTTGTTTTTAACTAAACCATTAAAACAACGAATTCGAAGGATAACAACCCCAAGGACGTAAGTAGTCGTGATAACTCTTTATCTCAGTGTAATAAGTGTGCTTTTGTATGAAACCTTAGATGTTATTCCCTCTTTTTTGGTATTTTTGAAACACCTAAGCATCACTTTTTGAGATTCCCAATTCACCACCAAACACTTTGTAGAGTATTTGTTTATAGATTTAAACTTTACCTTTAATATAAACCATTTGTTACGTTCTGTGCTCTGCTGTTTCTGTGTTTGTCGAAAAAATTCCAAATTTCAGTTGTGTCCCCGATTGGCCGTTGTCGTGTGTGTGTCCATAATAATCCACCCGCAAAGTCGAAAACCTAATCGAAATTGCCCATTTGCCAAAATGAATCTGAAATATGATCTTGCTAATTGTTTTCTGTACGTTGCCGGTGCCGGTGCTACTTTTCAGATCCAAACGCAAAAACTAGAAATTAAGGCACAAAGCAAAGTTGGCTCTTTGGATAATGTAAAGCACAAGCCCGGTGGCGGTGAGAAGAAGATTTTCGATGATAAGGATTATTTGAAAAATGTTGAACACTCTGTTGCACTGACAACACCACCAACACAGGTAAACTACGTGTACATAAGCTCAAAAGTAGTTACGTATTGAAAACTAGACCTTAACCTTAACCCTGATTTATTATTAGAGATTTTGATTTCATTACGAAAGCAACAAAAAGTAATCAATACCAGTATTTTATATATACATATATAATATATATTATCGATATCCCATTTTGTGTTTACGTCGAGAAATTCATTTTTATATTTAATCTGTAATCTGTATTTAATTGCGTTGCATTTGTGGTTAACACTTTATGGTTTACAATCAGCAACTAACAGAGCACCACACCCCAAAAGAGGCCCACACAACACCCACAATCCAACCACCCACAGACACCTCCCACCCTTAACCGCTTTCAGAGAACTCCCACCAAAAGATCAATCCGTTTATGGGGATTGTACTTGATGAGATCTAACATTTGGACAAAGTATTTTGGCACTCTTAGGTATTGAATTGTATTTAATGGTGGGCATTTGATAATTTTTTTGTTGTGGAATGCCATAGAAATCGCTGGAGATTTGAAATCACCATAAAGGGTAGCATACATTTTGGCGCCCTCTGAAGTGATTTCAAACTCCAGATCTTTGTAAAGTGTTCCCTCTTATTTGTTATCCTTGGTTTTAGATGAGTTATTGTATTTACCTTTTCGTTCTTAAGTTCAATTACTTTTAGTTAACATTTAAAAATGAATTTCTTTCAAACTCAAACTGAGATTCATTGGCAAAAGCGCTTTCCATCCATGTGTTCCCGAAGATGTGTTTGAAGATTTTACACGCAATTCTCTAAACTATTATCTTCTCTTTCTTTCTCTGTTCCCCCCTCGCTCGCTCTCTGCCACCCCCGCCGGCTAACTGTAGTTTGCGGCACAAGGGCGCTTGATTGCCACGATCCATCTAGAATTCGGTCTCTGTAACTCAGACTGTGTGTGTAACAATATATTTGAGTCGCTTTTTAAATGAACTCCCTAGCTTTAACAAAGACATCCATCAACTACTGTACTGTACCTAAAGCCAAACGATTAACTCAAGCAGGACTAAACAGAAAGAAACTAAAACTTAAACTAAATCGAACTCAACTAGAAAAGGCTCAAACCGGAAATCTCGAATGAGTTTGCAAGAGTTTCTATTTTAAATTGTAACCAATATACATACATATATATGTTTATGCATTCTTCAATGGTTAGCCCTTGGAAGGTGTATAGATAATGTAAACTGACCTGTCCCTAAGAAACTCCCTAATGATCTTGGGATTCTGCTTATGGACAAGGACAGTAGTGCCCTCACAGAGGGCCCAATGTTTGTTAACATCCTTTAGCATGTAGCAAATATCCTTTAACAAAGTATTATTTATGGCAAACGGTCAAGAAACCTTACACTACTTAGGATAGTACAAATTTTTATCAATATACTGAACCGCTATTGCTCAAAGAACCCCGAAACCCCAGACACCGACCCTGAGGACGGTTTAGCAAAAGGCTGACCAGCATTTAAATCATCTAATCATCTAACAAAACAGTGCTTTGCTCTCTCACACTGAAACAATATACCACTCAAAAATTGACCTCTTACTCACAACAGTTTTAAATTACGATTAATTATTATTATTATTAAGTGTTCTTAATTTCTGTGCTTAATGTTTCTATTTCGTTTATTTTAGGAATATATATACAATTTTTATTAGGCTAGTCATACGAAACTAAGTGCATTAAATTCGAAATTCGTATACACGTTACGTCCATTAGAGTTATTTATCGCCTATTACTATAACTACTACTACGTCATATACTCGAAATCTGAATGCGATGCGGTTTTAACCAATATAGAAACATTCGATCCGATCTGATCTAATTCGATTCGATTTGATCAAGAAATCGTCCCGTAAGTTAATGTGCGTTGCGAGTTCTTCTAGGATGTGTCCGTTGCGTATATAGATAGTTATATATACCTAAATATTTAACAGTGCTGTGATAGACTAACCGAACCGTTGGTACCGATCCAAGTTGATTTGCCAGACCACCTGCATCAATACCAAAACCAAAACCAAAACCAAACCATATAGAGCCCCTTAAGACGGTTTCATGGGGATTTGCTTGCGACTCCCTCGTTTACTCCACTGCATTCCAACCAAACTCATGACTTTAACTCTAACAAGGCTTATGGTTTTTACCTCCTAATAGTTTATTTTATGATTTGTGCAATCGATACGCATTCACTTTTATATTTTTATCTTGAACGCAGAGTCCACTACCATCCATGACGGCTTCTGGCGCTGATGAAAATTTAAATCAACAAAGCTAAATGCCCGAAATGCATCTGAATCCAAATCTTTCTTTGCAATCTAAGATCGAATGTGAAATGAACATTGAACAAACAAGCAGCTAATTTGAAATGTATTATCTAAGCAAAACAAAAACCACACAATGCAAAACGAGAGTTATGCGACTATTTCCACACACCCTCACATGCCAGTAATAAGATCAGAGCAATTCGATAGAGATGCAAGCACGCAATGAGATGCAGATACTCGTACATCTACACCACCACAACCACCACACATAGAAGCGGTATTTGGTATACAAATCGAAATCGAAATATATTTGACTAGTTGAGCAATGCACTCTTTATCATCAGATACCAGACATAAATTATATATCTCAATGTATTACCAGAACTTCATATATATACATACAAATATATATATATATACATATATATATAAAAGTATCTAAATATTTAAGCAAATTATACAAGAATCGTACGATTAAACTGTGTGCTTAGTTGAAAATGTTACCACTTGACGTCTAAATGTTAAACGACTAAGATAATGCGACCCATTCATTGATTTGTAAACAGTTTTAGATACTTTTGCGACGAATAAAAGACCAAAACCAAACCAAACATAACCGAAACGATCAGATAATGAAAACCACGTATAAGCATATTTTTACTATTAATTTGTATCTTATTAGTCAAGCGCATCATTCTCACGATTTATTTACACCCTGTTACAAAATGTAAGAACAATGGCAAAATTTAAACATAATAAACAAACAAAAAAAACGTTTTTTCATTTACCAAATCTTGGCGTTGTTGCACTTAGTTTTTGAATTTCAACAGCCACTTTATCGGCCACGTATCGGTATATTGAGATAGACAAATAAATTTTGGAGATACTTGAGTATCTTATTTGGCAAGCCACGCCCACGTCGCAAGCGTTCCAACAAAGCCACGCACGAGCACACATCCTCTTCTACCTCATTGGATGCATTGGTAATCGAAACAAATAAATTTGATCAAGCAAATTGTAAGTCTCCATCTCAATCGAGCTATGACAACTTTTTTGCATCTCTCTTACTAGCGAATCCGAATCGATTTTCTAAGAACTCTTTTTTGAATTCCCGCAGTATTGGAAGGCTCCGCGCATTCAACGGGCCACCACACTCACCTCGTCCATGTCCCTGCCAGCGGAGTGCTTGGTTCTTTCCGTATCCATGCCCTCGCTTAACTCGGAGCCCAAGCGTCCCAAGAGTGCGGGTCCCAAGAAGAAGCCCGGCCAGGCCGTCCACTCGAAGCCATTCCGTCTGTATTGAGTCAAAGGACTTCCTAGCCTTCGGCAGTCGACGGAGCTGCTCCACAAGTTGCACGAGACGTCACCCAATCGAAGCACTCAGAGATTTGTGCACAAGTTGATATCGAGGCACGCACTTCTAAAAAACATATGCAGAATACATTTTATCAAACCGTTGATTGTTTAGAACCGAAAATGAAAAAAAGCGAAACGTGGCATTTACAACAAAATAAACGACTAACTGAGAGGCAAAGTTAAGCACAAAAATTCAACTGTTTAGTTTCTTTAAATAATTACAGTATATATTTTCGTAAGTATTAAATCAGTTTTACGGCTGCTACATCTCTTGAGCCAAACGGCCTTCGTTTACATTTCATTTACATAAGATTTGCGTTAGATTTATTTAGGTATATATGTATAATTAGTACAAAAATTGTCCTGGGATTTCGTTACGTCTCAACTTTACCATCATGCTCATTGTGTTCTTCTTTTGTTTTTTTTTTTTTGGAAAATTTTGTGCCTTTCTTGGTTTCTTTAGGTTTTGTATTCGTTTTTGATTCTTGTTTCTTCGATTATTCGAGTCGCGTCACATTTAAATGCATTTTGTTTTCATTCCATTTACATAATCCTTTTGCTATACTTACGCCGTAAAAGTTGTTTATACAATTAGTTTTTTAAATATAGGGTAATAAATAAGTCATTATAAAATAATAAACAACAGTTGTTACATTTTCAAAAGACATGGTCAAATGAGCTTCAAGTGATTATGATAATGATTCGAGGGGTCGAGTTAGAATAAAAAAATGCGCATGCTTGAATATCGTAAAAAGTTGCTTTCTCTTAGAGGTCATCGTCAAGTGAATTGGCCTGGTTTCAGGTTTGTTAAGCTTGGTATAGGCTGCCTTAGCTCATGGCTATATAACTATAATACATTTAATGGGAAATTAGGAAATGCATAGATGCTCATGATATGCGAAACCAATTTTTAGCTGCGAGTTGGCTGCGGTTCTTATAATTTTCTCTTTCTGCTTGATACTATTAGTACAATACATTCGATTCAATTGACTAGATTTCTACATATGTAGCTGCATTACATTTATGATTTTTCTGTGGTTCCGATTTTGTTAACAATTCTGTTTCACTTGTTGCGGGAGGGAGTCGTGGTGTGTCAAATGTAAGACCGCGACGACACCCATCAGAAACCCTCAAGCAACTAGAAATTTCGCACGAAATTTAATGGCAATACATATTGCTTCTCAGAATTTTGCACGACATTTATGATTGGTTTAGAGTTTCTAACCGGGGTCGTTTGGTGCTTGATGCATTACGAGAATATGGGAAATTTTATAAATAAATACATGTAATTGATTTGTCGATGAGGGCGCTGCGTAAGTGTCTATGTGTTGCGGCCGTTGTGCCGTCGTACGTGTCGCTTCCGAGGAATCTCTATACTCTGTCACTGCCAATAACATGCTACCTTATTTACATAACTAAACACTTTCGCTGGCGTCGCTTAAGCGGCTCTGGTCTGAGCACGGCGCGCACCGCTTCCTCGAACACCTGAATGCGATCGAATTGGGGGGAATTAGCCAAGAGTAAGAGGTGAGGGTGTGCCGAACGACGATGACTTACCGGCTTGAGGCCACGCTGCGTTAAGGCGGAGCACTCCATATATTTCACAGCGCGTATCTTGTTCGCCAGCTTCTGACCCTGCTCGCGCTTCAGCGGCGTCAGCCCCTGCTCTGCCAAGCCACTGAGTGTCTCTCGATCTTCACGCAAATCGATTTTGGTGCCTGTAAGACGCCCAAAGATATATGTATTTTCGTTTGAAGGCTGTGTATCGTCACATCGCTGGCAACTTACCAACTAAAATGATGGGCGCGTCGGGGCAGTGGTGCTTTATCTCCGGATACCATTTTGAGGTGACGTTCTCAAAGGACGAGGGACTGGCGACACTATAGCATATCAGGAAAACGTCTGTCTGCGGGTAGGAGAGCGGTCTCAGTCGGTCGTAGTCCTCCTGTCCCGCCGTATCCCATAATCCCAATGAGACTTGTATTGTGTCCACTTGCATGGGAGCCGAGTAGTTGTCGAAGCTGTGAAGACATCATTATAAAAGTTAGATATTGATCTGCGGTTTGGCAGCAAAAGGAGGCGCAAACTTACACAGTGGGTACATATTCGCCGGGAAAGCAGTCTGTCGTGTAGGAGATTAGCATGCAGGTCTTTCCGACGGTGCCGTCGCCAACAACAACACATTTTATGGGCCTTCCGGTTGACATCGTGAGTGCTGAGTGTGCCGCTAGCTATAAAATGTATGTGCTGTGGGCAAAAATAAGATGGAAGATGAATGTCTTCGCCAGCTTAATTCAATTAATTAAGTTCTACTCGAGGCAATAAACTCTTGCCAGACCAACTGACCGCACATTTGTATACAGTTGAACTTCCATACCTTGAACCAATATTTATTCTGTACAGAACAGCTAATAGAAGGTTTTACCTATCGAATCAAAGTGGTAGTACCTGGAGTTATAGAGAAATTACAATAGAATTTTGACTCAAAAGACGAAACAATATGGTACGTATGTAATGACCAGGTTATGGAAGTTCGACTGTATATGGTTTAATTGAGAGGGTCTGTGGTATATCACTCGGATGATCAAAGGCAGGGCTCTAAAGGTGTGTCCCGGCCGCAAAAAAGAAAACAACCGCAGGCTGGCAGGCCCATAAAGCATAATAAAACGAGAGTCTCATTTCGGCTGCGGTGGCACTTTGTTTTCGCAAATAAAATTTTTAAAAATAGACCATGATGGGCGACACAGTCTACAGAGAAAAACAAAAAAATGGGAACAGCGGACCAAATGGCGACCGCCCCTCCAGTGGCGCCCCTTCAATGGTGGGCGGGGTCGACCGAATGTTGTGGTGACGCGGAAGCCACCGGCAGACGCACCGCACAAAAGCCGCCCGAAAATAGACACAATTAAGTTCTCATAACCGATTCAATTAAAGTTCAGCAGCACACATAGACACATAACACACATTGCGCCACATGCAACGAGGGGCGTGGCAGAAGTGGGCGGGAGCCCTGAAAATCTTTTGTTATGGCACAATATCGAATGGGGATATTAATGTTTTACCGTTTTCACCTCCTATCCTTGTTCTTTGTCTGGCAGGCGGCGACTGTTTTGTACTTTGCTTATATCACTGTGCGTTTCCTTGTTTCCGGTTTTCTTTTGGAGCGCTTGCTCATGCGGCGCATTTAAATAATTGATTCGCACTATTTCGCTGCGGTTTTTACTTATAAATATCTGTTTGTGTTCCTCAACGCAGCGTTCTCGAGTAATTTTCGTGTTTTATCTTTTTGTTTCCACTCCACACAAACACACACCCACCTTTTTTGACAGCGCAGCGTCGCTCTCTCTCTGATAGTGCTGCCAACTCTTAAGCAGACGGTAAGTGTATTGGAAATTAGCTAAAAAAGCCAAATTTGACGGGAAATTGGCAGTCCAAAAGGCAAGTAGTGTTGTAAAATGCATTACCGAAAACAGCCATTTTTACAATGCACAACACTAAAGGCATGGGTGTTGTTCAGATGGGTGAAGTAATACTAAAACAAATTTACATTAAAAAATATCTAAATACTGCCCAAATACGTTCGTAAATTATTCTGTTTACATTACTTAAAAATATTTAAGAAAAATGCCAGGACACAATAGAATAATATATTCCCTGCACTCATATCTCATCTCTTGAGACCCTATTGAGAATTTCCGCTGACTACGTCCATATTGCCAATGCCAGTGTTGTTGTTGTTTTGTGCGGCGTAATGAGCAGATTTGTTTGTAAACTTTTACAGAGCGTAAACCAAACAAATTCGGGCTTCAGAAACCTTTATTTGTCTGCTATAAGGTATGCAGAGGGCGGATCTGAAGATGGGAGTCCCGCCCGCACAGTTCTAGTGGAGAAGGACTCTCGTATAACACTTATAGGCCTAAATCGCGAGCAGCAGCGCAATTCTATTGATGCCAACACCGCAGAGCAACTAACTGAAGCCATCCGCCAATTTGAAGAGGATGATAGTTCCCCAGTAGGTGTTCTCTACGGTATAGGTGGCTCCTTCTCCGCTGGCTATGACTTGAAGGAACTGGAGGCGGAGGCACAGCGCGGTAGCCTTAACTTTCTGTTGCGTCACGAGGGCTCAATTGGACCAACCAGACGGCATCTCCGGAAACCACTTGTTTGCGGCATCAGTGGCTTCTGTGTGGCCGGAGGAGTGGAACTGGCACTTATGTGCGATCTTCGGGTGATGGAGGACACCGCCGTTCTGGGATTCTTCAACCGTCGCTTGGGAGTACCGCTAACTGATGGAGGAACTGTACGTCTAGCCGCTGCAGTGGGGTACTCGAATGCCTTGGATATCATTGAAACAGGAAGACGCGTTTACGCAGGGGAAGCCAGGCGAATGGGCCTAGTAAATCGCGTTGTAGCCACGGGCACAGCTCTGGGTCAAGCTGTTAATCTGGCCTTCTCAATAGCCAAGTTTCCAATGGCTTCCTTGATGCACGACAGAAATGCTTTGTTGGAAAATGCCAATGCCTACAACAAACATGGTTTCCATGTAGCAAGTTACAATGAGATCATGAATGTAAGCTCAGATATGATAACAGATATGCAGGAGGGCGTAAAGCGCTTCAAGACCTGTGAGTACTCTTTATTACCATTTGCTAATACCCCTGTTAATAACCAATTTTCTTAGCTGAGATCAAGGGGCCCAAAACGGATTCCTGGCAAATAAAAGAGAAAACCATTCCAGAGTGGGAAAAGTCAGAAATCGAGATCGAAAAGCAAAAGACATGACATAGAATGCTTATTAATTAAATTGTATATGAAATCTCTTGGTTAGTTGCAATACTTTGTTGTTATTTATAAAACGAAAGCCTTTATTCACGTAAAATACATTTATTTAATGATTTATGTAGTTGACCGCCTAAATCGTTTACGACTCGCGCTTATTTCAATATTCACAACAATTACAATAACGAATTTTCCTTGAAATTAAGCCTAACTACCAAAAAGAGTTGAGAGGAAAAGCACAAAGTTCTGTATTCCTTGCTGTCGATCGATTCAACATTCACAATTAGTTTACACATATAAAAAATATGCTAGCGTCAAGTAAATCGGACTTGTCCGTTCACTTCAATGAATTTTTCGACTGCTGGGCCAAGCGGTTAGCTGGGTTCGCCAATATGTCTTAGATCTAGGAGTTAACAAAAGGAGTTTATTGCACTTAAATCGAGTAAAGCGAAAAACGAAGCTCTATGCAAAAAAGGCTGCTCTTGTACAAACTAGTGTTAAAAACCGACTGATCGTTAATCGTGTTATAGTAGTTTGATTTAAAATACATCGTACATCGTCTACGCCTTACATTTACACTCGGCTACACTTAATCCAAAAAATTTGTCATACAAATATTGCACAAAAATGGATCGGACTGTGAGTTTGCACACCCATGCGCGCACTCGTATTTCATTGTGCTGCACATGGCAAAACCTTCAATCAAGTGGTGGTACGTGTTCACATACATAATCACTAAAGTACGGTATTCGGAAACCTAAAGACCACAATACATATACAATATATACAAATGAAGAAGCAATTTTCGCTAATTGTCCATCCTCCCACCGTGTCTGGTATAAAAAATATATATAGCGTAGGCCAAAAAAGCAATTGCTGCAATCAGCTGGCGACATGCCATTAAAGATGCGATGCGATACGATAGCTTATCCCTCGATCCTCGTTTACTTAAGTCGCTGTGTCACATTGGCCAGGGCCACTGCAAAGGCCTGGAGGGCGGAGAAAGGATACTGGAAATCCAGGGTATAGGCGTTGCCATCAATGCGTCCAAACTGCATTACCTGTTTGGTGAAACGAAATATAATTTATATTGAATTACGAATTTATTTACTTATAAATTATAGTAAGCTCAACGTACCTGCTTGCCGCGGAACTCGATTTGGAAGTTCTTGGCGGACTCTTGGGTAACGCGACCTCCAAAGTCCAGCTGGTACACCTGGCTCATCTCATTCCACATGGGCGCCTTATTGTGCATCACAAACTCACGACGCACTGGCGCCGGATTGGCACAACTAGCACTGCCGTTCGGCTCAATCTTTCCGCGCTTTAGCTGTGGATAAGGATTTTTCCATAAAAATGATTTAAGTTTGATTACATTTTAAGAAATTAAAAAAAAAGCATAGAATCAATATGAATATTCAAGAAAATATCGAAACATCGTAGCTCACCTTCTGGCGCAGTTGAGCCTTTTGGAAGGTCTCCAGGTCGCGATACTGTTTTCCATTGCCCGCGTTGATACTCTCCTCACCAGATCCATTTGTCTGGTTTCCCTCATCGTCGGAGCTTTCGATAATACTCTGCTTTTTGCGTTGGCGCCGATTTAACAGCGGAGAATTTAAAATGTGGCGAATGGGAGAGTTACTCTGCTGCCTTTTGTTCTTTTTGCTAGCTGCCGGCGAGGCTGGAGAACTTCGTGGTAGTCTCTGGGGTGTGGAAGGTGGCGTCAGACGACCCTCATCCAGATCACGAAGGCGGCTTATTATGTTCTCTAAAGTCGTAAGTGCCTGAAATTGAAGAAACTTTTTATTTTAATAAAATTATTAGTAATAGACTCATGATATATCCCACCTGAGTATGGAGAGAAACCGAGGCCTTGGCCTCCACGGGTGTTGCTTCCACAGCGCCACAAGCTGCTCCCGTGATCTCTGGCTGCTGTTGCCGCTCTAAAGTGCTGGCATTACTTGAACCATTTACTTGCACCTGGGATGGCTGTTCCTTGCGCCTCCAGCGAACCTCGGATAGCTGCTTTACGAAACTAAAGCCGTTATCCTGCTTCCTTCCTAACAATGGAGTTGAGTTCTCAGTGCTAGCTGTTTCCTTGCTGCGACCGATCCCAAATCGATGTTTCCTAGTAAAGAGCGGCGAGTCCGTGAAGCTAGTAATGACATCGAAGCGTTTTTTGGGCGTCGGCTTGGCCTGCACCACTGTAGCCTCCTTAGCCGGTTCAACTACGGACGTCGCCACGACAGACGTAATCTCATCAAGAACGGAACTCGCCGAAGGCTGACACCGCTTGCAGGCACTACTGGGACTCATGTTGTTGCGGCACTTGAAGCACAGTGTGTTGGCCGCACTGCTGCAAGCGCTACTGTCGGATATTTCCTGCAGTTTGCGCACCACTTGTTCGTGCTCCTTGCTGGACAGCTTCGTCTGCAGAGACAGAAGGTCGCAGGAGTCCAGACTCTTTGACTTCCCTGTTTGCTGCAGTTTGTGCCGTCGAGCGTCCTCCTGCTGCTGCCTTTTCCGGCGATTCCTTCGCTTGTCCACCAGTATCAGTCGCTTATTCGGAGCATCCTTTCGCAAGGCGGACAATGCCTCGTCCGAAGGTGTAATGGCCACAGAATCCAGATATCCAACGCTGCAACTGCGCGTGATGGAGTCGGGCAAAGCAGGAGCTATGGAAACCACCGTTGGAGTCCGCTTCATGCTGCTACTGCTTGGCGTGGGCGTTGGCGACTGTGTCTCCTCATCGATGTAAAGCATTTCACGTCGCTTGGCGGTGGATGAAGTGGTAGGTGCCATGCATTTGACCCGTGCATCCATTCTCTCCAAATTCAGATTGAGATTTAGTGGCACCGGATTCACATGGCTATTGGCCGAGCGTACTGGCTCCGACATTAGGGCATTTTTCACCTGAACCACATTGTTGGCATAGTCCGCATTGCTCGAGTAAGACATCAGGGTGGTCTGTCCAGCGGCGGGCACTGCTGGGCGCTCGAATATTATATCCGAAGGAGCCACTGCATTCTTGGGACTCTGCAGCGTGGGAACTGCTCCATCGCAATACAGCGGCGAGATGGCGTGACGCGACTGGCAACTGGAATTGGAGCTGGAGCGACTGTAACTGTTCTTAAAACTGCTTATAGTTTTGGGACGTGTAATAGTCTTGCTGCTGCTAGGTCCAGGACCCGAACCATTCGAAGGTGCCTGGTGGAGGAGCACAGTGGTTGACTGGCAGGCTGCAGCTCCCGCCTCCTGGGATTCATTCGATGAATCATCATCATAGCTCTCAGCTCGGGCCAAAGGACTCAAACCCGCTGAAGAGCCAGATCCCCGTTCTCCGCCATTTATAGTCAAGGAGTTCTTGTGACGCGCCAGGATTCGATTTGGACGTGGTGACATGGGCGCTATTAAAGGTGCAGAGGCTCCATCGGTGAGACGACGCTGCGGTATTATTGGTGGCTTTAGGGAAGCCCCATCCTGAGTGGTGATCACATTCACCTGCGGCACTGCATCGTGATGATTAACCTGGTGCTGGTGATGCTCATCCTCATCCTCGGAGAATATGTTCGGATTAAAGCTGGGATCAGGACCAGGTGGAAAATCGTCGCGCAGCTCGGTGATGACCAGCGTCATTTGACGCGGCTGCAAATGCAGTAGGGACGTCTTATAAGTTACTTGGCCTAAATTGGCTGGGACGGTTTTGGCAAGTCCATGGATCTTGAACTTGGTTCCCCAAATGTTGGATGTCACCTCCACCAGCTTGACTTCCTGCTTGAGAAAATGAAAAGAATCAGTGATGGCGTGGATCTTCTCTTACAGTGAATGTCACCTACCTCCGGCAGTGTGTCCACATAAGCAAGTTCATCCAGGCTGTCGGGGTCATTCGTTCCTCCGCCACCAGAAGCACTCAGCCTATCGCCAGCTTGGTTACGTCTTTTCGGACGCACTCGCTTCTTACGAGGAGTTCGCGGAGAGCCAAAGCGAGATCTCTCCTCGTAGTCACTGTCCGAGGAGTCTGTGCGCCCACTGTTGCCCGTAGTGGTGGACTGGCTGGAGCCCGATGAGCTCTTGGCCTCGGCGGAGTATTGAAAGTACAAAGGGGTATCTGAAGGAGGGACACTTGTTTATTTGCGTTTAAAGCCATTTAGTTAAGAATCTTACCATTAACCTGAGGATCAAAGATTACAAACTCTGGACGAATCTTAGAAGTGCGCTTGCCTTTGAGAAGGGGCACCAATCCGCCTAGGTACTCCAGATACAGGGTGTAACATGTGCCGGAGCTCAGATTGGAGTCGTCATCGTGTCGAATCATGGTGCAGTGCAGCCGGGTGGAGCATAGCGGTGGTCGCGAAACAAAATCACGCAGCGACTTCAGGTCAGGTACACAGCACTACAAAATTGCGAAATTATTTAGATAAGGGTGATATGATCTTCCTTGAACTTGACTTACTCTTATCGTTTGAGCAAACAGATTGCCAATGAGAGACTTAATCCTAGAAGGCAACGGCAGCAGGGGCAGCAGCGACTCGGATCCAACACTCGCCTGGATCTCCAGGCGGCACAGGAGCTGCAAGGAGGCCACCCGTCTGGAGACCCAGGCGATGTGAACCTGCGTCCCCGTGGCGATGAACAGCCTTTTGTCGTTGTGGCCCCAAGTGATGGCGGAAACAGTGGCACTGCTGCAGGGAATGTGCGCCTGATACAGACAGGTTCCCGTCTCCGTGTAGAACTTGACCAGATTCGTGTAGCTACTGGGTGTTCCCATATCCTCTGGCTTTGTTCCATCTAATCCGGTTCGCAGAGTTCCTGCAACGGCAAGCAGCTCGCGGGAGTTGCTCCACTCCATGACCATACCGAGGGCGCCGTTAAGGCATGTGTTGATATGTGCGGGTGAGACGTCGTCGAACGACTTTAGCAAGTAAATATATCCATTCTGGAAGCTAACTGCCAGGACAAAGGATCGTTTGGCTATGGAAAGGAAACCAAGGATTACAAAGTTTCATATTTTCCATTAGGATTACTCACCCGCATTGGTTACACCGGGCTCCGCTTCCTCGCCCTCCTCCATCTTGAACTTTTCACATGACCAGGCCATTGAGGTAATGGGCACATCGTTGGACAGCTGGACTTGAGACACCATCGCTCCATGAACATCCATCACAATAACCTGTCCTTGTGTGGTTCCAAAGTAAACCTGCTGGTCGTCGGGCGTCCAAATGCCGCAGGTGATAGTAGACTCCAAATTGAGCATGGAGGACCAATACCTTTGGCCAGCCACGGAGCCCACTAGAACGAAGCCATCCTGGTAGCAGATCAAAGCCATACGTCCGTCATGCGACCAGGAAAAGTGGGTCACCGGTGTATTCCGATCGTTTATCAGCTCGATGGACCAGCGGCCCTCATACTTGATCCACACAAATATGATTCCAGAGCTGTCGCAGGAGGCCAGCTTCTGGTATGGTTCGTTCCACTTGACCAGGATGACCTGCGAATAAAAATATCATTAATATCACAAAATTTGGGGCTCTTCTATATTCAACTTACATCCGATCTGTGGCCGCGCAGGTTATAGTTGGTCCTTAGCGGATAGTCCATGTTCTTGCGGCAATGTGAGGTGGTAAAGGTCACTCCCACAATGCCGCGCACATTGCCCGTGGCCAGCCATCCCTCCTGGTAGTAGTTGGTGCGGTTTAGCTTCCATCCCTCGTCCTGAAAAAGCGTGGAGAAAAAGAAAGCCCGTTGAATAGGATGTCCACAGCTGCCGACAGCTGCTTGGCAGGTCGCCTAAGCAGTCGCCAATTGCGAGTCAAGTGCCCGTTGCTGGCTTGTAAAATGGATTACCGCAGGCTTAAAGCCAGGGCCGGCCCATTCACACATTTCCCACAATCGACAGCCAGCCAGCCGGCCGGTTGGCTTGGTAAATATGCTCCACTTTGTGACTGCATCTCTTATTCTTTACTCTTTGAGCCGCTCAACCTGCCAGATGCCTCTTTCACAGCCCGAGGCAGGGAATTTTCACTCAATTCGTTTGGGATTCCTAGCAACTAGCAGGTCGAAGGGGTATGCTCACCATGTCACCATGGAGATGGGCCCAGATAAGATGGATTTCTGGACTTACTTGATATTTTACATTTTGCCTTCATTAGAAGCTTAAGGCATCCAATTCTTTTTCCCCACCCTTGCTAATTGCAAATGGTTTACCGTTTCTTAACCTTTCTTAATAATCTGACTTCCCTGATGTAAGCAAAGTCATTAAGTTTAATTACTTAACTAAGTTAATAATCTGTTAAATACATTCGTTATCGAAAGTATTAAAACTGTATTCTCAAGAGTAAAACCTTCAACTACTTCCATTTAATCACTATTTGGACTTGTGCAATTAAAATCAGCAATCAACACGTAACTCAAACGAATTCGGTTATATAAAGGTAAATGAAAACTCGCACTGCATTTCCATTTGAGGATGAATTAAAACCAATTATGCCATCCAATTAACATTTCAAAAGCTTCCCTCAGTCGTCATCAGTCAGTCGAGCATTCATTCTGCAACTTTTAACTTGGTTTGTTTGCCTGCTGCGCCTTTCTCTCTGCGGGCTTTCTTTGGCAAACTCTTTGCCAGTTTATCAACTGCAGCAGCAGTAGCAGCTGTTCCTGGTCCTGCTGCTACTGCTGCAGTGGCACTCAACCGCAGTTCCCCGTCCTGCTGCTGCTGCCTGAATGCTCAACCTTCTGTTTTACAATTTGATTTGATTGTTGAGTAGCACCACCCACCGAATTGATTGTTTTTCCGGGCGGGGCCGTTCACAAAAGCTTAGCCTACATTTCGGCGCGCGCTTTGACTCGGCGATAAGCGAGGAATATTTCAATTTAAACTGAAATTTTAGGCGCTTTCAGCATTTTGGCTAATCCCCGCTAAGCCAAATGGGCGTTTTCTGGCGCCCAAATCCAATTTGTGGGGCATAAATTAAAATGCCGCCGCAGAGGCAAAAACAAAAATTACGAAAATTTGTAATTTCCGTTTCGGACAGCGGACATTGGGCCTCGTAGACCTTGCCGAAGAGTTAGCCAAGTTAATTGCTTTATTGGCCTGATTGATTGGTGTGCATATGCTGATGTCCTTGCTGATTCAATTATATAATTGAATGCACACACACTACCCAGGCTGGGGTGCAAATGTCCAAGTGCCGTCGTCCAGGCCATCGAATGGCTCACTGCCTCATTAAGGCACCATCGAGCACACATCGAGAAAATGCTTCAGTGGCAACAATTATGATCAGGCAATCGGCATTCTCTTTGTGGAGTGTTATTAACCTTTCACTGGGCCACTTGAACCGGATCTGGACCGTGCTCTTGGCCAAAATAGATGCACTCGAGCCACTCGATTTTGCATTTTTGCTATGCATGTCCGAAGGCACTTCAACTTAATAAGTCTATCACGAAGCAATAAATTGCTACAATGCCATCAGTCAAGCGCAAGAAAATAGAATTCATTCGGAAAATGTTTGTGGAAATGTCGAACTTGTAATTGAATTAACCAAAGTTTGCTTTAAACATTCAAATGGCTTAAATTTCCGTTTTCACTTTGACTAATGCAATTTCCCTTAAACGTTGTAATTTCATTTTGTACAAAGCAGCAGCAGCAGCAGCAGCGGCGGCAACATCAGCAACCAGTAACATCAATGTCATAGCTGCGACATCAAGGCAACGTCGTTGACAGCCTCACACTTTGGCCATGTCTTTTGCTCTTGCCTGAAATGTTTAAGTGGCTACTTGTAACTTGTTAACCGTTTGGCGACGTTGACATCCTGCCTCGCTTAGAAAATTACCTGGCAATCTCTTAGTTTTTCCCCTCGTAATATTTAAATTCGTTGCTCTAAACTTTATGGTCTGGCCATAGGATGTATGCCAAAAAGGAAAAAAACCAACCAGATGCTTGCCTGCGATTATGCTGCAGTTGCGGCTGGTGCAACATCGCCTCCATAAATTATGTTGCAGCCATTTGGCACACACGAAACAGCATTTTCGTGCTGCTCCATTTCGCAAACACACAGCAGAGCAGCAACACAACATACGCGTTTAATTAAAAAAAAGCCATTTTTAAGGCAGGCACCTGACGACTGACCCTCCACATTTTCCCCCACTCGAGCACATTAACCATAATTGCTATTCATTATGCATGCCAATGGCAACCCGCGACGCATTCGCTTTCGCATCCGCTTCATTATCCTCATGAACACCGGGGTCTAATGGCTAAAACTGCGGATAAACGGACAACTAATGCTAATAAACATTTAATAAATTAAATATTTGGTTGAACGCTTCACGAGTGGCCAATAGGAAATCAAAATGATGTCAATTGCCAGCTAAAAAACTTAAATAAATTATAAAATGAGTTCGTGATTGTATAACTATGTTAAAGAGCTCTTTAACTAAACAATGATGCTAATAAACGTTTAGTATACATTTTAGCGAAGCATTAAAATCTAATTAGAATCTATAACAATATAAACAGTAATTAAAATTGTCAAAGCTTAACGTCAAATTGCCAATAAAGTTCGAAAGCCAATTCAAATTCAAAATATGTGCATTTGATAAATAAGCAAAAGTGTTTTATGGCTTTTCTCGACAGCTCTTTGACTAAGCACTAATCCAATAGACATTTAACTAATTTATTATTTAGTTAAATGCTGAGCAAGTGGCCAATATAAATTTGGAACCTAATTTATAACATGATAAAAGAGCTTAACGTTTTTCCAAGAAAATGTCAAAAATAACTTAATTAATTGATAAAGCCGAATAAAATTTGTTGCAAATTCGTTTGCCAAACAGGCTAAGGCCAATAAAGCTGCTTTGTATTGGTTTCAAAATGACTTGAATGAAACGGTTGGAGCGCTCCCATGATAAAGTCAAAGAACTCTTATGCAAAACAGTCCCCATGTATATATAAAAAACGAATTTATATATATATCTTTTTGGGCTATTTTTGCGCCTTTCTGTAGCCAATTTTAAACGCCATCCCGAAGGCTGTTTTTGCTGGTGGTCTTATTTTCGGGGTCGTTGACAAAGAGTTCAAAGTAGCGCCTGGAAAGCTATCGAATCCATTCGGGTCAAGTGCACAAGCAAATAAAAACAACTTGGGCGAAAAAAAAGAGAACTAGAACTGCTCGATTGCCAAAGAGTTTCGAGAGCATTTCAATTTCGAGCCACTCGTCTCTCAAAAAACATTTTCTCTCAACGAACGAAAGTGAATTTACGAAAAAATAGCCACGATCCATCAGCACTTGGTCTCAGTTGCCAAAGTTCTTTTGCGCGGCGCGATCGAAGAGCTCTCGTCTCCGTGAGGATTTTCCGGAAAATGTTCCACATTCTCTAAGTACCAAAATCGAAACAGAATCAAAAAAATATGTCTGCGAAATTGTTTTGGTTGGGTCTAATTGCCTGTGTAGTTTTGGCAAGGAGCGGTGTCTGCTTTGAGGCCAAACGTTTCTTCGGAGTGGGCAAAAGGATCGATGGAGACCAGCTCCTGGTCAAAGACGTGCGACACTCTCGTATATCCGGTGCCGATGGGCTTCCCCGTGTGCCTTTCACCTACGAAGTTCAAGAGCCTATCACTTGTGTGGAAATCCTTTCGGAGGATGTAAGTAAAAAGGATTTCTTTCGGGTTTTAGAACTAATATATCACAACTAATACAACGGTTATGATTATATTTATATTTCATTCGATTGGAAACCTTTTATAAAAGCAACATTTGATTAGTTTGATTTGAAAGTTTTTAGTTGGTTTTTTGGTATAGAAAATGGAAAAGAAATAAGTTTGAAATATTGGATATGCAGTTTATAAATGGCGATAATACAAATTATAAAACCAAATCAACATTTAAAAGCTAATTCTTTCGAACTAAATTCAAAACACAAATTCAAAACAAATATTTGTGCATAATTAGGCAAAAATTGTTTATTTTGGGTTATGAACAAGTGAGCAATATGAACGGATATTATGTGGCTGGGCATTTGTCGCTGACCCCTTGTTGTGTTTTATTTTGCACATGCCCAAACCGAAAATAGAATTAGAAACTGACATTTTTTTCGTCACGGCAGCCGACAACAAGTTTGGCCCATAGATGTATTTTTATATCCAGTGCGTTTGAGGCTGCCGGGCCTGTGTTTACTATATCTGCAGAGTGCCCCATATATATATATATATGTATTCATATTTTTTTGTTTATTTATTTTGCCCTAAAATATGATTGGGTTATGAGCTTGCACAAACAGTTTCTAAAGTGTTCAATATATCGACATCTGGGTCGATAATTGATAGTATTATTAATGAATATATATTGTATATGAAAATCGAATACTTTGAAGCCAATAAAAATAAAATAGCGTGAGGAAATGTGGCAATTTGGCAAAGCCGCCAAGCTAAATGGGCAAAGGAAATGGAGGAACGCGAACCGAGAGCGACTATATATTATTTCTCAAATAACAAGAATGAAAATCTTGGCGAATGCAATTTCAATTTTAGCAATTATGACGCGGGATTTTCCCTAGAAAATGTACGAAATTGTACAAAGTACATATATGTATATGCCCATGAATGTGATTGTCAGACCGAGTAAACATCTCGGAAAAATGTGGCAACCGATGATGGATGTTGCCGTGATGGTCACGCCTGATTGGGTCTGTCCAGATTGGAGAGGATTTCTTATTTGGCTTTTCTTTTGCTATTTCAGAACATTGCGGCGGAGGTGAAATTCAGCTTGGTGAATCGCGTGGTTACGGGAAAAGTTGAGCTGGCGGCCAGCAACGAAACCATTGACCCCAACTCCCTAGCCACTGCTCCACCACCCCCCGAATTCGATGTGACAATCATGGTGTTTGGTCTAAACGAGACCAATTTGAATGTTGATCCGTCTCTGTTCCTCAATCGTGATCAACAATTCGAGGGCATGATGAAGTCCTACGAAGAATTCCTTCTGGAACAAGAGCAATATGTCGAGGTATTTGATTACAGCCAACGTGATGCTTTGGAGGTGGACGAAGAACTGGACAATCTCTCCGACGAGGACATTGAAATGTTTACAGAAGGTACATACGTAGAAGATGGGTTTGAGAAGCCGGACAAGATTATTGACATTGGAAAAAGGCAGACGGGTAAGTTCAATACTAATATATTAAGTGATTATACTAAAGATTGATCTCCTAGGTGATATACTCCTTTACCAGTGCTATCAGACCTCATCGGATGATTCGGAAAATCCAACCAACCACTCGGTGGTGTTCTACTACATCGACAGCAACTCTATAACTTATGTACAGTTTGCGTTAATGGATGTAAGTATTCAAATCTTGATTAGAAATCCCTAACTTCTTCTGAATTCTAATGTTTTGTCTCATTTTCCAGCACTTTTCCAACAGGAACATCTCGGATGAAGGATACCTTCCGCCCGTTGCGGATTACAGTCACTACACTAGCGGCACCCTGAAGGCGGTCATTACGGATTTTAACTCGAAGAGCCTTTCTGTCCAGATGTATGTTTTCGGTTATAAGGGTCGCCAGGCGCCCGCCAGTTATGTGCCCTTTCTGCCGCCATCCATAGGACAACGGACGGCTTTGGATAAAAGTTCGCCGCATTTGACACCGCTGCAGACGATGCAGTTGCTCCTGATGACCGGTCAAAGGACAACACCGCCACCGGGGGCCTTTAACGACAGCGGCGAGCGTGAAGAGCAGCGGAGCATTCGGCCGGAGGAGATGAAGTTCGAGCGGTTTGAGGATGAGAATAGTTCGGCCCTGCGACAGATGAACCACGGAATGGGGGCACTGCTGGCCCTGCTGCTCCTGGTCCTGCACAACTAGTAGCCGGGGGAATCATTAGTTAATCCACGGAAAGCTTTATGAGTAGTCTTTAGTCCAACATTCTGTGTATTGTATTTTACGAAATAAACTTTTGGCCTAAGCCAAGGCACACAACACACACTCTTCAGCAAATTGAAAAAGTTGCGGCGAAAGTAGGTCATGGCGTTGGCTTGGCCCCCTGACCCCTTACCGCCAACCCGATACCCAACCCCATACCAAACCGCACCCACAAACACTCTTACATGCGCCAACCCCTAGCCCATAAACCAACTCCCTTGGCAAATTATCTGCGTCGGCGGTGGTTGATTTGGCCCGACTGACAAAGGGAAAGGCGGAAAAACGGAAAACGGAAAAATGTGGAAATCCAACTGACGACAGCGGCAGTTTTCCAAAACCCATCCATCCCACCCACTCCCACTTCTGGTCCCCGTCCTGCGAATGTGTTTATTTGCTTGGACATTAAGTCAGACCCAAATGTGTCCTTTGCCTTGGCAATTTATGTGCCTTGTATTTTGTTTCAACGCAGTCCGAGAGAAAGAAAATAGCAAAAATTGGAAAAAGGCAAATATATATAACCTTCGCAGAGTTCGAGAGGCGAGAAATCAAGAGTTCCGTATAACAAATAATCCTTTAAGCGTTTAAAATGTTTGCTAAGGATTCCCCACATTCACATAACTTGTGTGTTCGTTCGCCCAGCGGTTGTCAAAGAAATCTAATAACTTTTATTTCAATTTCCGGCTAGCTACATTTGTACACACGGATATGTGGCAGTCGTCCTGCGGCTGCAATGTCATTTTGTTCTTTGTTCCATGTCTCTTGCAGATGGCAAGAAGTACAAAATACAAAATACGTAATGCTACCTGGGAGTCTGCAGGAGGAGCAGTAAAAATGTCACAGCCACACACATAGTGCGAGAGAGAGAGAGTGAGACCAAGATGAAACCGTAGCGGGATAATGGCTGCCACATGGGAAACGAGGAGCACTAGGACTGTCCGGCACAAAGGACATGTGAGTGAATGAATGACTGCAGCGGAGTTGGAGAGACACAGAGAGCTTGGCAGATTGGACTTTTGCCTTAAGCAGAAGGAGCACCCCAGGGCACGGCTTACCCAACAATATTTATGTTTAATTTACAACTGAAATTTAACAATATTTACAGCACTTGCCGCGTTTCCCAGAGTTACCAAAAAATAAAAACGAAAAACTTCCACAGTTTTGAGGAAAATACCGAGCGCAGAGCCACAGCTTGTGCGGAATTGAAAATTTCTTTTTACGCGTGCAAACGCTTACAAAAGTTTTTATGCTCAGACATATAATTCAGGAATTATACGAGTAAACTGTCGGGTTTTTTGCACTGAGGGAAAACAAAATATATTTAAAGGTAACTTTTTTAGCATTTTATTAGAATATTTCTATCAAAAAAGCTTTTTTAAACTTAAAGTTATGTTAAATAATAGAATAACTAACTTAATACTTCTCAAGAACACTTTTTATCTGAAATACATTTCTCAGTGCTTGTTAGTGTGCTTGTGCAACTAGACGTGGCACTGTAAACAATATGGATAAGCAGCGCACAAGTGTCGTCCGCCTCCAAGCACCAGGCAACATGGACTCAACTCAACTCAATCCAAGGCAAGCCAAGCGCACCCAACCCAATCCACTACTAACCCAAACCCAATGCCAAATCCCACATCCCAGAGCAACCCAAACCGACGCCATAAGGGGTGACGTGAGCTTTTGTCAATAACTTAATAACTTAAAATATGGTTTAATGCTCACGTAACAACATTTTGCCACTTGTGCCAAGCACACGTAGGTGTGAAAGGCTTCGATGGTTAAAGGGGGGAGGCCAATGAAGGGTAGGAGGATGGTTTCTCCATGGAAGGTTGCTTAAGGTCTCATCGCACCACCACCCATTCACCCCTTCAGCCATTCAAAGCCAAGGAAATATCCACCGACCAGGGCGACCAGACAATGCCAATGGCAATGGGAATGGGACTGACTGACTTGCAACTGGCAACTGGCACTGGCAACTTTTATGGTTGTGCGGCAAATGGCTGGGTTCCTATGGCTTACAAGTGTATAGCCAGGATATAGTCGTACCATGGCGATATAGCCTTATTCGCCTCCTGGCCGTGCGCACGTGCTCCACCTTTTGATCCTTTTTAATGCCAGCCCAAAAAGCGATATCGATTTTTTTTCTTGTATGTAATCTTTTTTTATATATTTTTTTTTTTTGCCACTGCCTCTGGAGATGCCCCAAGTCGAGTTGCATATGTGCTCGCATTTAAAATAATTAAAAATACAGCACGTTCCAGAGATCTGGTAGTTGGCAAATAAATATTTAATATGGTATTTCAGTTAATGTGAGTAAATATGGGATTTACTACATATTGGAAAGGTTTTGTTTTTATGGCTGAACTTTATGGGTTTTTATATAAGAAGAAACCAGATTAAAGCTATTTCATTTGAGTTTAAGAAGTCTCCTAAATAATTATACTGTTTAATAGAATCTACTAGAATCCATTCCCAGACAGACCTTTATGTTCATGGAGCGGGCTGTATGTCCTTATATTCGCCATTACCACAATTCGGTGGGGGCAGTCGCTCCACTGCATCCTTTCGGCTCCAACTGCACATGATGCATTCACTCTCTGTTTTTGTGTGTTGGAGACAAAACTCAACTCATTAGCGTGTTGCAGAGGCTGCGGGTCTGTGGAAAGTGGAAAGTGGGGGAGATGGGATTCCCAATGTGAGTCCCTGGGCCACAATGGGGACACGGGGCGTGGCATGTGCCACACATGTCTGGCTCACTGGTTTCTGCATTTGAATTTGCATTTTATTAAATTTCAAAAGCTCTTCTCACATGTCCCCATAACAGGCATACCTCTCCTCCCGATACCCTACCCCTAACCACTTTCGAGGACCCACCTGAAGCCCCCATTGTTAGACAGGTGGGTGGCGGGTGATATGGTGTGGGTGGCAAAGTGGTGCCACCGGGGTGGTGCCGAGTGCAAAAGGTTGAGCATTGCATATTTATGCACTTAATAACGCATTTTAGCATGCTCAAGTGCAACTCATCTTTTGTTACATTTCGCTGGAAAAATGCGGGGGGTTGAGGGAATGGGTTTGCTTGGGGATGAAACACAGATGGAAAATTCAGGCGAAATTCAGGCGAGAGACAAAGCGAAATGAATTTCCTCTGTGAAAGCAGCCAAATGCTGGCCGTGCGAGTTGACAAATGGAGCATGAGCGTCGCTGACATGTTCATATGCAGAATCCATTCTCATGTTACATGAAAGCCAACAGTGAAATTAAAACGAATTGTACACAATAAAAAAGGTATCAGAAGAAAAGTCATGAAAGGAATACAGCTCACAAAGTAAAATATCGAAGGTTGATTTATAATATAAATGTTAAAGAATCCTTAAAGAAAGTCTTGAAATCTACAAAAGATTTTATAGTACATTCTTGTAGTTTTACAGAATTTTCCTCCTCCAGCAATCCACTTATATCAAGGAAAAGGATTTATCCTTTTTTTTCGATTTAAAAAAGTATCCCTACATGGGAAATGAAAATCAAAAATCTGCACAAAGTCAAGAGGCATTCCAATCAAATTCTGAGCCCTGGGGACCACAATCAACTTTCGTTCCTGCATTCTTGGCAAGCGTCACTGGCATCAGACTAGGATTATGCAATAACAATGGCCAGGCAGGCAGTTGCATAATTGATTGATTGAATCCGTATGCAACAATTGGACAGAGACGGTTGGCCAGTGAGTGGCTGGCTGTCCAGCTGTCCTAGCTGTGCTAGCTGTCCTAGCTGTCCCGGCTGTCCTCCACCGACGAGTGTGTGGATGGATACTGCTGTGGGCTTGTCTTTTGTGACCGACCATTGTTGGCAAGTGGCAGAGGCGCAAAACACAAAACACAAAAACCGCAGTTCCTGGCGAAGGACTCGATCGAAGGCAGCGCAAACAAACAAACAAACAACGAAATGCTGGACAAACCAATCAATGACACAACTGAAAGCCACAACGTCATTCAAGTGTGAAGAGCCAAGTGGGGATGATTGAGCAGCTCAGCACTTGGGGAAATAATTATAGCCTGGGGATAAGTTACATGTTTACTAAATTGAGTAACTAAATATTTAACTCTTGTTAAAACATAAACTAAATATATATAAACTCTAATATTGAAATTCAAAGCTTATATAAGTCATCCTTGGGATTTTCCATTAACTTAAACGAATTTCTCTCTGTGTTGCACACAAGAACCATCGCTCAAGACATGTGTGGCAGCAGCATTGTGGGCACATTAAATTACAGTTTTCAGAGCCAAGAACAAACAATCGAAAGTGCAGACGCGCCTTCGGCAAAGGCTGTGATGTGGCCGAGGGTCGATGGTTTGGAATCGCATGGCACAAAGGAAAAGCGGCGCCAATCGGTAAATCCCCGCCCCCTCTCGTAGCCCAGCAGATACGTCCTTGGCCACAGTGCTTTCTAATTGAAACTGTCGGCGACAGAAGCCCGTGGGTCGTAAATCAGGGCCCAGTAAGCACGAGAAACTAAGCCAAGTCTGTTTCGAGATGTTGCCGCTGCCTAAACAATTAAAAAGTTTTCAATTAACTCGCGCTGCTACGAAAATTGGCACTTGTAATCGGCACCTGTTCAACAAGCGTAACAAACAGTGAGGCCTGCGGATGTTTTCCAGGGGATTGCGTTGGTTTTTCGGGGGTTTCTGTTCCTGTTTAAATAAGCCTACAGGGGTGGGGGTTGGTACAGGGTGGGGTTTGGTACGGCACTACCACAAGCAGGCACGTAATACATTTATTACGCGTGAGCACGCCGTTCCATGATGAAAATCCCTGGGTGCGTGTATGTGTGTGTGCAAATGAGTTTCCAACATTGCGTTGCATACTTTCAGGGTGGCAAAAGTTAGGCTTTAAAGAGCAAAATGCAAATACCCGTGCTTTATTTTGTCACGGGAAAATTCTTGTTGCCTGTGCCAGTACTTAACCCTTAGTGTGTATAATAAATCCATACTAGCTTAATTAGATGGAAAATTAAATATATTATCTTTGAGGTATACTCTTTTATTCCCCGAACTGAAAACTTTTCCTTTGTTTATATTTTATATGTATTCCTTGAATACAAACCCTTTTCCCAGCCATACTATAAAAGCGGAAAAGTGGAAAGGTGGCCAAAGCTGGCCATTAACCAGATCCGGCAGAAATTAACTTAGAGCACGCACCGCCAGCACAAAATGCGCGACTGAGAGCATAATGGTCTGCTGCACATAATTATCCAGTGGCTATGGCTATGGCTATGGCTGTGTCTTTGCTGTCCAAAGGCTATTCAAGTGGTGTTGTGGTCAGTGACCAAGCTTTCAGCATTCACAGAGTCTCTCAACTCTGTCGCCTCCGCACGGAGAGAGTGAGATTGAAAAGAACTCAATTATTTTTTACTGCGCGTAATTAAAACTCAGCAGCAAAACACGAAATGGTAGGGGGATCCTGGAGTCCTGATTGTCCTGTGTCAGTGGCACTGGCAAATATTAATGATGTTAAGCCCTCCTCCACCGACTGCTAATGATGATACTGCTACTGCTAGTGCCACTAATGCCAACGTTCGTCGACTTCATCAACAGTTGCCAAGTTAATTACGCTAAGTGAACCATTCCAGGCAAAAAGCCATCATCTTCAGCTTCATCTGCAGCATCAGTAAGCGTCTACTTGAGCTCAAGTAGAAATTGTTATTCTTTTTGCATTATTAAAAGTTTTGCAAGGCGAGGCAAGTTCATAAAAATACGGCCAACTCCTGAGCTTGCCATAAATATGCAAAATATCTTCCCATTTGCAGCTCAAAGTTTAAATGCCTCTTGGGCATCCCAGAATTTTTAAGCATATGAAAGTAACTCAAATAAATGAGTAGACACTGAAGAATATTCAAGATACATTGCTCCTTTTAGCCTTAAAATAACACTTTGAATTTCCTTTTGACATAGGAAAACCTTTTAATGTCGGCAAATAAGAAAAGTTTCCACTTCTTGTTATCGTTTCATCATTTAGTTATCATTATTTTTTATTTGTTATGGATTTTGCATAAAGCCCAAACCACTAGAGAGGAAATTACGATGTTGAACCCAGGGATTTCCCATGGCAAATGTGACATGTGTGTCATATGCCGGGGAGTTGGCTATTAAATTTCATTTTATGATTTCAGTTTGCGTCCTTGTCCTCTGCCATGTCAATTTGCTGCGTCAATTTATGCGAAAATCCCGCGACATTTGTCCCACCCTAAGAGTAACAAAAAAAACGGAGTCACAGGATTTTCCGTGCAGTCCATTCTTTGTTTGCGCTGTCCTTCAGCCTTTCCTCCAAAGTGTGCACAAACAGAAGACGAATAAATCAACATGCCACGCCGGCGATGACGCACTCCATCATCAATATTCTATTAATGGCAGTGCAGTTGTTAAAATATTATGACCCTAAGAAAAATTTGACTACTTTTCTGGGGTGGGGACTGGGGCGACGACAGTGGGTACTTAAAAAATCACTTCAAGATATTTTCTCGCTTGTTTTAATACGCATTTTCCCCAGCAAGATGATTTATGCCGGTGGAGGAAATGGAAATAACTCCCCAATGGGTACGATTTTGTTTCGTATTGGGGGGAAATTCCTGCTTATCGCTCGTAAATTGCTGAAAGGCGTAACAAGAAATTAAGCTTGTGGCTTAGCGCACTTGCAACAGAAATGGAAACGCAATCGGAATGGAAATGGTAACGGAAATGGGTTGCTTACTGGGTACTGGGCAGTGGGGGTAGCATTATGAGGGTCCATGGGATGGGAAAGACACGCGTTCCTCACAAACCTCGACACGTGCCTGATGCCACACGAACACATTCTGGACAAGCCACTGAGAGAAAGGCAAATACCATTCGAATAAAAATAATCTTTACAAATAGTTTATAATTGTAAATATTTGTTTCATTGTATTTTGATTAAATTATATTTACTAGCCATTTCCACACTCAGCATCTGCTTTACTTTATTCCTGGCATTACCATTAGTACTTCTGTGTAATTCAAAACTCGGAACAATAGCGAACAATTTTTTCAAGTGCAACCGCTTGTGTTGAAAACGAAATTGAAAACTGTTAAATAAATCGCAAACGAGTTTATTGCTCGAGTGGTGTGCACCGCGGCACAAAGAGAGGTCGAGATAACCAGCATATAACCAACACATTCCAACCAGTCGACATCCATATCCCACTCAGCCAACTCAACCAACTTATCCAACTCATCCAGCATATCATGCATATCCCGAACTGAAAAGGACCGCAGACAGACGGAGGATCCACTTGAGGCTGCGTGGGCCGCATTCACTTAACTTTAATTTTGCGCTACAAAACACAAGGGTGCGGGCGTGGGGAGGTTGCTGGGCAGAGCCGAGACAGACGTGATTGGATTTTTATATTCAATATAAAAAGGATTATATGGCATTTGTTGTGCGGGCATTGAAAGTTCATAATGATTGGAAAAGTTAGGGCCACTCAGACGGACCCTCTTCCGTTTGAGCTTTGGCTTACACGTGGCGTGTAAAATCAATTTTAAGCCCCGAAATGAGTGCAACGTGGCCATTAGGGAGTCCTAAACCAGCGACACCTGCCAGCGTCCTTCAAAAAGGTGTATATAATAGCTCTATACTCGTGTATATAAATAGCTCATGCCATGGTGGCCAAAGCCATGGGGCTTTTTGGGGCCTAAGCACTTCCGGCGTGAAAATGTTCGGCATGTGTGAAATATCCTGGCGCCGTATGAAGATTATCTAGATTATGCAGAGATGCCATGGAATAGCCAAGCAGAAGCCACTTTCCAATTTAAGAGCTGACCACCATTCATTCTGGCTAATGGATAATGGCTAACGGTCGGTCTTAATAGTTTCGCCTGACAGTTTAAAGTGTCCGACAGTTTAATGGACCTTGTCCAGTATTTATTGTATTAATATTGCACCGATAAAATGAGAAAGGAAAGGCCTTAACGCACACTAAGGAAAATTAATGGGAATTGAGGAAATCGTCAGCAATTCAATTTGAAATACTAGAGTTTAAAAAGTAATATGCATGTACCTGAAAGTATGCAACAAAATAGTCTCTAACATTGATTTTAGACGCCTTGCATTACCCATTTATTTATAATTATCTACTTTTTAATAAAGAAATCGCTTAAATTTCCCTTAGTGCAGCCTTGGTAAAACCCATGTTAATGGCTTGTGGGCTGGTCAATTGTTAATCATCGTGTACTTACCTCGGGTATATCATCTGGCACCTTTCCCATCCATGATAATGAGAGTATCGTGCAATCGCATTTTGTGTTGATGTTTCGCTCAAAGTGTAAATGCATTTTATGGCCCAGAAGCGAAGGCCGACTAACTATATCCTCAAGTTGCGGTCGGTTTTTTTTTTTTTGTGTAGCTATAGCTGCTCAACGCCGATTTAAGCCACACACATGTTGCTAAAATAAACAGAGAGTGAGAAAGAGAGAAAGAAAAATTATATTGGGGGTTTGGGGATGAGTTTCATTATCGTTTAGTATAACATGCCAATAACTAATTTACGATGAAAGCCAAATGGAGTAGCTGTTCCTGCTACTCGTGTTGCCAATGTTGTTATTATTATTCTGGTTACTGCTGCTGGTACCTTATCAGGCTAAAACACAAACACACACAGCCAAGAGCCAGCTGCCTTTCGGGTCATTGGATGTGCTTTGTACGGGGATTTATTGGTGGGTGGAACGATGTTCCGGCATATGTTAGCCGTGCTCCCCCTGAAGCGGTATCAACTTCAGCGTGCTCCTTCAAGGGTTGACAAATTGCACCACACACACAAACACACTCTCGCAGACACACAAACTGGCTTACAAGTAGAACGCACACCCACGTACACGACATAATTTGAAGCATGCTTTTCAGGGCACACTAATTGGTATTAGTGGGAAAGTGGATGTGTCCTATCTTCCTTTACTTCGTCAGGATAACCCACTCACACACACACAAGCGACCCGCTCATAAAATTCCTTTTTACCAAATGGCATACTTATATTATATAAATATCAACTTGCTCGCAGACTTTGAAAACTTTATACGGAAGTCGAATGCCTCGGTGGCCAAAGTTTGAATTTGTTAATTTTGTTACTCTTGGTCTTTGAAAGAAAGTTGAGGAGCACGATAAGCTCAATATAATAATTTAAGAATATTTAACTTTTCTTAAATTGCTTTCAAATCTCAATGCACTAAAGAGTTAAGTTATTTCCAAACTGAGCATGAAGATAAACAATCTTTTAAAAATTCTAACAGAACATTGCACTCTGTTGGAAACAATTACATAAATACAATGCGCCCCTATTTACAAAATATTACAAAATGGTAAGAGCTAAAACGTTGTCAAAAACTTCCACGTCACTTTCGCAACGCCACTCATTTAAATTATTTAAAAAGTTTTCAGGCAAAAAGTCGAGTAAAGTCTTGCCGGGCTAAGGACTAAGAGCTCTGGGCAAAGGAAAACAATCCCTCGCTGAGCAAAGCAAACGGAGTGCCCTCCAGTATGAGAATGTTTCAAATTATGCTTGAATAATTGATATGGCTTGCTGCTGTCTGTTGTCTCGTTTGATGACTGCTTGACTAGCCGGCTTCTCGTTTTCTGTATTTGGTCTAGGCAGGATGGCATTACACATAGAAAAAAAGATAATACTGAATTACAAAAGTTTCAGATAACTTAACTCTTGCCATGACCTTATTTAGTTAAAATTACATATTTAAGTTGTAATTACCTAGTTTGGATCTACCTTTACATTGTAGAAAGTTTTTCCCAGTGTATTGCCTGTGGCTGAGAGGACTCGAAGATGTAAACGGCAAGGAGGAGACGAGGGTGCCCAAGCAGAGACAAAAGCACACACGCATTTGCTTCAATTATGTCGTGCGCTTTGTCTGATTGAATTTGACATGTGATATACCATTTTTGATTGCGTATACGCCCCGGGGGCGAGCCTTCATCAGGGCGAGCATCTGAAAGCCAACTAATGGAATCTTTCGCTAAGGATTTGCCCTTTTGCCTGCTTAAATATTGATAAAAAGCCAACTACAAGTCCTTATAAATTGAAGAGTCCTTTGAATTCCATTTCAATAACACATACACACACACACACACACACACACACATACATACATACACATAGACAGACAGACAAGCAGGATAAAAAGCGAACGAATATGGGAGGAATGCATTCTCGAGTAGTTCACGAGATGAATGATTGCACAACCGTGGGGCACATTCCGAACGTGTTACTTTCGCCACTCTGCGATTGCCAGACAGCCATTGTTCGCCTGCTTTTAAATTGTTCAACGTGCCGCATTTGGCAGCCAACCTGCACATTTCCACCCACCGAAAACCCACCGAAACGCCAGCCTTTCGGCGCTTTCATGCGACACTGAGCACTTTTTTAGCCGTGTGCGGTTCATGGTCGCCATAACGCGTCAGAGTAACGAAAATAACTGAGGAGGAGGCGGCGTCGGCGTCGTCGTCGGAAAAGCTGTCGAAATGCCAGTCAGAATATGGCTAGAGCGGAAAACTTCGGGCAGGTGATGCAGCTGGCTGTGCAACGGACACGACAACCTGGGCCAGACATCATGAAATATGCATTTAACCATCAACAATGGCAACCAGCCTTGGTAATGGCCACCAGCCATACTTACGAATAAATAAAGCCAAAATTACTCTGTACAAGATTACTTAATCCATTCGAAATGCAATTTTGTTATTGATGCAATTTACTGCACTCAAAGGCCAACAAAGGCTTTGTGTAAATAAATCAATTAAACAATTGAATCAATATCCATCAAATTCCTGTTCAAATTACAATTTGTTTTCTGTTTACGCCAATACTCTTTTCTTTCCCTCTTTGGAAAAACAAACCCCTAAAGCATTTTACTTCTGCCTAAAATATAGGATTTGTTTCGGCTTTGCCATTAAAAGTTAATTATGTGGAAAGAAGCTGAGACGGTATATACACAAAGTAAACTTTGTTTTTCCATCTCTTTCATTTGCAATTAGCCTGCCAAAATTAGATTGCGTATACGCTCCATAGTACACAGTTCGCTGTAAGGCGCTTAACTATTATGTAGTCGTAACTGCTGTTGCTCTTGTTGTTACAATTAACACTGTTTCGGGTAAAACTTTTGCTCTGTTCGCTGGCTAGCATAATTTTTGGCATGCGGTAACTATTCTGACAGTGGTAGCAAAAGTTTCAGTTTGATAAATCAACAACTGTTTCTGAAGTCTTCTTAATATTTATATTTAAATTCGATTTAAAATAAAAGGTTTCACAAAAATCATTTCCATAATACTTAACTAAATTGCTTCCTCACTGTGCTTTAAGGCAAAAAAATTTGATAATTACTAATCCGATGGTCAAATATCAACTTTGAATGCATTTACTTTTTTTAATCACTTACCACAGTAATTAACTGATTTTAATTAATATTATCTAAATGTAGTCAGCGGCACACACATGCTCATTACAGGATTATAATAAATGCAAGCTAATTCCAGCCTTTATTTACACAATAATCGAGATTAACATTTTGCTCCCCACTGTATATTTAATGCATAATGTCCGGGCCAGTGGCTTGATATCCGACCCGTCCTCGGCCCCCACTTAATGCCGCTAAAATCCTGATTTACTTTTTATCCTTCGCGCATGTCCCTCCATTATGTCTGCGAATTAATTGTGGCAATTTTCTTTTGATCCTTGGGGCACAGGACGGAATTTGAATGCACGCAATTATTTCATTTTCATCATGCTTTTCATCTACCTAACGAGCTGGCATTGTTCATATTTTCTTGTCCCTGTCTCGTTTATTGCTGTCAGCGGTCCGGGAATGCCCTTGAACCGCCTGAAACTAGCCCAGTCCGCTGCTCCTTTTTGCATATACCCCCGTACTGTATATAGTATAATATGGTATAATGGAAGTGCAACGGTGCATGCAACAAGAATACCAAATACAACACACAGCAAAGTCGAGTGGAAGGAACGAGCAACTTTTGTTGTGCCCAATTCGAAACTTGTGTGTGCGTTGCCCTCGACTCGAAAGTTTCGTGACGTTGGCCACAGGAAAAATATTCCACATACTCATGTATAGTAAGTAGCGTTCACATGACGACTTGTATCGGAAAGCTATTTATGCCAGCCTTTGGTTTCAGTTTAGTTTATAGAGTGCAAAGGCCGTTCGTAAATCAAAAACCTTGGGTGGGGAATCTTTCTATATGGCAAATAATTTTAATTATGGAATTTTTGTTTCATAAATTATAAGGCTAGGACGCGGGAATATTTATTGCAATAAATTGCAAAAGTTTAAAGATATATTATATACAGAAAATTACTATTTACAATGTTAATGTTACATTTCAGTAAGTTGCCTTTCATTGTAAAAGGAAACACTTTAGAAACATCAAAACTTCTTATAAACGAAAATGTTATTAAAATCCATTTCTATACACTTCCATGGAGTTATATCGATATACCACTATCTTTTAACTTTCCAAAGAACCTTCAGTAATGGAGAAAAAACATAATGCACTTTTGCAATTTACTGAAACTTTTAAAACTCAAAACCTATAATTTTCCGAGTAACCACCGTTGTGAAAAGGATATAATATAATCCTAACTTTGGTTTTAAGTTTCCCCTAATTATGTGTGTGTGCCTGCTTTGTTGTGTGCCGCATGCCAGGCAACCAGTGAGATTGAAACAAGTTCAAAGCCCACGTATCCCACAACAATTTTTTTTTGGTTCTGTTTCCCCCGTTGGGGGGAAAGTAATTGCCGGCAGTTCAGTTTCCACTGCCCATGGGGCATTCGGTTTAATTAGCCACACGCCAACAAGCACAAGAAATGCGTTTGAAAAGAAGAAAGTATTAAAAACTAGGAAGCAACAAAAGGCGACACCAAATAGGACGTGCATGCATTTAATTGGCGAGCTTTTCCAGCCAAAGAACCACTCCCTTTTTTTTTTTTTAACTCTTCCCTTAGAGCTGGAGCTTGGAAAAACCAGAAGACAAGAAAAAGCAATAAAATTTTGCATAAATGACGAAATAAATGACAGCCAAGAAAAGCAACATTGACAAATACGCACACAGGGGGAAGAAAAGGGAGGTTGGGGGCAGATTGGAGGTTGGAAAAACAGCTCTTCGGGGTGCCGGCTACATCGAATGTCTTTCTATGTGTGCACTGAGCTTTAATGGTGGAAAACCGATGGGGAAAACACAGGGGAAATGCCATATAAAAGCTGACGCTGGGCTCTTTTCCCTGCTGCCCTCCATTGTTCGTGCTTGTTTATTGACTTTCTGCGGGGTTTGGGGCAGTTTAGGGGGTGTGTGTGTCGAATAATTTGTTTCTACTTTAACCTAACCTAAACCACCCCATCCCTCATTCTCCATTCCCATCCCCAATCCCATTTCCATTCCGATTCCCTTTTTGGAAAACATTTTGGGGAAATTGTGCGCCTCAGTGGCGCTACAGTTACCCAAAATGTATCTGCTCGTTGTTTTGGGTGCGTTTTTCCTTCTCCTCCTTGACAATATAAACAATTTTTCCATTATTTCCATTCCGCCGCTGCTTCTACTGCTGCTTCAGTTATGCAAAATAATCAACATGGCAGATATTCAGATATTGGCAAGGCAAAGAATAACACAAACAATAACAATCACGAAAAACAAAAACCAACCAACAAAAAATAACAAAAACAAAAGCAAAGCCGTCTGTTGTCAATGGCGAAAATATTGGCAAAACATTCGGAAAAAACCGCAAATCGAGCAAACTGCACTTGAACTTGCCACAAAGACCCGCCACATCGTCCTCCCAACGTCAGCTCGAATTATATAATGCAAATCGCGATAAATTACAGTCTAACATCGTTAGGTTGAACTTCTTATTTATGAACAAGAATCTTTAATACATATTTCTAATTCATAGCTTAAAACAATCTGAAGCCATTAATGGAAATGAAACGTTAAACAATCGTACTCAAACGAATTACACGAAAGTGAAATCAAGTACAGTCCTCTGTAATGCTGATGAATAGATGCTTTGAATAGTATTAAAACGTTATGATTAGTTAAATGATTAGTTAGTTATGATTAGTTAAAGAAAAAAATATTTCAATAATATTAAAACAGATCTTACTATTTTGCTGATATACCCATATTAGTTTTGAAAATATAATTTTTAATAACATAAAAAGTAAACAAAACAACAATAAAATATTCACGGAGTATTTGAGTGTGTTTTACATAACAAAATAAAATTTCGGATTTATAAAAGAAAATTTAAATAATTTTTAAAAACTCCCCAGTTCTGAAAGATCCGATCTATCGACGTTGGACTGTATTTGCGAAATAGTGGACGGGGGAAACTGAAACGCAGCGAAATAAGACAAAATGTAATGACCTTGGCAGCCAAGCGCCACAGCAACGCTAACACACATTGGCATACACACACTAGCTCACACACCCCCGCATTCAAGCACACACAAACTTAAAAATAATTTCTCAAAGAGAAGCGCCCAAGAACAAAAACAAGAACAAGACATTGGCGGTCATGCGTCGACGTCGACGTTGGCAGCGGCATCTAAATTATGCAAACTGAGAAATTGCGGCACATCGCACACTCTAACTCACACACACACACACGTACCCATTATATCCCGTCCAGCTGTCGCCCCAATGCAAATGTAACGGTTATGTGCTATGTGGCTTAAATGCTTATCGCTCCGGCTGACCAACTAACGGAATTTCAATTTTGGCACGCATTTCCACGGGCTTTTTATAGGCGTGTGCTCCTGATTGCTCTTTTCTCCGGCTATACTTTTCCCGCCGGAGTCGTTTTTCGATTAGAGCAGAGAAAAAAACAAGTTTTGAATAATATTATGATGTATTAGATGAATTTACATCAAATTTTAAACTGGATACCAGTATTTCAGATCAATATTACAGATATGAAAATTTTCCTTTTAAATTGAAAAAGATCCTTGGCCAATTGGGTTCTGAACCCAGACCTTTGCTATTCAATTCCCTTAAATAATAATAACTTTTTCCAGTGCAGGGAAAACATAACACACCCGTTGTAACCAACTGCGAAAGCCAATGCCGATCGATTTTCACTGTCATTGGTTGTTTGATGCGGATTAATCGAAAACGTGCGTGGGCAGCTCACTCAACTGAAACTAGAAACGAATCGCTGGGAGTTAAAGTCGTGTAAGCCAAGCAAATATGGCTGATAAAAAACGTTTAACCAAGGTAAGAACTAAGGCAACAAAGCAGCTTTAATTAGCCCAGAATTCAGGGAGTTTTTTTTGTGGCGCCCTAGGTGTTGTGCTGATGTGGCCACAACAAAAACTCACCCACACACATACATACGGTCGAACTTCGTAAACACGAACTTTTTTATACATCACAAAACTAAAGTTAGGGGATGTAAGTTAAAGATACTTTTAGAGATGATAAGTTTTTGAATATCATATCTATTATCTTTGTCTTAAAATAGATTGAATTTAAAGATGACGAAGCAAAATCTTATTATCTTAAAAAATAAAAATGTTTCACTGTTTTCTGCTTGTTCTTGTTTTCAATTTATATTTAGGGGGTTCCTAAACTCAATTAATAAGATTTTATCTAAAACAAAACATTGCTATAGACTCTTCTCATAACCATAATTTTAAAAACACAAAAATGCAATAATTTTGGTAAGACTTTTTGGTGAGCACTTAGAAATTCCAAATATTCAGTAAACTAAAAAGTTATTTTCTCAAATCAATTCGATTTAGGGAATTTGCCCTGTATTATAGACATTCACACTGTCCGTGGGCTTTGGGGCCAATCCACCACCGAGTGAGAGAGGCTAAAAGGATGTTTGCCAGCCAGGGGACAACGGAATTCCGCAACTCACCTGTGAAGTCCCCGTCCCCGTCTCGGCTGCTCCGGCTCCTTGAAGTGCTACCGTACCGTTGAAAGTCCTGCTATGGGAAATCTGAACTGATCCAATCGAATTACAGTTTTTCAACCGAAAAATTGGTGCACCGCCAACGGAATCGTGTGTGTTCTTTTCTTGCAACTGTTTTGGGGCAGACGTTCCCGTTACTTTTTCCCGTTTTTCTGTTATTTTACTTTTTTCTTCTCCTCTCACACACACGCACACAGTCACGGGCAGACGCACACAAATGCAAACGGGGAACGCACATGCAGCGCGGTTGGAGTACCGTTAGCACACACTGCTTGCAACGACGCCCGAACGTGGACTGTCTGAGAATTTGGATTCCGGAAAGTTTGCATGGGCACTACGTAGGATAAGGGGGCGCCAAAGAGCGCGCCTGCGCTTCATATAGTCCGACCGCATAGTTCTTATCAACGGAACTGTCAAACTGACGGAATTTACGCGCTCCGGTTGTTGTTAACGGGTATTGATTTTTGGTTACTGGCAAGCACTGCAGTTACTTTGTATTAAAACGGAGTTTTGGACTTTTCTACAAAAGACTACATTTTTCACACTACTTTAAGGTCGAAAAATTAATACTTTACTTTCTACATTTATTTATAGTTTTTAAATAAACAAATGAACATAGCAGAGCTACTAACAGAAAGCTGTAACTAGGCTGTTATGCTTGTAACGCCTGCGAGGGCTGCACTGCTTGTCACGATAAGATATCGATTGGTGGCCATATCGACCAGGTGGTAACTAGGGCTGTAAAGTCGATATATTTTATCTTAAGGTTTCACGTTATATTTAACAAACCTTAACAAACTTGTTTAACAGGAATTAATAATTTAAATATAATGAAAATGTGATGTATTATATATTTCTTAATTTATCTAAGGCAAACAAAACTAAGAAGTAAACTAAGAAATGTTCTATTATAAACCTCAAAAGTTGGTCATAATGGGAAAATAGAATAGAAAATGTAACTTTACTGCAGAACAAGAGGCTTCATTTATACCTTAACTTTATGAGCAATGAACCTCTTCTAATAATAATAATAAGTATCCGATTTTTGTCGATACCGAATGTGACCTGACAACCCTGTTGGCAACCCGTTAAGCAGTGCTCTGCAACGACGAAGCAGTGCAACGTTGTGCAGCACTGAACACCCAGCAGATTTCTCGTTTCGTTTCCCTAATAAATTGTCAATAACTTTGCCAGTCGCTGGATGCAGGTTGTTTCTTTATGCCAATATTATTTGTTGTGCTGCCGCGTGCGCGAGTGTGTGTGAGTGAGTGAGTGTGTCAGTGAATGTGTGTGTGAGCGGGCCTTGGATTGCCCCGAATTGCATAGATTGCAAAAAGGCCAGAGAGAAAGGCCCAAAGGAAAATTGTGCAATAGTCGCGAAAATCGAAGGACTCACAGCAGGACGACGACGATGTGAAGCTGCAGGCGGGCGGTAAATTGGAATTAACTAAGGAAATCATGTGCCTGGCGGAGCAACCGCAGAAGCAACCAAACCGGAGCAGCACCTCACCCACATTCAATGCGAAATACAGGCGAAAATGCCTGCTCCTCCTCACGCTGCTCCTCTTCCACGGCTGCTTCAGTGGACTCCATCGAGCTGCCGCCTTCAACTGCACAGCCCACGGCGGACGCTGCCAGAACGACGGGCAGTGCCAGGAGGATGGACAGTGCCTGTGCGCCGATGGATGGCAGGGACCAGAGTGCCAGTTCTGCGGCGGAAAAGTCCGGTAAGTAGGGGTCAAGCATGTTGAAAGATCAGTTCCAACTCCTATATTGGAGAGATTAGGTCACCTACACAGATACAGTATAACCTCCTTTACCTGAAATGCCTTTATGTGTATTTTGTCTGACATTCCCGTTTCTTATCGTATCTTGTTTAAGGAAAAATCTATAAGATACGCACCACTTGATTTTGATATTATCCAGGTCGCTGCTATCTTGATACCATAATAAATATTTTGTGATAATTTCTCATGTCGCTTTTATGTTATCTACATATCAAAAGATAGGCCTCGTATCTGCAAATAAACATTTCTAGTTATAGATTATATATTTTGACTCATTCCAAGGTCAAGTTCCCAATATAAATTCTGTTGGAAGAGATTTCCAAAGCACCCCCTTTCGACTTGTGTGCCAGGAACGTTTGAACTACGCAGGGTGGACTGTATTTACATTTTCTTATCATTTTGATATGCGAATAATCTTAAGTTGAAAACAATTCTTTACGTGAGATATCATGTTGGAAACCCACCCTATCGCTTTAATGAATATGTTTTTATATATTGACATTTTTATAAGTATTTGATTCTTCTGACATATTTAATTGAAATGCTGGTAACTGGTAGAGTCATCAATATAAATTTGTCTTTCTGCTTAGTCGCTGTCCCCACTGTGATTCACTGCACGTTATTCAATCAGATCTCCTCTACCTTTTTCGGACCGGCCTATTTGTGTCAGGCAACGGTTCAGTTTCATCTGGTCGGACGGGTTCTTGGCCGGGCTTATCTCAACTCTCTCCCTCATCCCACCGTCTCCCATTTCTCCCGTTCTCTTTCTACCATTTCTCTTCAAACATTCTTTCACCTGCTTTCCGCTTTCTACGCCTCCTGACGGTTCCAATACGGATTACTTAATTAGTTCTCTTTGACTTTGAACTTATTCGGGGCAGAGGCTACCGTTTTTTGGGTTCTGCTTTCAGCCATATGAGCTTCTTTGACAGGTATACTGCATGGAATATATATTTTTGCTTATAAACTACAGATACAATTCAGTCACTAAATACTCTTATTATTCATCATGTATTTTGTATCTTATTCAAGTCGAAACAAAGATCTTTATGGTCTACTGTTAAAAAACAGTTAAAAAGTACTAAGAACTATAAACTCCAAACAGTAAAAGCAGTCTTAAGCTATGCGAAGATCAAAAAGATCGTTCTTGACCTATTTTCTAGACTCTCGTTCGTATAATTCCCAGATCTTATTCTAATAGCCAGATTTTGTTTCGCCAAACAATAAGATAACCGTTTTTTTTGCCAGCTATAAAGTGATATTTAAAATTAGAGGTCAAATAGTTATTGTTGCTTTCGCCTGCGTGCATATGTTATACTATATAGATACATGAGCGATGTCGTTGGGCCAGTTTGGTTGCTCACGCTCACGTTGGCGTCATAAAGCTTATGAAATGGTTTGTTTATGTTTCTTAACAACGGCTATTTGCTCGCGGAGCCCGATAAGAGAGTGTTCTATCTTGACATTAATTAAACCCATTCACCTGCCGTGATGATGGGACCTGGAATTTGCGCACTCGACCATTGAGGTCGTCGTTTCACCTGCCACACCATCCAGAAACCAGTTTGGTCTATACAGAGACCCCTGATCTCGACCTGCGGTTAAGCTGTCGAATTGCTGAATCGCAGCTTTCAGTGGGCCATAAATTCCGGGGCTACACATTTTGTACGTTCAATTTGAAACGGTGATAAGGGGAATTCTTATCAGCAGTGTGTGTGTCCGCTTATCGCCTGTGAATTTCTATTTTTTTTTTTCACGTCCAGGTCCAGCAAATGCCTGTGTTTGCCACACGGCTCTTTGGCTCTTTGAGAGCCAAACGATTTTGCCGGCTTTCTATGCAAAAAAAAAAAAAAACAGGGCGCAATCAAACTGGTTTCCCTCACTCCCAATGCATTCCAACCCATTGGCCACATGACGAGGGCGCCTAGTCACCTACTCTGGCTCTCGATTCACCAGATATAGCTTAGATAGCTTCATTTTCCATCTCCAAAGCTGTGCGTAAGCTTGGCGCTCGAGTGCACAGAGTGACTCACCGGCTGCCAATGAGTGTGTAAATATATCTTTGCCCAACATTGATTTTTCGTGGCTATCGCTTGATACGGCCCCAGGCACGGGCTGCATCCCGGCTGGACGAGTGTTTACTCAAAGTTTAGAATTGACCGAGACACAACGCCCACACGCCGCAGTCTCCAACAGTTGCGGTCAGAATAACAGGAGGCTTTCTTAATAACAGGCCTAGAATGTTATAAATTTAACAACAATTTAATGATTTGCTCATTACACCAAAATAATAAAAATATAAAGACCCAAAAATGCAACCAACTTTATTTGATAATGATTGGTGGTTGGTCATCGTTTATATGCGGAAAACAAAACAAAGTCTACTTTAGATAAGCTAGTGTTACTATCAATAGATAAACAAGTAATTATATGGTAAAGCAATTAAATAATATTTATGCATTGAAAGTGTTTTCCATTAGCCAAAAAGGGTTGAAAATGCTATTGTTTTGGCTGCAAGTGTGTTTGTGCTACATGCAGTACTTATCGGCACTTGCACGATGTAACGTGAGTCGCATTTAGAATGCGGAAGGCAGGCTACTGATTCCACTTTCTCTGAGTATGCTGGCTATGTGAGTTAATTGCTTAAACTAGTGCAAATAAGCAAATTGAAAGAGTTTGTAAAAGTTTTCTTCACATGATACAGAGTTTAAAGCTGCAATGGTACGAATAATAAGAAAATGAGGAACATTTGAATCTTTTTATAGAAACAGGAAGCGTTTATAATAATTCAGTTTAAAATATACTACACTATTCCACTCAGTTATTCTGATATAATGAAATGCTGTCGCTTTTATCTCTTTGAGCTTGCAATATATTGTGCTTAGCTTGGTGGGATCCCACTATTCTATATAGTTTAATATAATTATTAAACTTGTTTGGGATGCATCAGTTCAGAATTTAACCAATGAATATTCATTTTTAATTAGTTTTCTTTGGCTTTCTAACTATTAAATGGGCTGTCCTCTTGACCGTTTAATTGAAAAGTTTAAAGATCAACTATTAAGACCGTTACTGCAAGTAGGGGCTAAAATATAATTGTCACATTTGTAGAGCAGTGCGCTTTGTGCCCGGCACAGCTGTAAATTGAAATCAGAGCGACTAAATCAGAGGAAAGCAGTTATTTATAAGCGGATGTACAAACAAAACACTAAGAAAATATCAAGACAGACAAAGGAAGGCTTTGGCAGGCGACTGCCGGATACCCTTATCACATTTCAAGCTCTTAAATTGTCACAAGTTCCGACCAAGACTGTCTTCCAGACATATTTTCACTCGCGTAATCCCTGTTAGCAAGACAAAGACGATGGGGTAGAAATGCCTAAAGAGTGGAGAATGTACGGCGACTTTGTGAGACTGCCCCGAGTCAACAGTTGAGCGGCTTCAGGTCGGTCACACACACTACACGTATTACGTAGTATTATATATAGGAAACTATACTATCTCATATACACTCCCCCCATATAAATTGTAGATTGCAATTGCAATAGCGCTGGTCGGCTGACCGGCAAATTCAATTATCTTCTCACAGCATCGGACGGGCTATTACCATTTGCATACGTGCATGTGCAATGAGCGCTGCACTATCGCTAAATCGATAGAGAAATTGATTTATTTTGCCACCTCGAAGCTAATGGATTCCACAACCCCTTTCTCCGTATCTTTTAATCTATCTTTGCAGCATGTACCACCCGATGGGGACGATACACGACGGCTGGGGCAACTATTCTGTGAGTGTCAAGTGCAGCTGGCTAATCGATGCCAGGCATCCGCACTGGAACCGCCGACATAACACCAATCCGTCGCGTACCGCCAACATAAGGATCCACCTGCGAGAATTTGCCACGGAGTGTGGCTGGGATCACCTGTACATATATGATGGCGACAGCGTGGATTCGCCCCTGCTGGCGGTCTTCAGGTGGGCTTTATGTTTATTTGCAACATATTCTGTTCATTACTTACCTTTCGATTGCCATTCTTCCTTTTAGTGGCCTCATGTACCGCGGCAACTTCTCTATTCGCCGAGTGCCACAGGTGATAGCCAGATCTGGGACAGCCCTTGTGCACTTCTTCAGTGATGATGCCTACAACATGTCTGGCTTCAACCTCACCTACAAGATGAATGGTTGTCCTTCGGATAGTGATGGTAGGATTATCCACTTATTTAAAACGATTTAGTTACATGTTTAACATCGCTTTCAGAGGTGGAGTGTTCTGGCCATGGCAAGTGCCATGATGGCGACTGCATCTGTGATCCCATGTACAGGGGTGAAGCCTGCAACATTGCCGCCTGTCCCAACAACTGCATGGAGTCGAAAAGCCAAGGCCATTGCCGACCCGACCAGGAACGGTTAGTTGGTTATATATTTAGCACTCTCCGATTTTCACATAGCACTTTACACATAAGTTTCTTGAACGTACTCTTTAACTTATATCTATAAAAAACGATTCATTCATCTAATAATAAAATGCAATTGCTTTCCTGCGTAATTGAGTTTAAATTCAAACAAACTAAACTGAATCTGAAAGAAAATCCAGTAGAAACTAAATCTATGTGAAAACAGAGAGGGACTTTTCAAATTTTCAATTACTGATTAAACCTTGTAATTTCCCGCAGCTGCTCCTGTTACGAAGGCTTTGCCGGCGACGACTGCAGTCAGATCAGCGCCCACGGCGCCTGGTCCACGGTCCATCCGAAGCACTCACAGGCGCCAGCAGGCAGCGCCTCCCATGGCGCCACCATCTGGCGAGACACCCTGCACATCGTGGGCGGAGAATCTTATGGGCGAGGCGAACTAATGAGCACCTATGACTTTAACGGCAACGTGTGGGAGACGGTTCACCCCGCGGATGGTGGTGAAGTCCCTGACAAGCGATACGGTGCATCAACAGTGATGTACGGCGACAAGATCTTCATGTACGGTGGTGTGGTCAAGGGCCAAGGCATTTCCAATGAACTTTGGGCCTTCGACGTTTCGGCTCGAACGTGGACAAACATCACAGTGCGGGTGGATTCATCGTGCAATGCCACTGGAGGAACCACTGCATTGTGCGGACCCCTGCATGTGGTGGGTCACACAGCCACGTTGGTGCCCGGATACGGGGATAAGAATAACTACCAGTACATGGTGGTCATCTTTGGCCACTCACCGAACTACGGCTACCTCAACACGGTGCAGGAGTTCAACTTTGCGTCGCGGGAGTGGCGCATCGTTACCACCACCGGCTTTGTTGTGAAGGGCGGATACGGACACAGTGCCGCCTATGACTTCCTTACGGAGAAAGTCTACGTTTACGGTGGAATAGTCTCCGAGAGTGAGTCAAGTCAAGTGCTCAGCTCGAGGTTGTATGCCTATGAACCAGCCACGCGTATTTGGAGTCTGCTGTCGGCGGCGCCAAGTGCTCGACTGCTCCATACGGCTAACTTTGTGAACCAGGGACTGATGATGGTCTTCGGTGGAAACACGCACAATGATACCTCGCAGAGCTATGGAGCGAAGTGCTACAGTCAGGACTTGCTAGTGTACGATGTATACTGCGACTCGTGGCATTATCATTCGATGCCGGGCCACCTGCAGGCGGACCTGGCCCGCTTTGGCCACAGTTCGGTGGTTTTTGAGGAGTCGCTGTACATATATGGTGGCTTCAATGGCCAGCTGCTGAGCGATATGCTGAAGTACCAGCCGGGATACTGCAGCTACTACACAAAGCAGGAGAAGTGCACGGGAGCCCGACCTGGAGTGAAGTGCATCTGGGACGTGCAAAAGATGCGCTGCATAGCCATCACGCAAGTCCAGCGATCGGCTATTTATGGGCGTGAGCAATACGATTACGTGGCCTGCCCGTCTAAGAGCAGGCTCACGCTCACCTCGGAACTGCTACACGATGTTCACCGCTGCCAGGAACTGTCCAGCTGCCAGTCGTGTGTGTCCACTGCCTTTGGTTGCACATACTGTGGAAACGGAGTGTGCAGCAAAGAGCGGTGCCGTGAAACCACCTCAATGGCCTCCGTCTTTGAGTCGTCCACACAGCATACAGTGTCCACAGTGAGTCCGCCGTTAAATGCCAAGCACCTGGACTCGTGTCCCATCACCGAGGAGCACCTGGTGTCCTCCGTGTGTGAACAGTTGCATAATTGTCGGGCTTGTTCTGCCGACCTGGCCTGTCGCTGGGACTCGGAGCAGAACCGCTGCCGAAGTTATGTTTATTCCGGTGGAATGGCCATCAATCGGACGCAAGATGAGGTGGCCTGCTCTCCGTCCTGCGCTTCAATGACCAACTGCCAGAACTGCACCGAGGATGAGTGCATCTGGTGCCAGAATGAGCAGCGCTGCGTGGATCGAAATGCCTATACAGCAAGTTTTCCGTACGGTCAGTGCCGAGAGTGGACCACGTTTACGGCCAAGTGCAGATCAGCTCCGGTCCAATCGACTGCTTTAACCGTGGGCAGCACTACGGCGCTGTCAAGTGCTCAATGTGGCTACTACAACAGCTGCCAGATGTGCCTAGATGATCCCGCTTGCGGCTGGTGTGACAATGGCTCCAATACGGGCCTGGGCAGGTGCGTAGTTGGCGGAGCACTGAGACCCTATGATGAAACGGAGTGTGCTCTGAAGCATTGGTTCTTCACATCCTGCCCTCGATGTAACTGCAATGGGCATTCGTATTGTAATGATCAACAGCACTGTGAACAACCATGCAACAATCTTACGACAGGAGCCCACTGTGAAAAGTGTCGCACTGGATACTGGGGAAATCCCATCAACGGAGGCAAGTGCCAACGTTGCGATTGCAATGGCCAGGGCGTTTACTGTCATCCGGACACTGGAAAGTGCTTCTGTACCACAAAGGGTATTGTAGGCGACCACTGCGAGAAGTGCGATTCCCAGAACCATTACCACGGTGATCCGCTAAGGGGTTCCTGCTATTACGAGCTGACCATCGATTATCAGTTCACGTTTAATCTTTCAAAGAAGGAGGATCGTCATTTTACGCAGATCAACTTCAGGAACTCGCCGGGAAAGCCAGAGATCGATGCGGATTTCACGATTACCTGCAGCGTGCCAGCGAAAATGGACATCTCGGTGAAGAGGGCCGGCTTACCGGACATGCTCATCCTAGTGGGAGTTAACTGCTCAACGTTCCGTCATCGGTTTCCCAAGACGGACTACAAATTCGGGCATTCGCCCGATGATAACAGCTCCCTCACCACGTTCTATGTGTTCGTGCACGACTTCCAGCCCCCAATCTGGATACAGATTGCCTTCTCACAGTATCCCAAGCTCAACTTGCAGCAGTTTTTCATCACATTCTCCTCATGCTTCCTTCTGTTGCTGCTCATGGCTGCCGTCCTGTGGAAGATCAAGCAGAAGTACGACATGTTCCGTCGGCGCCAACGATTGTTCGTCGAAATGGAACAGATGGCGAGTCGACCGTTTTCCCAGGTGAGATTTTTGGAAGGTTAATAGATAATTAAGACTCTAATCCATAAATGATTTTGAACAGGTGTTGGTCGATATCGAAAACCGCGAAAGTATTGATCTGAGTCTGACGCTGGAGGGCATTGGCCATCTGTCCAAAAAACGAAAAAAGGTAGGCGAATAAATCAGTAAATCAGTTCTAGAAAAATTGGTTTGGCTAAGTTGGGCTGTAACCATATATAGTCGTAGAATCGATTTTTTTATAAACTAATTTCTTTAAATATAGATAAATTGTATTTAATAATGTTATTTTCCTCAGGAATGTCCCAGTCCCATAGCTTTGGAGCCTTGCAGTGGCAATCGAGCCGCTGTGCTCTCGCTTCTAGTCCGGCTGCCCACGGGTAAGGATGACTACTGATCATAAATGCGTTTTACTTATTAATATCTTTATCCAAACAGGCGGTCTATCGCAAGCGCCGTCTGGCCAGTCCGCTGGTCTGGCCGTGGCCAGCGCCTTAGTCACGTTAGGCAATCCGCGTCGTCCGTCGATCGAGCAGCATCCCAAGGAGCCAAAGTCGAAGCGCAAGCAGAGCCAGCACCCAGACAGTTGTACATAATAACCGTAACACTATGCTTACCTACATAAAGTAATAATGATAACGATAATGATAATAATTATGATAATATGTAACTAGCGAATAGGTACGAGTATATAGAATATTTGCCCCGACTTTCTTCTACTAACCACACACACACACAAGGCAAGCTAGCAAGTTGATAATCCGCAGTTATTATTACTTTAATGCATTAGACTAGTAACGAAACGAGAATGAAAGTAAGAAACAAACAAATAATAATAATTTTTAGCAAAAGGAAATATTTATATACGGTTATATACAATTTGATATAGTTGATAGGTCGAGTAGCGTTGCAATAGTTATAAATGTTTAATTTATTATTTATACCGCGTACGTGAGCTAAGTTCGATGGCAGCAGCTGTATTCAAATTATTAATGTATTTTTTTTACTTAACCACATAGCCTAAGCGTGTTGTTAGAATTTATTTATGCAAATTTTGTGAGCTGCCCTGGCAGTAGCTGCACCAAAAGACGCGACAGTGTCAGGGACAGAAACAGAAAGAGAAACAGAAACCGAGTTACAACAGCATAAAAGACATTCAATTGATCTAAGCAAAAGTTGATGATGAACAGACAAAAAGCGATAAAGATACATGTACAAGAAAGACGAGGAGTAGGAGGAGATAGATGACGAAGACATGCAATACTGTGTTCAATAATAGAAGTATTTCTGTTTTTTTAAATCCGTGCAAATATTTACAACGCAAGACATGAGTGGATCAAGACATAAACCGAAGTGAACAAAACAATGCAAGTGTAAATAAAATACGTAAATTATGAACGCTATATATATAGATAGTAGTTATACATATATACTAATAGCTCTTGATATGAGAACGCGCCCAAAACAAATCAAACGATTAAATTGTACATGCAATCTAGATGAGATCCAACATTTACCAAAATTCCAATTAAATCACAAACTAATCGTAAGGTTTCCTCTTGGCAACAATTGACTACAGAAACACACTCACACACACACACACAGTTAATTAACTTGATAATTCAAACTAAGACAAGTCACAGCAACTAACTAGATGCACTCTCTGTAATACAAATACAAATCCAGAAATGGAACAAACCTCTAGAATCAAAAGGCACTCGTCGATAAAACTTTTACTAACACCTAGAGATCTTTTAAGAAGACACAAACTTTCAAAGTACACAATCTCCAGCCGAGATGTTGACGATCGCTTCGAGTTAGCAGACAGCAGACAGAAGACAGGCAATTGTAAATCAATTTAATTTTTTTAAAAACGATCTAATAAAGTCCATTTACGAAATTTAATTTCAAATTGTAAAATGCGTTTAGAGACATACACTTAATATATAAATATATAAATACTTGCCAACCCAGTTCCAAACCCCGCAAATAAACAAACGAAGATTATAACAAACCATTCGAAGACTTGTTTCTTAAACCAAAAATACCCAAACTAAATGACGACCCCTGACCGCAACAGCTGCAACAAGATATACATAGATAAAGAATCATATATTAGTTTATTAACCAATAAAAAGACACTCCAAATGTAAGCAAAGTGAAGTGAAGTGGTTGTGTTTTTCATTACACTCGGTACTTTGGAGTTTCAAGTTATCCCATCCCATCACATGCATTTCGAAGAACTTTCACTTTCGGCAGCCGGCGTGGGGGGCGCGGCTGCATGGCCTGATAAACCGGGTAAATGTGAGATGTTTATTCAGGTCGAGGTTCGGTTCGATCGGTGTAATTGTGGGTCTCTGATCCGTAGAAGCTCTCTTTCACGTACGCGGATGTTGGCGATCGGGGTGGCCCTTTCCTGTTTCTTTCTTTTCACCACTTTTCTTTATGGCCACAACATTTTCGAATATCTTTGGCAATTTGTGCGGCTTTTGTGTCACGATATCGCCAAGCACCGCATTTAATTTAATGATGACGATTTTATTAATGAAATTAAAGAAGAAAGCCGACAGCTCTGAACGATGGCAAAAGCGTGCGAAATCCGAAACGAAGCGGAAGTGCCCACAGCCAGAGGAATCTCTGTCAAAACATCCATCAGACGAATTCATCGCCCTTGGTTGACTGACTGCCTGCATTGACGTAGTCACTATCATTTACTTTTATATATATATAAATTTTGTGCATATCCAAGTTGAGTCAGCCGATGTGCGGGTAAGTTTTTACGGTTTTACCCACCGCGTTCAGCTAATTCTGGCCCGCGAAGGCCAACACGCACTGCGTTAAGTGAACTATTGCGATCCATAATAATAAAATAATCAGCATTAGCCGATCGTTATGAATCAACGTTGGAATGCCCGAAGTTTAAGCCAGAACCAAACCGGCAATGCTTCGAGTGGAATTGGAGCATGAATAAGTGTCCACATATGGGAGGAACCCACAAAAACTCCAACAGCTACGCAGCATATTTTGAAATTCCCCCATTAACACAACAGCATAACAGCTTTACGAGTTCCAGACAAAAGGGCAAAACATTAAGTGCTTTGTTATTTTTTGGGGTTGCTAATTATATAAAAAAGTTATTTATTTTTTACATATTTAAATAGAAAAAGGTTTGTTTAAATTAAAAATTACTTTTTGTTTATGTGAAATGCGATATGTATATTAGTGAAATCTGTTTAACTACTGGCAGACCTAATTGATACAGCCCTGCGACCCTGTTCTCAATTCGATGTATATTAGCTTCCTAATGTTCCCAATTCAAATTAGATATTTTTTTAACATTTCCGGCGATCCGATATGGATTTTCTCAGGGCTAGAAACCTAAATATGATCACTGGCAGCATAGTTTATCTCAATCATGAACATTCTAAGTTTCAGCGGAAGGTAAATCAGCGGCTCATATTTACTGGTATATTTGATAAGTTTTTAGTAAAATCTTCAAGGCTTTGTTTACGAAATTTTAAATATAGAGGTATTATATTAAAATGTTAGTCTTTCTGTAACCATCTTAATGAATAAATGTTTGATTTTTCAATACAATTTTAGTTTAATAAGCTATTATTAAATATTTTAGTATTTGATCATTAAATCTGTATAAGTTGTCCAATATTAGACATTGATTTTAGCAAATTTTTTCAGTAGATTAATATCTTTAAACCTTAAACACCAACTAAAGGGTTACAACTTTGAATTTTAAGCACTTAATTATAAAATATCCCGGCCTTGTAGCTGCGCATAACCCCCCAATGCGTCAGAGGCCTTTGAATTGAGTTAGAGCTCGGCTTGTTTGGTTTTGGATTTTGGCAGTTCATGCCGCCGTCGCAACATGTTCGATCGAACACTCGACGTTGTCTTGGCCAACTGGGGAGCTACTAGGCCAACGCGGAGTCTTGCAAAAGCTCAAATGCGCAACGCCCGCCGTTGAGGTTGCACGCGAATTTGAATTGCCGCCGCGGATCAGCAGGAAAATATTTTCAAAACACGAGAGAGTTTTTTGCAAAAGTGATCGGAGTGAAAACCGAATTTGGCACAAAGTTTCTGCTAAACAAAAAAAAAAGAAGAGAAGTGGATCTGTGTGTGCCCAGTGAAATTTTTAGTGAAAATTGCTAATTTCATAGCACCGGCCAGCTGTGCACCTGGATTAAAGCACATACCGCTGGAAATTGAAACCGAAAACGAAACTAAAGCCAAAGCCCAAACCAATCAAATAGTTTCACTTTTTATTGGATTAGCCGTAGAGTAGCAGCAGCAGCAGGAGGAGCAGCTGAGACTCATCTCAATTAAACAGGTTTGTTGAGCAACCGAGGGTGTGGATGTGACCGGGGCTAATTGAAATCGAAACCGGGGCTTTTAAGTGCTGCTCGTAAAGGTGTCAAAGGTGGGCAGTCAAATAGCCAAATGTTTTTTACTTTTTGAGACAACAATTCAATCGTTTAATAAGTCTACGCAGACGCTAATTGAAAGCTCAAGGTGAACTATTGGCATTTACGATCCATGAGATCGATCGATAGCTTCTCGATTCTGCTAAAACTGGAATAACCAAGTAAACAACGCATTCTGTTCAAATATTTTGCACATTACGAAATTATGTCAGTGTACTGAAGTCAGTGCCTGGGCTTAGAGCCACCTCGAGAGTTCGACATGCGCAATTTAAACGGCTCTAAAAAAACGAGTGAGCCAAAGAAGAAACGACATTAACTGCGCCAGTCCAAGCCGAACCGTTAGGCGTAAGCCGAAAAACCATTTCGCAAGTGTGGTCTAACTGAAGTTAACCGTAGCTGCAACTAAAAAGAGTTGGCAATATGCCAGCCAAGCCACCAAGGGAAAAGAGCCAAAAATACCTGTATGACTCGCAATTGGACTTTAAAGTGGAACATTTGGTGCGCTGGGTTCCCAGGGGAAATGGCGATGGGTTAAGGGTTCAACACTCGCTTGATCCAATTATAGATAGTTTACAATGTGCTCTTCAGATGTTAACCTTTGCCAAACTCTGACTTAACGTCTTGAGCAAGTGTGACTGCGTTAAAAAGTTGCCCATAAAAGGGAAAAGGTCAAGGAAAAGGCCAAGTATGCAGATGGATGAGTTGAAGATGAAGATTTGAAGGTTTCAAGCTGTTGAGCTATAGAGATTCATATTTAATCATTCTTATATTAACTTCAATAAACTTTTAAATTTCTATATTGATATATAAATATAAAAAAATGACTAATAAGTACGGAAAACTTGAGACTTAGACTTACTTTTCAGACTCAAAGATCAATTTTAAAGTGCAATAACTCAAATTCCATCTACCCATGGGAGTGGGTTAAAGGTTGATTACTGCCACTCACATAATAGGATTATAAGTATTACCAATTGAAGTGCCTTAACTGCAAAGCCTCCATGAAATCCCTTCAGTTATGCAGTACCCCCTCCCAACCATCATTGACTGACATGTGGCCTCATTTCACCAATCATTTAACTTTACACTCTAGTAACTTTTGTAGTAACTGCCAAGCATGTCAGGCAGGGTCAAGACTTCCATCGTAGGTCGCCCAACTGTAGTACCTACAACCCATTAGCCACACTTGACTCCTCCTCAATGACAAACGATAAGGCCGAGAGCCAAATGTTGAGGTTTTTTTCGTTACCAACTTTTTGCATGCGAGGTGAAATCTTTGGCAGGCGCGCCCAAGTTTGGCCCAAGTTCACCAGGCTTTCGTTTTGGCTTGGTTGCAGTGAAAATGCGACTGGCCTGGTTTTCCACAGCCCATGCAACAGTCAAAAAGCATACAACTGGCCGTTTTTCGTGGGTTTTTCTTTTTTCAGTTTTTGGTTTTACTATTCGCCAGTTCCGTGTTGGATTTTCATTGTGGATCGACCAGGTGTTGGCGGCTTTTCGTGTTTGGCCATTTGCAAATGCGGCCACTGGCCATTGAGAAAATGATTCACACAGTTTTCACCCAAAACAAAGTAAAAACCGAATTCAAGCAATCAAAAGACTTAGGCCACAAACTTTTTTCTCTTTCCATTAAGATGGTCATTTAAAAAGTGTTAGCCACCGGAGTATGGGGATGCATTATATAATTGGCCAGGCATAATGAGGGAAAATCTTCAGTGTCATTAAAGTGGTCAGGGAGTTGTTGGCCGCCTCTGAGCCATTTTCAATGGGCCGGAAAACGCAAACGCAAACTCACACACTCGGCGCAAAAGTGAATTTTGAAGAGCTGTAGAGAAAAAAAAAAAAAATAAAAATAAATGATGTATAAAGTTGACTGGTTGTTGTATGTTTCTTTGGTTGTTTTGTTGCCAAAGTGAAAGCGCAGCGACGTCAACGTCAGCGGCGATGTCTGCGCAGATTAATCACCCGGCCGTAAAGCAAAGACAGTTGGGCTCCAAAAAAAAAGCGAGCGAGAAGAAGCCAGTATTTAGACGGGTTCGTGACCCTCTCAAGATGATCTCCATTTTCACATGTTACGCAATCGAATCGCTTTGAATTCTTTGCCGCGCCCCGTCAAGCAGATGCAAATGTATGCCTAACCGTAGATAGTGAAAGTGTCTAGCTTTAAATTTGAATCTCACGGGTTGCTCGTGTGACGTCAAACCAACACGCTTGGCGACCACATATTACTCACGCACTTACACGATCTCTCTGACTGTTTTTTTTTCTCCATTTTTTGCAGCAGCAACAACAGCGACTGAAAACAGGAAATTTTTTGGCAACTCTTGGATGCCCAAAAATGGCGCACTATGATCAACGTTGGCTGAAACTCTTCTCCGGCTGCCTTTTCCTCTTTCTGCTGGCTCTGCAGGTTTCAGAGGCCAAGCGATCAAACGGTGAGTGCACAGAAAGAAAATATGTTAAATATGTGGCTAAAAGTATATTTAATCTGTAAGTTTATTAGAAAACTTAGAAGGTATATCTTATATATATATAAATTAGTGTATCAGTTTCGATAATTGCACTTGCTATTATTTTGAAGTTATAACGAAAATAGTTCTTAAAGAGGTACAAATATAAACAAAATCGAGAGTTGTTTTCCTTTAAGTGATGTGTTATACTTAAACTATCTTACATTTCAAAACATAATACATAACTCCCTTGCTTTTATTCTTGTGCATTGCCAAACTTACATAAAAGTCATTGACTTCTTGAGCCAGAACATTATATTTTTCCTTTTCCTCTTTTTTTTGTTTTTGCCAAAAAGCCGAGTCATTGAACCCGCAACGGGCGAATGTGGACCATTTGGTGGCTCATTAATAGCCAAGTTGCAGCTGCATAATTAACGTGACGTGTAGAAATTCGAGTAGAACTCAATATGTCTGGGTGGTGTGAAAAATGGCACGCCATCATTAAAAAGCGCTTAGCTGAAAACTACACCCAGCCACCGTTAAGAGCCCGGTATAAGAACTTCTAACTACTACCATTGCGGCTGAGTCAAAAGGGAAACAAAGCCAGACGACGGCTTCTAAATGCACCCAGCACTGTGTCAGTCGGTCAAAAGAGGTCCCAGACCCAGACCCAGTCCTAACTTTAACTCACAATAGGCCAGCAATTCTCTGGGTACTTACCAGTTTGCCGCTTTGATTTCGTTTTCGTTACGGTTCTGTTTTATACTAGTTTTTTCTGTTTTTTCTCTCACTCTTTTTGCCGAGCGGAAACGAAAGACTCAAGCGACAAACTCGATTTGGCCTGGGTGATGAGAATAAAAGTCGCCTGCAAATGACGTCTAGTGGCCGTTGTTTTTCTGCTTGATTATATTCATCATTGGCCAGCTTTAATTGCCAGCTGCCTGACGGCTTTTGCTTTGTTGTTGTTGTTGCCTCTTCATTCACGACTGAAACTGAAAGCCATTTTCATTTCTTTTTTTTTTTTGTTGTTTTTGTTTGACCAAACGGCAAATACAAATTGATGGCCAACGCGAGCTCGAGGCGCTGCCAAAATAAAAAACTTTCATTCAATTTCTAGCGAAAACTCCAGAAAAATAAAACCAGCGGCCGCAAAGAAAGGCAGTGAAAAGTAAATAAAAATATATAAATATTTCGGATGAGCCAAGGCGGATGTGCGGCGAAAAAAAGAAATCTTCAGTGATAAGTTCACCGATTACTCAGCGGTTGCACTGTCGAAACTGGCTTGTGTTTGTGTACCGAAAAAGTTACCTTAATGAGGTTTAATCGGATCTTATTTCATAAGGAAAACATAAAGGAAAAGAAACAGATATCTTATAAGTTACAGCTATACTTTAGCATACGATTTATTTCATTATAAACTTTAAGAATAATTTCCTTTAAATAATAATTTGGTAAGATGGAGCAATTTTGGTGCTTTTACCATGCTCTTACCTCTTTAGTACCCTTAATGACGTTGACAGTTGCATAATGAATCGCTGCTGCATTAAATATATATCGAAAGTGCATAGGAAGTGACCAGCAATAACGACTGCAATTGACGCAACTGACGCAGCTGAGCTGTCGCAACCCCGAACTCAGCGTTGCGTGCTGGACATTAAAATCACGGTGTAAGGAGGGGAGGCAGGCGGCGGTGGGATGAGGTAATTGGGGGCGGGATGATCACTCACTTTAATTGCATAACCAAGTCGAGACAATGGGTTGGCTCTTCCCAAAGCAGAATGCTCATAGCATCCCAGTCGTGGCCATTTGAAGCGAATTGCTTATACGCCTCGTGGACAAGCTATGCGCATACAAAACGCTTAATTCAAATCTGACCATGGAGCAGCTAGACAACCGAACAACCGAGCAACAGCTGCAAATGGCTGGCACTGTAACAACAATTTGAGCAATGCCGCCTTCGGCCACTCCATTTTGTATTTTTAATTTCAATTTTGCAGTTTTCATAGACGTTGGGTTTTTTTTTCGTGGTGGAACGCACGCGTCACGTCCTAAAAAAAAAAAAGTGAAATTGTCGTAGCTGGGATTCGGCAGTTGAATAACACGAAAGTATGTCAAACTCTTTTTCCTCTCTCTAAAAAATAACAATATCAGTTTTTAACGAGCCCCAATTATTGAGGTACTTAAGGTTGCCTTGGAATAAATTAAATAAATGGATTGGGCAAAAACAGTATGAAAAAGTGAAATATTTTCTTGGAAAAGGATAGAAATTTAGAATACGAATGTTAACAAAAAAGGAGATTGTTTAGTAAGGGATAAAGTTAAGTTGATCTCATTCAGACTATTAGTCGGTCCTCACTATCATATGATAACTTATTTATATATTAAATAAATTAATATTTATATCTATTTAATTATTTTTATTAGCCAATCTCACGGCCTGCCAGCATTTAAGACGTTCGGAGACGAGAAGGGCCAAAGCCCTGCAATCCGGCTTAGAAGGACCATCTGTACGAGTGCCGCGATGCCAGAAGAACGGGGACTTTGACTCCATTCAATGTCAGGAAGAAAAAGCTGGCAAGGATTGTTGGTGTGTGGATGAATATGGAGTGGAACTGCCTGGAAGTCGTAATGAAACGAGAGCTGGAGTAAGTTGCTCCGAGCCCAAACATTGTGCCGCTTCCGCTTGCCGCATGTTCTGTCCCTCGGGATTTGCACGTGATCCTGATACGGGGTGCTCCGTTTGCCGTTGTCGGGATCCATGCGATGGATTAGAGTGTCCTCGTGGACAATCTTGTCAGCTGCAGGAGGTGCAGTGCAAGTCAGAGCCTTGTCCCCCACTGCCCACTTGCAAGAAGGCAAGATCTCTGGCCAATCTTTGTCCCGCCGGATTACCTCTTGCCATCGATGACACAGTGAGACCGTTCCTTTGTGGTCAAGAGCCCGGCAAGCCACAGTGTCCTCCTCTTTACCAGTGTCTAGTTGAGTCTGGAAATGACTATGGTGTGTGCTGCCCCAGTGCATTGACCTTCCAAAAACCAGGAATCTGTCCAGCTCCGGACCAATCTCAGTACACCGAACGTACGGGTTACATGTGTGGATCGCCGTGTTCCCATGACTTGGAGTGTCGAAACATGGAAAAGTGCTGCTTCACCAAGGGATGCCAGTTCAATTGCCAGCAGCCAGGAAATGTGACGGGTTGTCATCAAGCCAAGGCTTTAGCTGATATCCTCTCGATTAATGAGCGCGAAGGACGTGGCTATGTGCCGGAGTGCAACGGTCCTGGTGGTCAGTTCTCCCCGAAACAGTGCTCTCGGAATGGACTCGTCTGCTGGTGTGTGGATCCTCGAACTGGTCATAAGATCAAGGAAACTATGGGTGCTGCAAATAATGTGAATTGTGATGGTTGGGAGAACATGATCAGCAGATCGTATGCCAGGAGTTTCCAGATGGAGCAGTGCGATACCAATATCTGTGCAGCAGTCTGCGAGTACGGATTTAAGGTGAGTTAATCCTCCAAGCCTGATCTTTCCATTAAGTTAATCAATAACGTATCTTTAGAATGACCACAATGGATGCCCCACCTGCGAGTGCTCCGAGCCCTGCGATGGGTTCAAGTGCTCCATTGGCTCTCATTGCGAGGTGGCCACTGATCCTTTGTGTGAATCCGGTTCCTCCCTTTGTGCTTCTTGGCCAGTCTGTAAACCAGACCTGGTCTACTCCAATCCCTGCGATGTGGGAACCCCCCTTTCAGACGCCGCAACTGGTGAGGTGATGTACTGCTTCGAGGATCGTCAAGGTCGCAGCTTCCAACCAACGGCATTCTTTGAACCGGAACCAGAATCGCTATCCAAGCAGGGTCGCTCCATGAGCAATAGGATTATGTGTCCAGAGCAGTACAAGTGCACTAAGCTGCATCGGGAAACGGAAAATGTGTGCTGTCCAGTGCCAGAAAAGCCAACCACAGCTGAGGAGGCAACGGGAACGCATCAGCAAACCAGTAAGTCATCTTCGGAGTTCCTATAGTAACGAAGATCCCTATCTAACGAAGATCCCTTTTACAGTGTGCGAATATCTAAGGGACTTCTCGGAACGCATGGAGGGCACGGAAGAAGGTATGCAGTTGGCAGTTCCCTCGCCACGGTGCACCACCGAAGGAGATTACGAGGGTCGCCAGTGCCAACTGAAGAAGATTCGAGTAACCCGCGCTGAACAACGCAAGATTCTCGAGGAGAATACCATACGGCGTATGAGGATGCTGCTCGCCAGTGCAGCTCCAAGTGTCCCAAAACGATCTCGTCGGGACTTGGAACGCTTGAAGCTGTACCGAGTAGATGATAGCGCTCTTAAAGTCCAAGTGGCTGCTCCTGTCATGGCTCGCAGTGCGAAGGTAATTGACATGGGTGCAGATCGTCAGCAGGGATTGGGACAGCTTTTCGAAACGGAGTTTAAGAAGGTAGCATCGGCAACCAAGAGACCCCCGGAGAACGAGGATGAACTCGTTGAAATTGATGTGGAGCAATGCTGGTGTGTGGATAGCTTTGGCACGGAGATTCCCAGATCCCGGGGTTATAATGTCAGCGATGATACCTGCCGAAGCTTAAGAGAGGACTTGGACTGCCTGGATCTCACCTGTAGAATGGGTTGCGAATATGGTTTTGCCCTGGATGCAGATACCCGTTGTCCCGCCTGTCAATGCCGAGATCCCTGCGAAGGTGTGACCTGTGGCTCTGGAAAGGAATGCCGAGTGGTTGATGTTAGCTGCGAAGGTGAATACTGTCCTCCAGTGCCCGCCTGCTTGCCCAGGAAACCGGGACAATGTCCTTATTTGGTGCCCCCGGGACCTGATAACCTGGATGCCAATACCTGTGCTTATGAATGCCGTACGGATGCCCATTGTGAAGGAGCCAGACGCTGTTGCTCCAATGGCTGTGGCACCCAGTGCGTAGATCCTCAACTAAAAACGGCCTGCCAGCATTTGCAGGCCATACAGCTTCACCAAAGTTCCGAGCTGGGAATTCCCGCCCGTCAAATGGCAGTGGCTCAATGTGACGCCAAGAGTGGCAAGTGGGAGGAGATCCAGTGCTCACCCGATGGTCACTGCTGGTGTGTAGATGATCAGGGAAAAATCGTGCCCGGCACTAAGGTTAAGTCTCCTGAGACACCAAAATGCAAGGAGAACTCCAGTTTTGCCTGTCCAAAGACGAACTGCAGCCTGGAGTGCGAAAGTGGCTACCAAATGGACTCGAATGGCTGCCCAACCTGCCAGTGCAGAAACTACTGCAATGAAGTGAGTTGTTCTCCCCATGAGGAATGCCAACTGATCTCCGTGGAATGTGTGGATAGTCCCTGTCCCAAAATGCCCATTTGTGTGCCAAGAAGGGCCTCTGTTTGTCCCGAGGGTAATCCTCTCCAGCAAGGTGACCTGGATATGAGCTGTGGACCTCACAACGAGCATGAGGTGTGCCCTACCACCCACTCCTGCCAGCTGAATCCAGTCACTAATCGAGGTGTTTGCTGCTCCAAGACTCGCGATGTCTGCTTCGAGTCCATGGATAATACTTGTCTCGCTGTCGGAAAATCGGAAAGAAACAGCACACGCTATAGGTTCAGTCCCAAGGCCAATAAGTGCCTGGCTGTGGTCATAGATGCCGAGGCACCAGCCTGCCAAACCAAGAACCTCTTCCACAATGAACTGGCCTGCAACTCCGTGTGCCCAGGTGAGATCATTGCCCATTTATAGGAATAATTTTAATCTAATTTATTTTCCTTCTCCTTAGTTCTCACCCAGTGCGAGCGCTTGAAACTGAAGAACAGTCTGGCTGCCCAGCGAACAGGACACTCCTCTGTGTGGTTCCAGCCACGTTGTGATCCCATCACCGGTCACTGGAGTCCAGTGCAATGTCTGGGCAAGCAGCCTCAGCCTTTGGACCGTCACACGGAGATTGTGAGTCGTGCCTTTGCCTCTCAACCCGCATCGGCTGCCGAGGAAGCGCCAGGAGTCTGCTGGTGTGCGGACAAGAAGGGTGCTCCCTTAAAGGGTACTCTCACCCGGGAGAGCGAACCCATCTGCAATAGCCGCCAGGCACGTAATCGCAAGAATTTCGATGCTGGAGATCCACTGATGGAGCAACTTATTGCCCAGCTCACCCAACTGAATGATGTGGCCAGCGAGGATTTGGATTTCGATGAGTTGGAGGCTAGGATTCTGCCAGCCACCGCCAGTGCAGCCGAGTCTAGTGTCACAGAGAGGGTACTAGAGTTGGCCAACTCTCTGCTGGACTCACAGTTGTCTGTGGAGCAGGCTACCATGAAACCGATGGAGGTGAAGACCACACGTTGTCGTGCTCTTGCGGAAACGGCGCCATTCCCCGTTAGTTGCGATGAGGCGGGAGCCTTCCGTCCATTACAGTGTAATGGCAGGAGCTGTTGGTGTGTGGATGCAGCCGGAAATCAACTACAGGCCACCCACATCTTTGGAGCAGGCGACCGACGCTGCAATCATGTTCCAATCGAGGCGGTAGCCATCGAACTCCACCTGACCAACAGCAGTGGCCGGAGTGTCAGGAATGCCTACGATACCATCCGCCGCGAGCTGCAGCAGTTGCTTGGTGGGGAATCCGTGGAGAACCTGCGGGTGCAGGAGAACTTCGATGGATCCGCTATAGTCCGCTTTGAGCTGCACAACGAGGCCAAGGTGGACTTGGCCTTTGCCATCGAAGCGGCTATTTCCTCGGGTGATTTCCGGTTGGCGGGCGGTCACTTCCGACCTGACCTGACCCGCTCTCACTTTGTCCATAGAAGTGCTGTGGTACCTGTGGCTCAGGCGGCCACCGCCCAGGATGAGTCCATCCAGCTGGTGCTATTTATTATGGCAACCAGTTCCGCCTTCCTGGTCAGCATATTTGTTGTATATGTCATGCTGAAAAGAAGTCGAAACCTCAAGGCTGCCAATCCTTATGTAAAAGGAGGGGCAGGAAGCGGCGACAAGCCGGTGGACTATTCCGCACCCATCTTTGTGCTGGCAGCCAGCGATATGGACGCCCAGCTGGACAGCATGAAGGGGTTCAAGGCGTAGGATTTCCCGTTGTTGAGTTATCTAAATCAATTTGTAAATAAAAGAGAGCAAATTTAAGATTTACTTTTAGGGGGAGGAGTTCCATGGCGGAGGTTAGAGGCCTCAACTCTGCCCCAAATAAGCCAAAAGGGGAGTGCGACTAGAGGGGCCCTCCAAATCGAATACTTATTGCATATGTTCTAGCAACCTAAGACGATTAATTTATGAATAAAGCTTTAAAATCGAAATAATTTGGATTTTTAAGAATGGAAAGTACCTTAGGATTAGAAGAAGTCAGGGGTTAACCCTTAAAGAGTCAATCTTCTAATTTAAAATATAAGAAAAACAAACACACTTGTCAGCAAACAGTTTTTGATTTTAATATTTAATAATACATGACATAATTGTCCGCCTGTATGGTATGTTTCGCAGCTGTATATCATAATGACCGATCGATCGGATATCATTATATACTAGCTCCATGAGCGCACCTCCTTTCGTGCTACATAAAGGTATAACATTAATAAATTTTGGCTTCATTTCATGCAACTCGAACTCAGTTTTGTGTTTTTCGTTTTGTGTATATATACTCGTATTTCGTGTAGAACAATTTCCAAGTTGGACAATCGCTAGACATTGGTATAACTATATATTGTTCATATGTATCTTGTATATGTGTAGTATGGATGTGTATATCGTATGCTAAGTGCCAAGATACAACCGCCGGTCCTCAAAAGGAAATCCGGGCAGCCTTTCTACGTATCTTGTTAATATCTAAAAAAAATTGTAAGTGGCTTAAAATATGTTCAGAGTTGTTATCGATAGATAGAAAAATGCAATACTCATGGATACAATTGGGAATATTTTGTAGATTTTTTGATTTGGAAAATGCATTGCTTATATGGTAGAATGGTTCGTTAGACTTAAAACTTAGTATTTAGAGTTGAATGCGATTAAGAGAATGTAAGATCATTGATCATAGAGAAGACTTGGTTCCGTCTATTGAGCAAATTGGATTAGTATACCTTCGGTTTAAACTACGCGTACATGCAATTCAAACGTTAATATCGTAAAACTTGAGTGCAGATTGTTCAATATCATGGCCAACTCTAAGACGAGTGTGTGTAATGAGTCATGACTGGATGAGTGAGTGCATCCAATTGGAAGTATCTCCTTCTGCTCGTGTTTACGGGGCCCTATACGCCCCTAATATTTGGTTACGTGGTTAGTCACTATTCATAAATTAATGCTTTTCGTGTTTCTGTGTATACATATATAAATCTTGTAAAAGAACAAAAGGTTTAGCCGCCAATTGCCGAAAGAAACGACTGAATAAATGGCCGCAAGATGTACGTATAACAAAATGATTTGGGAGATGCGGCCAGGGATGGATTTATAGGATTGTTTTGGTTGGACTCTTTTTCATTTTGGACTTTCAGTTTCTACTTTCCAGCTCCACCGGCCGAACCATTGTTGTTGCTCCGGCTATTGTTGTTATTGTTGGCATTACGGAACGGAATCGAGGCGCGCTGATCCTCCATGCGACCGCTCTGCACCTTCATGATTAGTGAGAAGAAGTCCTCGTCGGGCACAGTGGCTCCGCGCCCGGTCTGCCCACGTGCTGTTCCTGCTACAGCTGCCTCTGGCACTGATCGCGGTGGTCCCTCTGCTTCGGCATCCATGGTGACATTGGGCCGCGGCAGCTCGGACCGCTGTTCCTCCAGTCGCGAGCCCTGGCAGCGCATTAGCATATCCAAGAAATCATCATCGGGTTGCTGAGTAGTGGTGGCACTCCTAGCCAGCGGTCCATGGCCAATAGCTGACGGATTCGCCGACGACGGCGATTTCAGACCCGGCAGGTTAGTGGGATCCACGAACAGAGAATTCTGCTGCACCAGCGGCTTGCGAGTAGCGCCAGTGGCCACAGCTGGAGCTCCAGTTGGATTCACCTTGATCGAACAGCGTTGGTCATCCATGCGTTTCGATTGCGACCTCGAGAGCATCTCGAAGAAGTCGTCATCTTTGGCTTTTCTGGTACCCTGTCCGTGGTGTTTTTCCTCCTGCATTCGCTTTCCATCGGGAGTGATCTTGATCAGGTCCAACTGCTCCATGCTCTGGCGACGAACGCGCACCTGAAAGAAAGCAATTAAATAATCCATTTAGTTATGAATCTTTCGCGAGTTTCCCTTTCACATTAAGTGTTCGAAACTAAAAGCTTTCCGTCCTGTTTTTCATTTCCCAAGTGTAAATATTTAGCCTATTATTAGAGGGCAAACACTGCAAACAGCAGGTGTCCATAAACAAAGTGTACAAGTTTTTTTTACAATAAAAAAACTTTAAAGATTTATACTACAGCTGAAAAACTTATGCGGATTTGAAAAAAAAATGAATAAAAAACGGAATGGTAAACCTATAAGATACATACTATGTATATTTTTACTTACCATTCTTCCCTGCGAGTTCTCAGATCCGTCGGATAGGTGTCCACTAGCCGAGTGATCTGAAGCAGTCGATCTAGCCTCCTCTTCGGTGGGCGATGGTTCTGATTCGGGCATTCCCAAAAGCTTTCGCAGATCAGAGATATTTACCCTGGCTGTGCTTTCGCCCACAGGGTCATGCAGCTCCTTGGCCAATTGGAGATGCTGCTCTGCATACTTTAAGGCCCGCTCATGGCCACCGATGGCTGAGTGGGCATTACCCAGTGACCAGCAGGCCCTAGCCTCTCCGATTCGGTCTCCCAGCTCCTGGGCAATGGCCAAGTGACGATTGTGGTACTCAATGGCAGTGTTAAACTCGTGCAGCAAGGTATATGTGTTGCCTAAGCTATAGCAGCTTTGTGCCTCTACTTCACGTTCACCTAGTTCTACGGCCAAGGCCAAAGTGCGTTTGTAGTGATCGGCAGCATCCTCGAATTGTCCCAGGAAAATGTGCGAGTTTCCGAGATTACTGTTGGCTCTGCGCTCTGCTGCTCTATCTCCAAACTCCCTGGCAATGCGCAGTCGCTCCTGGTGATGTTCGATGGCCGCCTGGAAGTCGCCCAGAAGGTAATAGGTGTTTCCCAGATTGCCACAAGCTCGTCCTTGAGCGCCACGGTCGCCCAAATCCCTCATGAGCTTCAGATTTTCCTGGTAAAACTCCACGGCACGGCTGAGAGCCTCCTTGACGTCGTCTCCAAATTTTCCAGGACTTTTCTGGCCCAAATGCTTGCCCTTGGCGTGGTACACATTTCCCAGATTGTACAGGGCTCTTCCTTCGGACAGCCGATCTCCGAGCTGCCTGGCCAGGGTTAAATGCCTTTCACAACAGATGGCCGCCTCGTCGAAGCGACCCATTACTTTCAGAGTATTGCCCAGGTTCCCAGAAGATTTGGCTTCGCCCAGGCGGTCGTTCATGCTCTTGGCTAAAGTAAGATCATGCTTGTGGTACTGCATTGCTTTGTTGTAGTCTCCCAAATAGAAATAGGCGTTGCCCAGTTGCGAGTAAATGGCGGACAATGTGCGGAGATCCTCGGTTCCGGCTTGAATGGCCGCCTGGAAGAAGGCCACACCCGCTCGGCAATCTCCCGCCTTGCATAGGCGTTCACCTTCGAGGGCCAATTCCAGGCACATACTGGATCCTCCATCGGAACCAGAACCCTGCTGGGAATTGCCATCATGGGAATTGGCCCCTCCACCTGTTCCTAATCCCAGACTGGACACATTCTCCGCTGACGCGGACAGCGAGGACATTCTGCTGCGACGAAGTCTCGCCTTTTTGTCGCGATGCTCCTTTTTGAGGGGCAAGTGCTCGGAAAACTGGGAGTTGTCCACTTTGCGGCGATGTGTTTGGGACAATTCTTGGGGTTTTTGGTTGCCCTCTGGCTGGCTGTGCACTACTTTTGGTTTTAATGAGCTGACTCAGGTGAAATTTCAGCAATTAAGCGATCTTTTGTACCGTTTTTTGACTAATTAGTCTGCTCTTCTGATTCACGATTTATCGGTTTTTGTTCGATGGTTACGATGTTTATATGGCAACTATCGATCAATTCTTCTTGTGAGCAACTATCGCTGGTAAGCACTGTTCAGGATTTTACAATAATCTAAAAATTTTTTTTTTTTAGTTTTCAATCGTGTTTTGAGTGTTCTTGGACAATTGTTGGATTAATTTTTATTTTTGAATTGGTTTTCTACTTAAGAATTAAGAAAGCAGAAATAAGTGCTTGCAAGCATCGAACTTCTTATTAGAGATAAATAGCTAAACTTCCATGAGCTAATTTTACTCTTTGGCTTGTTTTCAATTATTAACAGTATTGCTAGTAATAAGTTATTAAAAATGAGGATAATAGCAACAGAATAAAAGTAGTCGTTTCAACTAAATCTATCTACTAAATCTAAATGATTATAATAATTTAATATCTATCTAAAAAGCTACCAGTTTCCCGCTATGTAAGTCGTTTTTCAACACTTCCGCCGGCGACTGAACATGCAAAGGTCGCTTTCAAAGATGGCGTCACTTCTACGGTGTCTGTGTGAACGATTCTAGTTGCCGCTGGAAAAAATTAATAATTATCGCATAAAACACACCTGCCGGCCGCTCAAATCGATCGAAAAGCGAACGTCACCCATTGCGGCGCGATAAGCGAGTGAAATTGTGGCAGAGCGTGAGCGTTGGACCGCTAAAAGAAGCTGTGCAAAAGTGCAAACCGAATCGGGAATCCGGGTACTTTCGAGGTGTGTGTGCGTCGCTTTTTTTGTGTGCCCGTCGCCGTTTTTCTCTGCAGTCGCCAGCAGTGCAACTCAAACATTGTGCTAAATTACATAAAGATATTAAAAGCGGAATATCTACCATAAAGCAGGAGATTAAAGGAGAAAAAAAGGAAAATTCTGCCACACACAGAGGGAGAGCGACAGAGAAGGAGCTATACAAAGCAAGCGAGAGGTCGATAACGATAGCCTTGTTTGGTTATCGCCCTCGATAGCAACAAAAACCGAGAAGAAAAAAATAACAGCGTCCTTTCAGTATGACCGCGCTGAAAACCTCACCTGCAGTGTGACCGTGTCTGCGTGAGAGAGAGCGAGCGAGAAGCGCAACAACAGTTTTTTGTGGTGAGTGTAGGCGGCGCAACCGAAAAGAGAAACTCACCACGCTCTCACCCAGAAATCTGGCACAGTGGTATCGAAATTGTAGCTAGCTGAGTAATCAAAGAGGGAGAATAAAGCTTAGGTTTAAGTTTAAATAATAACAAGCCATCCAGAAAAGAAACAATAATAACTTAAGGAGAAATATTTCAAGTACTAGTCATTTCTTTGGCATTTTATTTGTGTGTAATTACTCTCTCTATCTCTCTGCATGGCGTATAGTATATACACATGTGCAAAAGAGAAAGAGAGCGAGAGTCGGGCGAAGGAAAAAAATATCGCCACAGTTGCCGTATGCCGCCTTCGTCGTCGGTTGGGTGCAAAAGATATAGAAATCTTTTATATACACATACACACACGCCTGCCTGATATATAGAACGCAGTCGGTTTTTAATATATTCTGCAGCCCGAGAAAAAAAATAATCAAATCCAAAACCCGAAAAATTAAAGAAAACGCAACTAAACAAAGCCGAGTGCAAAATTCAAGCCAAATTTACAAGGCGAATGCAAATTTTTCAAGTGCGCAGTAAGCCGCTAAATCCCCCAGACGCAATTCGGTGTTTCCCAAAAGTTTTAATAAATAAATAAATATGTAATTACATTCGCCAGCTCGCACACACACACATGCGTATTCAGCAGCAGATTCGTTTAGAATTCGTATATGCATATATATTTTTTACTTATATTATTTTTAGAATATCGATTTTGTTGCCGCGTGCGTGTGTGTGTGTGCATGGTTGTGTCTCTCTCGCACCGAGTGTGTGTGTGTGTCTGTGAAACATACATATTTATGATAAGTGTGTGTGTCAAGCAGTAAAATGTGTTAAGAATTATGTTCATATAGACACAAGTTACCTAATCTTACTGCAAAAAAATAGAAAAAAGAAAAATAGAAGAAAGGAATCAACAAACCGAAGTGAAGCGAAAGGCAAATGAAAGAGCAAAAGCGAAAGAGCCCCATCAAAACAGCTGCGCTCTCTCACCTTTTTACTCATCCTCTTATCCTCTCGCTCTTCTTTCCATTCACATTCACATTCTCCCGTTTTTCCCATTCCAACATTTGCACTTACACACACACATATATATACTACTGAAGATCTTTGTGTATTTTGCTTTGACACCGCATTTACATGTGTTGACCCCACTTGGACCTCGCTTCCCTTCGTTGCGCCCCTCGCGATGCGTTGTGCGAAATTCTCTCGTGAACTACAGTTTTAATTCAATTATGTCAACTGCTATACACACATCCACAGTGAAACCCAGCAAGCAGCGTTAAAAAAGCAGCCAAATAAAAAAAGAAGCATCTCTGTGACGTAGGCAATCAGGAGAGCCACACACAGCTGAGAAACTGAGAAATCGAAAAATCACAAACCGAGATATTGAGAATCACATACTGAGATATCGAGAAAGGTATGCCAAGACCAACGGAAGTTGGCCCACAACAAATTCAATTCAAATCGAAACCATTTTGGGCCAAAAGCTCGCTCCATTTCCGTTCAATGCTTAACCCTTTGATTACTCATGTGGCATAACGAAATAGGGGGTTATTTTCTTCGTAAACAATTTATTTTCATAAACTATAAAATTCGTTACCTAACATCAAACTAATTCAATTGGTTATAAATTAATAGGTATTTTCAACTTTCTTTAAAGTAATATTACAGAAAACACACATTTCAAGGGTGTACGAAGTACACACCTAATTGCGTAAACTTGATTTCGTCAGATAAAAAAATATAAAATATTTAAATTTTCCTTAACGCGTTAGATCAAATGTGAATTCCAACACTAATATCAATCGAAAATAAATGTTTTCAAACCATTAAAGTAAATATTTGTACACATAGGGTTAATCTAAATCCCACCGAAAGTCTGACAAAGAACTGGTTCTAATTGATTGAGTGATTTGTTAGGCAGCGGGGAAGGTGGAGGGGTTAACTGGTAAGAGGAGGGGGGCAGAACCTGCTCGGCAAATTAACAAGTTCCAATTGATACATACGTGTGGGGACACACGAAATTCGTCGAGCCTACTCGAAATTAACATAAATGTGTCAAAATGGTAAATCATTTTGAAAGGGGGTAGGTGCGGGGTGCTCTCGCCAGGTTCACCTGTCATCAAGGTGACAAGGTTCTAGCATTGCCCTGGAAGTAAGCCATTTTATATACTGCCGGACAGATCGGTTTAATTACAATAATCCATGTGGTAACCAAGCACGCCCAGCGGAGAGTCCCCAAATTGAACGTGACTTGTGTGCAATTAAATTGCGAAGAAAACAAGATCATCGCTCGTCGTCGTAGAGCACTTAACTTTTCAGGCAATATTTCCAGTTCTCTAGCTGTCGATTCGCTCTTTGTTGTTTGTCCAAGCGGGTTTGTCACCTGCCATTAACTGCTTTTGCCATATTCGTGTTGGCAAAGCACTACTGGCCCACTGTTTTTTTTTCGCGGTAGTCAACTTGACTTTGACGTCACGGGTTGGCTAATCAAATAAGGCTTGCACTTGAAAGAAAGATGCAGCTTAGAATAGTCCGCACTTCAAAGTAATACGTTATACAAACTTGGAGGTGAAACCTATAAATCATTAGCAGGTTGTTAATTCTGGCTGTAGATATAACCACTTTGAAAAAGTTGTTCTATAAGCTTTGGGATCTTTATTGTTATTTTTATTTTTGTGGTTAATGCGGTTTGCTCCCAATTTCGTTGTCTGAATTTAAATGAAATTTTGCTTGCCAGTTGGCATTTAACATTAATAGATTTATTAACCTATTTCGATTCTAACCCACTGCCAACCTAAATGTGATTGCTAATAATCATGAAATAAGTTTAATTTTTACCTTAACTTTCAGCTTGGGCCATTTTCCTAGTAACCGATTTCTCCGCTTTTCTAGTTTATTTTCTAGGAGTATTTTAATTTTTGAACTATTTTAACGAGTTAACCTAACCGAGGCAGTCAACCCAAATAAGTGTCGTGCCACAGCGTGTGCAACAATTTGTATGCTCACTTATTGTCTGGCCACTGGAGTTTTCGCTATGAAGAGGAGAATGTAATGCTGCCATAAAATGCCTCCGCATACAAAATGTGCGCATATATAGCCGCCCAGTATATCGGGTGAAAGACGAGAGGCTCTATTATAAAATTACCAAGTCTCTGGGGCATTACTGTATATGTATGTGCTATACTATACTATAGTACCCTCCCCGGGCGACCTCCTTTGCGACTGTTCACCTTTTTTGTTGGCGGTAAACGCACATTCTACCGTCAGGCAATGTTAATTTTGTTGCAGCTTTAACTTTCCTGCCGCCCGGCCGCAGAAGTTAAAGAGCGTTCTCAGAGTCAATTTGCCTTTTGGCTCTGCCGTAAGTTGACTCTTTTCTCCGGCGATTTTCCTCTGCCGGCTGAGGCTTGGTAACCTCTTAATGACCACAAAAACACACGCTGGCTCTTGTGCACATTTCTGGCTGTCTGTTTTGACATAACTGACCTCACTCCTAGCCGCCTTATGTGGCCTGTTTTCCCTCACATTTTCTCCACCTCGTTATGTACGGATTGTTATTGCTGGGTTATGCCTGTCACTTTGAAGCCGTTTTTACTAATTTTACACAGAGAGAAATGTATTAAAAATATCACATCCTTGCTTATTAATTGCTTATTAATTATATTGATTATATAACTATTAACTAACTAACTAATTAAACTAACAATTAGTAGCAATGACTGTTTTTTTTTTTTGTAGCAGCACTCTGTTTTCCCTGAAGAATTTTTTTTCTCCCTTCTTATGCTCACTTCCACTTTTCTCGCTGCTCTAAAAATAAAGCCCAAACACATATTTCTTTCAACTCTATTCACTTCGAATTGATTTACTCCAGCTCGGTTGTAAACAAAGGTATAAAATTGCAGTCAGTGAATTGCTCTGTATCGAATTCCTTCCCATGCATCCCTTGAAAATATCTGTGAAATGTAAAGTTCCCTACAAAATGCTCGACAAATCGCTTATTCAATCTATTGGCAGTTCAAGTTTCTACTTTTTTTTTTGCCCCACCCTCTCCATTTCTTTAGTTTTTTTGTATTTGACTTCAAAATATTTTCCTTATTTGCAATGGCCAGTTCGCCCGAAGCGAAGCTACAGACTGGTCAAAGCTTTTTGTTTGATTGTTTGTTTGTTCTATTGGCAATTGAGAATCCGTTGCTGCAATGGGAAAAAATCAATTTTATTTGCTGGTTTGTTAGTCGAATATATGCAAGTATTTGTACAATCGACGTAGCTAGCGGTGGCTAGAATATATATATACATATACGAGGTATAACCTGCTGTACTCCTGTGTAAACATCTTTAGCACACCGCAAATTAATGACCGTCTGAGTGGAGGGCAAATGTTTTTCTCATTATAATTAGACGACTGTCTGACTTCTGTACTCTGTAAGCTGAATCGTTTACTTTGCACTGGGCACTGGGCCGAGCCCCAGATTTTTGCCTTTGTTTTGCAAAATGTTTTCATTTTTTACTTCGCACGGCTCGCTAACGAGAGGAGCAATCAGCTGTGGCAGCTAGAAATGACGAAAAACGCCGCGAAATGAAACTATAAAAAGCCAATTAGCCACACTAAAACTGGAATACCCTGCATTTGATCAGAGGAAAAGCGAGATTTAGTATTTGGCTTATGATTGCAGTAGATTTGTTTACAAATTGTCTGTACAGTTTGTAATAATCTGGGCAAATATTGATCTTTTTATTACGAACTCAGCTATGAAATAGATTTGTTGTTATATTCACCATCAATTGTAGCAAATTTGTATTGTTACATTTCGATGATTTATTTTCCTTTGGGAAAAACACTAAATAAATATTGATTTTTTGATTGTGAATGCGTCAGTGCAACATGTTCATTCATTTTGCTTTCTGTCTATTTTAATTGATGACCCAAAGTATCTATTAGTTTACCTTTAACTTGTCATACAGCTATTTATT